ATTGWGTTTTTGAAAGTGCAGGATATGAACATATCAGAAATAGGAAGTAAACATGAAAGTTGTTTAGAGCTGAGCACAAGCAGTTGTGTGAGAAAGCCAAATCTTGTCTTTTTAATGTGCAGAAATGCATCTTTTGAGCACTTCCAAGTGTTTTGCAAGGTAACATTTAATAGTAGAACATTCCTGCAACATGTARTATTATGATTTTTTGGTGTTAAACATGGTTCTTAAGGCATTTATTGCAACAGTTCTCTCTTGTTATACTTTGCTTTGAATAATAAATTACTGCACCAAGTGGTTGAAGTGACACAGTGCTTGCCCAACCTGCATGAGCAATTTACTAGCAGAAGCCAAGAGGAAAATGCTTTTAGTCTGTAATTGTCTTAGCTGAAATCTTGACTTCTGTCTCTTTCTGTCATGCTTGTCAATAGATTTTTATAGAAGAGTTAACAGATTTTGCATATGAATTAGTCTCATTCCTGCTTCTGGCCATAAAATGTTTGTGCAGTTGCTTCAATGCTCTTATGTCAGTCCTGACTGCTCCAGCATACCAGCTTCCGTCCCTCGGGCTTTCTCCTGTTGTCTGTGCATAAGATTGTTTAAAATCAAAAACTCCTAAAGCAAAACATAATTTTGCCACTAATATTGCATATAGCAGGCTAAAAATTATTTGGATTAGTAGATTGATAAATATTTTATTCTTTGGTTTCAGACAGCCTGGGTTTGGAGCATCTAAAGATTAAGTAAAGCTCAGYTTTTGGTTCAAGGTTGACTTGATTGAAAATTTTTGTCTTGAAAATGTAAGGTTCTCTGCTCTCTGTTTTGAGTGTCAGAACAGGCACCGAGCTGAACTATTAAAAGTGGAGTGAGAGAGCAGAAAAGCAATAATGGATAAAGGATGAGAAACAGGAAAAGAAGATATTGTATTATTTGTTGCTGATTATCACATGCAACTACAGGAGTAAACTAGGCCTGCATAATACAGGAGCTGGCTTAGTACCAGCTCAACAGTAGGAGCATGGTAGAGAACAGATAATTATGAAATCTGGAGAAAACTGAAGAACCACGTCCTGTTATGTGAGATCTTAGTAAAGACTGTACAGTAAATAAAACTGAAACTTAATAAATAAACATATATGGCTTCATTAGTATGTGGCTTGTGTTTGTATCCCAGCCTATCTCAAGCATTWCTGTGTAATTTGTGACTGAATGTGAAGAATGCCTGATAGCTGTAAGAGAGATGCTACATCTTTTCCTCCTTCCACACAGATCTACTGGATGTCATCTGAGTGCGTGGTGCAGGGAACATAGCCTGTGCCTTAGGGAGTTTATGCTCTGAATCTGGGAGGTTGGATCACCCTTTGGAGGAAGGTGAAGTTCATCAGGGCTGAGGTTATATTTAGAGCGGGAAGCTTCTCTCAGTCTAGTGTGTCTCTTCTGTTGAATGTCAACTGGATACTTGTACAGAAGACTAAAAATGAGTTGTGAACATGATAACTGTTATGTCTTGCATTACTCACAGCAGACAGGTTTGCTTTTGGTATTTCCATGATTTTTCTTTTCCTTTCCTCATCTGTATGTTTAATTTGTTGTTTCTATTTACTTTATTTTGTTGCTGTTCATTGTAATGGCTGTAGGATCATAGAATTCAGGAAAAGACATCTAAGATCATCGAGTCCAACTATTAATCTGACACTGCCAGATCCACCACTRAACTRTGTCCCTAARTGCCACAGCCGAAAGGCTTTTTTAACACATTCATGGATAGTGGTTCTACCACTTCCCTAGGCAGYCTGTTCCAGTGCTTGACAACCCTTTCCATGAAAAGAAAATTCTTACATCCATTCTAAACTTCCCCTGATGCAACTTGAGGCTATTTCCTCTTGTGCTCTTTTTTTTTTCCACTTGGGAGAACAGAGCAGCTCTACCGGCCTTTCAGTAATTGTAGGGAGCAATAAGGTCTCTTGAGTTTCTTTTTTCTCCATACAAAACAACTCCTGCTACCTCATGTGCTCCTGCTAAGGCTTKGGCTCCCGACCCTTTCCCAGCTCCCTGCCCTTTTCTGGGCATGCTCCAGCCCCTCACTGTTCTTCTTGTATTGAGTGGCAGAGAACTGGACACATGATTCCATATGCAGCCTCACCAGTGTTGAGTACAGAGGGAAGATCCCTGCCCTGGTCCTGCAACCCACACCATTTCTGATGCCTTCAGCCTTTCTGGCCACCTGGGCACACTGGTTTAGGTTCAGCTACTGTCAGCCAACACCCCCAGGTCCTTTCCCACAGGGCCTCTTTCCAGCCACTCTGTCCCCAGCCTGTGGCAATGCCTGGGGCTCTTACGATCCAAATGCAGGACCCCACACTTGGCATTTTAACCTCACAGCATTGACCTCAGCCCATCAATCCAACCTGTCCAGATCACCCTGCAGAGCCTTCCTGCCCTCCAGCAGGTCAACACTTCCACCCAACTTGGTGTAATCTCCAAACTCATTGAGTGTGTGATCAATCCCTTCATTCAGATCATTGATAATCGCAGTAAACGGGAGTGTCCCCAGCCCTGAGCCCTGGAGGATGCACTTGTGACCACCAGAGTTCCAGCCATGGATGTGACTCCATTCCCTTCCACTCTCTGGGGCTGGCCATCCAGCCAGTTTTTACCCAGCTAATTGTACACCAGTCCAAGCCATGAGCAGCCAGTTTCTTCAGGAGCGTGCTGTGGGAAAACATGTCAAAGGCTTCACTAAAGTCTGGGTTGATACATCTACGACCTTTCCCTCATCACTAAGCAGGTCATGCTGTCACAACAGGAGATCAGCTCCATGTCCTCTGCTGGCACCACGGWCAGAGTGACAGCCCTGTAGTTCCCYAGGCCCTTGTGGATGGGGTTRCATTTGCTGACCTCCAGTCACCTGGGACCTCCCCAGTTAACCAGGACTGCTGGTAAATGATGGGGAAGTGGCTCTGTGAGCGCTTCTGCCAGCTGCCCCCGTACCCTTGGGTGATTCCCTTCCAGCCACAGAGACTTGTGGTTGTCTAAGTGGTGGAGCAGRTTGCTGGCTATTTCCTCTTGGATTCTCCCTTGTGTGGAACAGCTCTGCAGCTCTCACCCTGAGCATCACTGATTGCTCTCTTAAGCAAATCAGARTGAAACATTTTGATCCAACATCATGCACAAGTCATTGCTGAGAATTTGCACGTTTTACTGTTTGCAGAGTCAGAAGGCAAATATTTTAGATAAAAAATCAAAATGTTATTTATTAGCATTGGGGTTAACAGTGTTCATTCTTTCTGTTCCCATAACTTTTTGACCATTGAGAGCAACTTGAGAACCCTGCAAGACAAAAACTGAGTRTAAGCTCTGTGCAGCTGCACATTTTAGTGTACATACTTATAACTGCTTGTGTTGCAAATGTAAAAAAACCAGGTATTTTTTGTTTTCAGAAAGCAAACAAGCTCACCACCCTCTAAGTACGTTTTGACATTCTATCCAGCATAAGTTTCTAGGAAATTAATTCTAAATAAATAAAATAACATGGTTCCTAAATCRTTCCATCTTATTAATAATTCTATTCTTTTAACTTATTCAGTAAAATGAACCATGTTGAATGTTTTTTCTCGCAGTCAAAACAGATTATTTTTGCACCACCTGTAATAGTTTTGAAAGATACATGATATACTTGAAAAATGTAATTTGAAAAAGATGYTGAGAGCCTTTCTTGACAGTGGAAGAGAGCACAATTTGTAATTTTTCAAGAATTAGATGCTTAGGCCTTGCCTTTGTTATGGACCTGGGGGTGTTGAAAAAGAAACAGACTGGAGRAATAACTGACACTACTGATTATGCTGCAGGGGCCAATCCTCCAGCATAGCAAAACCAGGGGGGTTTAGATAAAATTAAGGACTGCTCTGAGGGTAAATTGAGGGATATGTTAATGTCGATTGATAACACAAGAACTGAATAAAAACTGTGAAAAGAAGTTGTTAATGTTGAAAATACAGTCTTGTTGAAATTTGTCTTGTTGAAAATACAGTTTAAGGAGTAGCTCTGTCACTGACTGTTCACATCTGGGATATGCATAATAAAAATAACTGCTGTTGAAGCCAGTGGTACARTCTGTTATGCTATGAAGAGATTAAGACTTTGCAATTCGGTTAAGTAGAGACATTGCTTCACGAAAGTCACTATATGTAGGTCATGGTTTTTTAGTATGTTCAAAGGCTCTTTGTGTTTGGGAAGTGTGATCTGCATCTTATTCTAAAGCCTGTGAGTTTCCAGAGAAACGCTTGTTAGCTCTGCCTGTGCAGGGCTTTATTTTTGTTTGGTGATGTTTTCTGGTTGGGTTTTGTGTGTGTGTGTGTGAAATGTAAAGCTGCAAACTGTGCTTTCCTTCTGTGTCTGGACAACTGCTGTTCTTSCAGCATTTGATGTTTTCTTATAGCCGTGGGTACTTTCCGTCCCATGTATAAATYGTCACACTGTCTCTGACTGGTTTCTTCAGTTGTTTAGGAAAAAAAAAATCACTAGAAATGTCTTTCAGAGGGCTTTTGGCCGAASTTAAATCCATATTCCTGAGCTTCAACTCCACTGTTTAAATATCTATAGCCATGATTTATTGGTATTGAAAAAGATTTGGCGTGAATGAAAGGAAGTAGAAGTGCTGTCAGGACTCAGGCAGTCAGTCACGTGTCATGTTAATATTGGTTGACACAGGCTGTGTTGGCTGTGCTTGTTTTTTAGTTTATGGTGTTACAACAATATTTTATTCCAGATGCTATTAGAAACAACTCCAAAGATATATTTATGTAGTTCAGAAATGAGTTCATATTTTAATGTGCTTGTATTCTAATTCTCTTGTCAAGAATGATAACTGCTCTATATGTTGTCCACTATCAAGGGAGATCCCTAAGATTTCTTTTATTATAAATTACTGGACGCAGTTAACTAAAAAGGGTTCRTATTTGTATTAATTTTTTGGTTTGTGTTTTGTTTTGGTTTTTCAGGTACATTTTCCAGACACAGAGAGAGCAGAATGGCTCAACAAGGTAAGGGGAAGCATTGCTTCCAAAGGGGAAGGGGCAGGAGGGAAAGCTGARGTTAAAATAAAAGGTGAGGCAAGAATCTGAGAACAGAGTAGTTGTARCTAGATGTGCACTTTATACCATTGAAGTTTCTGGTTGCTGATCCAGTTRGTCACTAAAGATTAAATTTAGTTTCATGGTCCTGAAATTGTGAGTTTTATAAATGATTTTAAGTGGCGTTACAGTAATGACAGCTATAATTGTGTGGAAGTCATAGCAGCTGTAAACACAGTCTTTAATTTTCTACTTGTCTGGGATACTTTCCAGTTACTGTAGGTTCCTGGGCTACAATCTAAAAATAAATGAAATTTGCAGTTTGATTTGTGTGTGTGTTAATCTAAGATATAAATCTATGTAGCTTGCTTTTTTAAAACCATCTTTCATTCAAAGAGCATTGAACGTGGGTTAATTAGAAAACAGTAAGAAWAAAAAGCAATATAGAATTTTCATATATCAGAAAATTCAGATGCAGTAAAGTACTGATTTTTTTACATTTTAAACTTATGAATGTACTTAAGAGCTGTACTTCCATGTAGATTTTTTTTCTCCTTAGACTGTAAAACAGATGTGGCCTTTTATTTGTCAATTCATTGAGAAACTCTTCAGAGAGACCATAGAACCAGCAGTAAGAGGAGCAAACAACCACCTTAGTACCTTCAGTTTCACAAAGATTGATATTGGTCATCAGGTCAGTGCCTGGGGAAACTTTTCTAAGAGATCATGTTTTGCATATCATTTTTATGTAGCYGGTTCAAATCTAAACAGAAGTATTTCTCAGTGACACTTGATCATAAGCCTGATTCTGGTTTGTYGTAACATTAAAATAAAAGTGTGTGGGTATTTTTAACAGAGGCATTATTACATTTCCTGGGATCTGCGCTTTAGAAACTTGACTGAGGATTTGGAGAAGACTCAGAGTATAATAATGCCTTGTCACATGARGAGCTCACAGCAATGTGATTTTAATATTGTTCATGTAATGTTTCATGTTAAGTGAGCAGGGACTATTATCCTTTTGCCAGATGATCCMAGGGCAGTTGTCTTGTGACAGATGCACTTTTAATCATGTTATGTGTGGAGTCACTGAYAAGGCTGCTGTCTTGGCTTTCCAAAGGACTGCACATAATACAGTATCAAGGAGCATGAAGATGTTTRTCTTCTGTTCCATCCCGTGAAAAGAAGAGTTCTCACCTGCAGAAGAGCCTGTTTTACCAGWGCAAGCTAAGAATGACTTCTCTCTGCTTGCAATAAGTTCAGCACTACCTAATTTTCCCTGCATCAACCAGAACTTTACTGCTGTTGAGATGCAGTTTAACAGCTTTTGTTTGAAGTTGTCTTTTGTGTTCCTATTGCTTGTCATAAATGGAATTTCAAGTAAGGATTTGAAAATCAACACCTCCACACACCTCCAAATGTTAGGAAACCTGAAATTAATTTTCAGGTGTCATAGAGAGGAATTACTGTTCTCTCTTTGTGACTCTTATTTCATGCACATTATAGTTCATTATACTTCACTGCACCTTTTTTCTGTTGGGTTTTGTTTTGTTTTTTTTTTAATTTTAAATTCTTTTACACAGGGCCCCTGTCCTGCCCTAGATATATTGCAGTATTACAGACTGTAGCATTCCTTTTAAGTCACACTAATTTTAAGTAATTTTTAGATTCACACACCTGTATGGTTCTGCAGCTGGATTGAGTAATCCTAATCTTGGACATGACAAACAGCTGTTCTTACTTTATATTGCAGCCTTGTTTGAATTGATTGAGCTGCCCAGCCCCAACACAGCAGTGAGATTTTGATTTTACATAAATTATCAAAAAGGGGTAAATAGAAATATGCTTTTTTTTCCAGAAAGAAAGAACTCAAAAGTGAGGTTGTTAGTCGTCCTCTTCTGCCTAGTGTGTGATGAGCATTTGAGGCTTGAGTGTGTGTACTGATACATCTAATTCTGTATGAGGAAGGGAGAGAGGGAGAGCATGAGCACAATGATTCAGAGAGAGAGCAGAGTGGTTGACACAACTTTTGTGGGAATCATGGATTCTTTTCCATCTATTCTCAATAAATTCCACTTAAGACAACTACCTTTATGTGAATTAAATTTAGCTTGTTGTTGTAGTTGCACAGAAAAGAATGCTTTGAGAGTGTTAGATATACACCTGTACAGAGAAATCGGGTATTTATTTATGTGGGGAAGGGGAAAAGCTTGATTACTAAGTATTTTGTAAATCTTGAAGTTTAGTGGTCTGTACCCAGGGGTAATTGCCACAAGGATTGTGGTTAAATGGTTCCCTGCAAGGTAATTTTTACCCTTGAAATAAGAATTTGAGCTAAGCTGACAGCCTTACTTCACACCCTTTAATGTTTGTAGTAGATTCTTAACCTCAGGCATGAATGTGCCTATATTCACCTTTGTTTCAAAGTTAAGAGTTTAATATGGTTCTGTAGAAGAATCCAACTTTTGCTTGCTTCACTATTTCAGCCTCTGAGGATAAATGGTGTAAAGGTGTACACTGAAAATGTGGACAAAAGGCAGATCATTTTGGATCTTCAAATCAGGTAAACTTCAATGGGGTCTGTGCTTTATAATATGCAGTCGTTGACAGTCCAACAAAGAGCAGCCTTCTCTGTTCCTCACTGCTTCCCTGGCAGTAGCCGGGAGTGTCATCAGGCATCTCAGTTTCAGAGTCACTTCCAAAATTTAAAGGTGGTTATTCTTAATTTTGAATAAATTGTCTAAAGCTCAGCTATGCTGAAGCCTCTGCTGCTTTGGCAGAGCTGTGCAGTCCCCAGAGCGACAAGAGAAAATGCTGCTGTCTCCTTGCCTGGGTTCCAGGGTAGATGGGGCCTACATCTGTGAGCAGAGTCCAGTCTTTACTGAATTGAATCACTTTATKTCTGTAGGAAAAAGGCAGCTGTCCAATTTGGGTTGGTGTTGCTGGATAAAATACAACAGGATTGGCTTTTGAGAGCTTATTTCGCTGGATGGGTGTGTTAGCTCTAATGGAAAAATTTCCTTCAGTTTTCTTTTTGTTGCCATTTTTGACACCAGCTGTGAGAGCGGCCTCATCTCTTCAAATAAGTCCTGAGGAGAACAATTTGTCTGACCACAAACAGACCATAGAAATTGTTTTTGGGAAGTTGTTTCTGAGACATTAGAAAGGCCAAGTCTTCCATGACCACTTCTTTCCTTTAAAGCAGAACTATTCACACAGGAAGACAGGGTATATCTGGGGTTTTGTTTTTTTTTTGTTTTTAATTTCTGCTCATCCTCATAAGTAGATAAAAGGCTAGTAGGTTTGTAGAAACATTTCAGGAATAATGTCRTATTACGTAGACCTGAAGGAAATCTTTACCCATGAGTCTCATTGTATTACATTGCAACCTACTTAGAGAGGTGGTAGACAGCTGCAACAGAATCCACTGTAAAAGGCTGGAATAAATTCCTTGAAGAGGTTTAAATAACAGTAATAGTGCTGGCTCAGCTAGGTGCCTGTTGAGCCCAGAGTCTGCCCCTACTGCCTGTGGCATAGGCTTCCAGGAAGAAAATGGAAACGAGAGCTATGGAGTGACTATCATAGCWTCTAGGAATTAAGGCTTAGACAAAACCATCATCAGAGGAAGTCCTGTTTGATATTTATGACTCGCCCTTGACACCTCATTTGGAAAGGGCTCTTTTTGAAAGGCTTTTAGTATGCAAGAAGACAGAGAAGCCCCCCTGGCCCCCAGGATCAGTTGTTACTGTTTGATGTTGTTGTTTTTTTTTAATAATTTGATTTATATTCCCTCTGAGAGTCTTATCACTGGGATTGTYTCAGCAGTAAGAGGAAGAGTAAGTGTCTCTTGATACATTAAGATATAAAGTTAAATACAGACACTGACCCTAAATTACGTCTTACATTGCAATTTTGTGAGATTATGAAGGGCACTCTCACTGCTGGACATAAGTCCRTACTTTGGATTACTTATCCCTGTAGATTTTAATCTCCAGTTAAGTTAGTTTGTTATAATTTTAATTTATTTTTAAGTTTAAACTTAGGTACTTTCTACAAAGCCTTCATTCCCCAAATATAGTTGAAAAAGAAAACAACCTCTCTAAGCCTTTGTAAGAATAGTTGTAGGAAGCCAAGCCCTATGGGGTGTGTGGTGAGGGAAGGAAGGAAAGATTTTATTTTATTTATATTTATTTTTCTGTTTAAAGTACATTAATTCTTTTAAGAATGCACTTTTATCCTTYGGTTTCACTGTTGTGGTTTCTTTGAGCCCTTTCTACTGTCATTTTYTTGTGGTGGGGTGTGTGCATTTGCTTTGGACCTCCCATAGTACATTTAATTAGCTTCAATGTGTCTCCAAAACTCTGGAGTATTTTTTTTGCATATCCTTGAGGGTACTTTTTTTTTTGTCTGCTTTTAATTTTAATTGCAAAAGGAGTGTGTTTTGGTTTAGTTCCTATTTGTTTCTGCAAAGATATTGAGTGCATTATGATCATTGCTTCAGAGTATTTTTCAGAACCCTTCAAAACAGGGTTCTGTGCATCTCTGAGGATCCATTTAAGAATTTAATTCTAAGTAGCTTGAATAGCTAATCCACAAAAGCACTCACTGGAGAACATATTTAAAGTTTCTKTTTGAGGACCATATTTGTGAAGGGAGCCTTTACCTTTCTCAAACTGTGACATTTATGCTAAAAAATTATCAAAACTCATGTTATGGTTTGAAAGTAAGTCTAGTTCTTGATGACAAAAATGGACAAAGGAAAAGTTTAAACTACTTGAGCGAATGAAGATAAAATAAAAATAAATTGTTAATAAAACGAAATCTTCTATTTGCTGAAGTGCATGAATGTAGTAAGTACATGGGGAAAGTTAAAGGTTATGGGTCAATAGAAGAGAAGATGAATTCAGTCAATTTAAATGAAAACTGTAGCAAAGGAAGCAAAAAAGATTGAGAGATTGAAGAAATAATTATTGATAGCCTGATTTTTTTCAGGTTCTCATGACACAGAAACATTGATGTTCCAAAAGAGTTTCAGTCTGCTGATTTAAACACATGGAAATTTTTTTCAAACATGACATACTTGAATGGGGAAACCCACTACATTGTACTGGCAGAAGATATAAAAATAGGGTCTAAAGATCTTCTAAAAACAATTAAGATAGACCAGTGTACAGATATGACAGTGTACACTGTAATATAGGAAATATTTTTTCCTAACCTTTTACTTTCTCTTCTTTTTCTTCTGGGTATCTTTCAAGGGCTGCAATGATCACATTCAGTGTATTGCACTTCCCTTTTGATTCAGTACAGCTGCTGTTAATACTCTTAAAAGAGTGTCCTCATTAAACTGTAATCTATCTCAGTGTTCCATTCCTTAAAGGGATCATAAATATTTCTGGGGTATTATGATCTGGATGTATAGAATTTGCTTACTAAATGAGCTTTAAAGTTGTGTGGTATATTACAGTGGAATTGTGTAGGCTGGGTCCATGTTGATGGACCTAGCCAAATATCTTGGGGGATAAAACCATATTTAGCTTTATTATAAAGTTAAATGTTGTTGACTTAGTCCCCTCAAATGCAGTTTGTTACTATTTTTACTTCAGTTTGTCTTTGTGTTGTTATGGATTTTCAAACAAGCATATTGCTTCCCAGTCTCCATAACACAAATAGTTCTGATGCTGCAGAGTGCTGAGATTGAGGTTTCAGTTGCAGGTTTTAATTGACCTTGCTTCTCTCTGTGTCATGTTGTTATGCAATTATATATATATATATGTGGGAGTGTATTTATATATATCTCTACTATCTCTATATATAGTTAGCTAGGTTAAAAATAGAAATTACATCRTTTTAAATTGTGTATTTAAAGTTATATACCTATTTTTAAACTGTTCAGTCACACTACATTCTTTCCAAGGAAAGCAACTGTCACCTTCCTTTGACATAGACCCCATCATGTTGTTGTCTTCCAGTTCCCAAACTGGCCATTGAACAAAAAGCATTCTGCATGGTGTTATCTTTTGAACAGTCAAAAATAAATTCCAGTGTTGGATGTTTACAGGAAAATCTTGGTACTATAGTTTATTTCTGTTTAAGGGATTGATAACGTTTGCATTTTTTGAAATCCCACAGACAGAGCTGCCGCACTCAGAGCGGRGGAGGCTACAGATGATTTGGATAATGTGTGTGTGGAATGCAGTAGCTCTCACCTTTATTTTCATTTGCTAGTACCTTGTGGCCATCAGGCTCAGGGGGAGGGAACAGCAATCCTGCTGTTCTGCTCTTACTTTGAGAGTAATTTATTTTCTATCGCCTCAAGCCTAGAATGGCTGATGAGGAGAGCAATTCCRTTTTGTTCACAATTCCCCAAACATTTTTATAGTAAGACTCCTTCATGTTCCCAAACATGGCTAACAGTGTTTCACTGTACRGGCCAGGTCGGAGGAGCTGGTGTGCAGAAAGCTGGGCTCAGCTGCAGAATGTGGAACATTCTGGCTTATAGAGGAAACAGTTTCCCCTCCTTCCAGCAGTGTCTGGCTTTAAGCTGTCTCATCTCCATGCCCCTTGGTTCCTTCTTCCATTTTTTTTTACTGGGCAGTCTGTTCACAAGGCTCTTCAGATTTCATTTTTCCCTCTGTTTTAGCCTCTATCTCCTYAGCCAGTGTCCTCATCCAGCTCATCTCCCCCTACCTGGAGCACGGTATTCAGSCTGCTGGGTTTTGCTTTTAGCTCTCATTCTGTAGAATCATTGACCACTTCCCTTGCTAAATCAGAGTCTTAAGCTTTGTTCTGGGATTCCTTGTTGAGTCTCAAAATTTGTTTGTTTTCAGAACCAATGTGTCTCACAGCASTACCAGCTCTTAGAAAAAAGTTGCTCAGCTCTGCTGGGGCACACTGGTTGGACTTGCATGTAGCTTCAGGGAAAACAGCTAAAAATCTAAGCCTGAGTTGTGGTTGTGTACAGATAATCTTGCAGCCTTGTAACGTGGACAAAATAGATGGGACTTGTTACTACCATCTTCTACAAATCTGAGATACAGGGGCAGCATCTGGAAGATTTCAATCACTTGACTCTGCATCCCCAGAAACGGGATGCAAGAACTGTTYGGGGGAAGATTTGCATAATTTTTAATCTCTAATTTGCTTCCTGCCTTCTCTTCCTTCAGAAAGGGCTCAACTGCTTTTGACTTAAAACTTGCTTAGAGRATCATTCAACTCAGCATGCCCAGCTTACTGAAATTCTAAGTACGCCTGGCTTTGMAAGTCTATGAATATTTCAGACAAGTTTCATTTTTAGCTTAACAGCCATCTCTGTCTAGTGCTTCTCATGATTACGTTAGTTGAGAGTGGWTTTGGGTACATTTACTATCAATGAGATTTGTGGAGAGCTTTCCTGCAATGGGGTATGAATTGTGTGTCCCTTATTTCCAAATGGACATTATTTTCTGCTGATTTTCTATTCTGCATCCTTCTGGAGATGGTAGCAAACCTAGGCATTGATTCAGATGATTTTGATTACAGTGGTGGTGTTTTGAAGGGATGTTTTTGCAAACTTTACATTGTTTTATGTTCCGATATTTTAACATACATTTTTTTGTGCATACACTGAGATACAGAATATGTTGTTATGACACTGCAAAACAGAAGTAGCTGTTTAATGCAGTTTAGTCCATAAAAGTGAATTATGTACTTTTTTTTTGGTTTAGTTTTGTTGGAAACTGTGAAATTGATTTGGAGATCAAGAGATACTTCTGCAGAGCTGGTGTGAAAAGTATACAGGTAAAATTCAGTTTTTTTCTTTTGATTTTCGTATCACTTAATCATTATTTTCTGATGAAATAATTGATAAGAAAAGTAATTGTGTAGTTTTGTTGCTTACTATTTTTTTTTCTTACTTGAATAATATTGATATTGCATAATAATTTCRGTAACATGACTTAACAAAAGAATAAATCCCCTTAAGATTTAGRACTATTTCAKATATMTAGCRTTTAMTACATGAAAAGCTGGAGATARCTTYRYATCAAGCCAGTGTGATGTGTCSTGTGTTCAAGKGATGTGTCAGTTGATACAGGCACCACAGAGCTTAATATTTTATTTCATTTAATATCTCAGTGTTAGATGGAATTAMTAGTTTRGAKGCAATTACTATTAATATCCTTGCCTTCTCATATTGTTTCTGAGGTTTCCTTTACTTTCTGATGACAGAGTACTCCCTAAATATGAAAATTAGCTCTTTTGCATGTGTGTGTCTTGACACACSTATAAGGATTTACCTGCTTTTGCTGTGGTACCTGTGGRYGCCMCTGTGCTTCTTGTGTCACATTTGTTTACACTGAGCTGTAGAAATAATCTACTTCACAGCTTTACAAGACTACCACTAACCTGACAGCATGATACAGATGAATGTAATGAATTTTTAAGCACAGCTATTAAGTGCTTGTGTGAAGTTTTTGGGGTTTGGATGACATGTCAGGAAAGTTATATATATATATATATGTAAAATTCTTCCATGTGCAAGAATTTATTGAATTAGAACTGTGAGAAGTGCCAGCAAATAATTTTTTTAAAACTTGAACTGGAGTAATTTTGTSTTTTTTTTCTTCCCCTTCCACAGATCCATGGCACCATGAGAGTTATCCTGGAACCACTCATTGGAGACATGCCCCTAATTGGAGCACTTTCCCTTTTTTTCCTTAGGAAACCTGTAAGTACTTTTATCTCCCTTTCTACTTAGAGTGCTGATGATGGAATCACCTAATTCCACTGGAAAATGGGCTAGGCCAAAGTGCACATTTATGCAGGAATAATAGTGAAACAAAGGTTAGCCAAGAAGGTCTTGCTGGTATGAAAATGATACAGCCAGACTGGCATGTGTAAACAAGAGGACAGCCCTCAAATGCTTTAAGTTTTAGGCACAGTGCTTCAATAAATCTTGTTTTATAAAAATATAAATGATAACAAAACGCACATTGCACACTGGCTGGTGGAAAATTCTTTGATGTTGTTTATGTGTGTCTGAGACAGTTTCGGCAATTTGAAGTTTGATATTGCTTTTAGTAAGTATCAGTAAGAGAGCTTAATAGAAAATGTAAACATGGAAATTCTTATGCTACACAGATTTCTTTAAAGAAATTAATTGTTTCTGTCTCATACTTGGAAATATATTTTCCATTGAAAGCTTTTGTTGAATATATTTTAATTAAACATTAAAACTTAGAATGCCAAGATTTAACAGTTTCAGACTGGCAGGTCACAAATTACAAGTGGATGGGTTTAGACACTTGGAAGCATCTCAAATCGTTCATCTTGGTTTCATCAGCAGTCTGAAATTCTGGAAAATTGATTTAGTTTACAAAGCTTGGGGGGTTAGAGTGAATTCTTCAACAGCTTTAGGAGGTWTGTTGTTATTTTCTTCAAATAAATCACATTCTTGTAATACAGTTCTTTTGAACAAATGYCCCATGATAAATTTTTGCTAGCTGGTTGAAAAGATAGGTTTGGTTTTGGGTGTGTATGGGTGGCCTAGAAAAAGCTTGTGTCACTTGTGGCTAATTTCATCTGTCTAGAGAAACCATATGTGCTTGGGTAGAAGGAATAGAGAGTTAAATCTTAGTAAAATATACAAGAATTTGGAAATACTTCATGCCTGATCTAGCCAGTGTTTTTGTAAAAATGAATTAGTTCATGCAAAACTGATAAAACATAGTTGCTCTTATTTGGAAATTGGTTCATAGGGATGAACCAAATTTGGATTTTCACAGATTTCTTTGAAGTGAGTCTAAACATTAGATGTCTGCTTAGGTTTCACCTCATTTTTACTCTCTGGCTGAGCAGTGAGTGTAGGACATCTGTTAATCTTCATGTTTATACTGACAAAGTAAGCATGGCCCTGACAAGGATTGCATGCTGTCTTATGCTGGTTTGCACTATGTAATTATTTTGATATTATTCTGCTATTTAGTCCTCTCCAAAACAGTTTCCAGACTTAGCACAGTGCCCAGCTCATTCCAGGCACCATGCAATAAACAAGTTAAATGCAAACATTCTTGTTTRGAGGAGCAGGGAGAAAAGTGTGATGCATCTGCAAAATGCTTAACTAAGACAGCTTGCACCTGAGAGAAGAAACTGAAAACWTACCAAGTGAAACATCTCTCATTTGGGGTCAGTTTCTGAACTTTGGGAAATCCTTTGTCCAYAGTAATTTTGTCTTTGTTCTTCGTCCCCCATGGCATTTTATTAGGGATTTGGTTGACTTAGTTGGACAAAAAAAAGAAGGGAAGAAGAGTGGAGCATGAGCTTGGACTATTAAAAAGTTAAGCGCTCTTCAAAAGTATTCAGTTACAAAAATGTAACTGAAAAGTTTACAAAAAAGGGGTATTTTTCACCTTCCTTTCATTTAATGACTAAGATAGTGGTCAAGATCTGAGCAAACCTAAGGGTGAATGGTTCAAAAAATAATCTAAGCCCAGAATTTTGACAGTTATCCATGGCTGTTCAGCCTTTTCCAAACAGATTTTTCACTGCTGCATGTTTTCTCAGTGTTTATTTTTCTAATTTCTGTAGAAAAAGGTAAAATGATRCTTATTATAGCAAGCACCAAATTCTGTCCTCTTGCTAGAGAGCAAGAGGCTGCTGCCAAGGAAAGTTTTTCTCAAATATTTTTGTTAGAAGAGGAATTAGTTGGCAGCTAGCATTAGATTTTGTTCTCATATTTTCCAGTCTAAAGTAACTGGCAACAATTCCTCTTGCTCTGTATCATCTGTTTGCTGGACTTAATGACTATATAAGGCAACATGGCCTATGAGTTTACCAGTCTCATATTTCTGAGTAATACATGAAGTTTTTGATCTTTCAAGAGTTCTTACATCTTATGAAACTTTTTAGAAGCYGTATGTTGTTGTTATTATTGTGAGGAAGATGCTAAAAGTTGCATCAGCTTATAAAATATRCTCAAATATTTAGGAGATTTCAAGGGAGGGAAATATGTGCATTCTAATGTTTGAAGCAGTCTTTTAAATCTCTGAGAGAGAGAGAAGGTAGCCCTGGATAAAGTCAGGATTTGTGAGGTTCTTGGCATACTCATTATGTTAATGTTATGTATATTTACCAGATATTTGGTTCTCCAAGTTTTAGTTATCTTTTTACTTTTAGCACAAATCAGTACACAGTTATTTTGATTTGGGGTTCCGTTATAGAAGGTTATATGGCTTASAGTTGTAGTGTGAGTTGGTAATTTTCAAAAACTTGTTCAGGGRCACATTTGAAATTAAGGGTGTGTCCTAACCCAACCGTTTTCTCTTAATAAAAGCCCAAACCCTCCCAATAGGACAAACACATATACTATTGTTCTAAAAAGAACAATGGCTGGAAAACAGGATGTTTTCCYGGAAAAGTGGGCAGCTCTTCCAAAGCTCTCATTTTCAGATTCACAGTTTTGCTTTCCASTTGCTGTCTTCAGTATTTTAGCAGTCGGTGGTCAGCTCACTAAAGAGTCAAGAGAGTGTTGAGACTGTTGTGAGGGTGTGAACCAAAATTCAGACTGGTAGAAGGGTAAGAAGGAGTAAAGAAGGTGGAGAGAATTGGATTGAATGAAACTGTGAGTAGTTGACACTATGGGGAGCAGCAGGTGTACTGGATTTGTGTAAAGTCCACTGTGATCCTTCTTCTGGTCACTTCAACTCGGAAACTTGTCTGCTCTGCCTTCTACCCCCTCAACTATACATCTCACCTCTCTAGCAATTGTCTCACTTAAATCTTCAGAGAGTTAYAACTGATAAGCTTGTAAACCAATTTCTGTGTGTAGATACGGAGTGTTTCCTATAGCAACCAACAGGACTACTACAACTACTCTCTGTAGTATTATTTGAGAGGTTGAGTTTATTTTATATTTCCTGGGAGACACACTAGATAATGTTATGTATTAAATTATTACAATAGTGTAGGCACTTCAGAATTGTAGGTGCTGATAGGCTTTGCTCTGCTAACAGACAAATTGTACCCTGTCTCTGACCATTCACAAGTAGCAGAAGTGGGCATATTAGTCCCATCCTTATAATACATTCCTGAGAAGAATCACAACTTATCCCATGGAGTTGTATGATCATGCCCCGTAGTAAAGCTTAAGCTTTTCCTGCAGAAATCTTACACTTCTATAACTCATTTAGCAGGAAGTTGTTAATCAGCATTTCAAAATACTTTCTTCCGAGAATTAGTAGTGCTTATGGCAGCCACATCAAGCCACAAAGTTGGCAGTATTTAGAGGCTGCCTTTTGTGCTTCTATGAATTTTATTMATGGCCTTTTGCATTCTACATTCCAGCGTTGCAGTACATATTTTTCTCTTTCTAAAGGCTCTAAGCTATTGAGAACACCCAATGTGTATAAAGATGCTCAGCTGTTTTTAGACTGTCTTTTCTTATAGGCTGCAGGGGTTAATTTTTTWATTTTATTTTTTCACCTCTTTCAGTGTATGTGTTGCATTAGTTCTCAGTACAGAGCTTTGGTAAGACATGAATTTCTTGGTTTTCAGGGAGGTAACAAAATCTGTTTTCACTTGTCTGAGCAGAGGAAGATTTGTAAGAGGTTTGAATAAAAAGAAACACAGACTACTTCATCGGAAAGTGTAACTGGTGTCTGGAATCCTATTCTTGTGAGCTGCCTGCTAGAGTTTGCAAGGCACATCACCTCTCTCAGTTGCAATGTGGTGTGGACAGACACGATCATTTCTGGCTTCTGGCAGAACTTCACTTTGTGACAAATCCTGCACACATTTTTTCCAGTGTCCTGTTAGTTCTGCTGCAGAGAACCAGCTGGCATTTTTTGAATTTAGCTAAAATAAGAGAATTATGCATTGCTTAAAGTGGTGACAGAGAAGGAAATTATATTGTTAAGCCRTTTTTTAAATATGGAAATTTTTTACATTTGGTGCTTCATAAAAGATTCATCAGCTGGCAGTCTTTTGTGTACTCCCTTTTTCTCCATAGGGCTCTTCAGTTAGYTGGGATGGCAACGTTGCTGTAACTTCGGTCAGAACTACAAGTTAGGGAATCATCTGCTTTTCCAGCAAGTGATGGCATGSCAGTGCCCAAAATGTAGAATAAAAACCCTTGTTATTTCTCTGGACTGTGGCTGGGGGACTCCTTCCTGCCTACCAAGAAATTMTTTGTCTCCTTTCTTCTCAGTCTGCTGCATCTTTTTTCTGCTATTTCTATACTTTTGCAGGTATAAGGATTTTTTGTCTGAACTGGTGTTGCCTTTTGGCAACTCTTTTTCTGTTGCAAACAGTGTATCTGTTGCTGGTCTGATTTTGTTTGGAAACCAAGCGCAGACTTGGAMCAACCTTATTGAAGGAATGTCAAGGTGATGGCAGGGGGAGATAGAACACTTAAAAAAAAAAAGAAGAGGAAAAACCACCACTATTTCTCCCTAATTCGTGTAGACTCATWTTAGAGTGTGTGTTACTGCTGGGTACTTCTGGTAAAACGGGAAAGGAAGCTCTGTGGCAGGCAAATATAGCAAACTTTACCTGCAAGGCAAAGTTCCCATCAAACCCCAAACAGTAAAAGCTTGATTATGCCAGGAGTTTGAAAGCTCATGTTCCTTCCAAAACATTTAATGGCTTAAGATTTATTGTCAAAGCTTTTTTAATAATCCTGCAAAGTGCTTAGCCATTTTTTAATTCCTGAGCTTCAACTTCGAATGGAAAAGGATTGGTCTTTAACAGTTCTGAAAATGGTCTTTGTTCCTGCAGAGTAAGTGGATGAAGAAGAGGTTCTGATATTCTRTGTATACTAATTGCATTTCTTGGCTAAATGACCACTCTTAGTAGAACTGATTTCAGGTTTTTTGTATAATTGTTTTCCATGCTTCATGCTCYAGGGACTGATGATGGAATGAATGGGTGGCCTTGTTTGTGAGCAGAGGTGTGTAATAATCAAAACATTGAGAGTAAGGTTGTACCATAGGCCCTGTTTGTCTTTCATATGCTGTGGTGCAACCTTTAGAAATGCTTTTTAGTCACAGCAGTGGAAAGTGTCAGTTGTCAGTGACATCTCTTAGGTTGTTCTTGGTTTTCTGTTGGGCTGTGGCAGTTAATACAGAAACCACTGTGATAAATGTTTTTGTCCAATGCAGGGGACATTTCTCAATGCTGAGTTTCAACATGCATTGTGTTGCTCAATGCATTTATTCAGTCAAATCTATTTAGGAGACAGCACAAAMCTTTGCTGTGTTAATTGCTGTATGCAGTACACTGTACAAAATGTGAAAACAAAAGGAAATGCAAATATTCTCTCATTTGCTATTTAGTCTGAAAACATCATTATGTAAAACGGTTAAATACAGAATGCAGGTATGAACACCTTAKGATAGGGACCACTTTTTGAAGGTATTTATGGTGTGCATTTTCTTCTATTTTGACTATGAATAAAGAAATAATAAATCATACAATAAACTGGGTTCTTTGTCTTAAAACAGTATAAAATTACTTCTTCTCGAACCTTGGTAGACTGCATGGATTTTTACAGTGTCACTTTATGTACAGTCACAACTTGTGATTTGAACAACAGAATTAGTCTGAATACTCAAGTTGTGGTTAGTCTTATCMAAAGCTACTTGTTTGCTTTATTACTTAAACATTTGTGAGTCTGCAGGATTGAGGAAGTAGTACAAAACTGAAATYATTCACGCTAAGTTGGGCTTTTTGTGCTGGTTCAGTTATTTATTTCTTAACTTTTTTGTTTCAGATTTAAGATGAGAAGATTTGAGAACATGCACTAATAATTGTAGTAAATTGGAAAACTAGAAAAATGTACTAAAATTCTTTCTGTTTCCTAAATGAAAATGTTTAGTGTTCTAGTTCATAATTTATTATTGTAGAACTGTACAGCTAAGTCTTGCATACCAATGTAAAAGAACCCATTTTATAACAAATTATTTCCATCAAGGGTTTATTAGCATTCGGAAATTAAAAACTTGATAGCTTTAAAATTGATAATGATGTAGAAAAGAAATTACAGCACCTCAAAAAAAAAAAAAAGAAGAAAAAGACTGTTCAATATACAGTATGAGTTTCAGCTAAGAACTTAGTCTCTTCTGGATGGTATTACTGCCATTTAGCCTTGCTATTATTCCATAAATAGATATGCATTAGCTTTTTCTCATTAAAATAATCYTACTGGTACTCTAATAGAAAGTGGGCAAAACTAGTTGTAAATGAGGTGCTTTTAAAAAGACATTGAATACAAAAYGGTGTTGCAGCCACTGATAGACGTGTGCTTTCACCTGAAGAAYGATGAAGGCAATCTCTGTAGAACTACTGAGGAACTTTTTTCCCTCTAAATTCTGATAATCTGGTTTCATATGTATATGATCTGGTGGATGGCTTAGTATGAATTCACTTTCTCTCACATAGGCATCTAGTGTGACTGTCTGTAGAGAGGGGACATCAGAAACAGGATCTCTGACTTTCTGGAGARACTGCTGGGTGGAATTATTCCATGKTTTTTCCTCATGAAGCCCAGGGTAGCCTTAGCCCTGTTTATGGCAAGGGCATGTTGCTGGCTCATGTAGATTCTTGCAGTACATCCCATGATATGTCTTGCCTTTTGTTTTGGAATATCTGGTTATTACATCTTTTTTCATTGAAAGGAAAATGATTTTTTTCTTTTTTCCTGCTTAATTTTGTTGCAGGTAGGCCTGGTAACATTGTTTACAGGTAATATTTTTGAAATAATTGCCACCGTTACAAAAGTATATCAAGTAGCAGTGCTCCATATATGAGTAAATGTATTATGTGTTATCTTTACTGGAAGTATTTGCAAAGGAAATCATTAATGGCACTATTAATAGAATCTTTGTAAAAGAATGGTACGTACTATTTTTAAAAAAAGAAAGTGAAGATAGGGTGATGATTCTTGCCTGTTTGTGAAAATAGGGAACATTTGTTCTTGCAGAGATTTGTTGTTTTGTTTTAACATGTAGCTGAAGCACCACAATTAGTTTCTTAAGTGAGGAATATCAAAATCCTTTTTTTAAGGCAGTTTTGCATAGTTTGGGTGAGGTGGATTTGGAAACATGGTGATAATTGGGTGGGTTTGGATTTGTTTGTTGCTTAAATATTCAGTTAACTTCTATGAAGGTAATAGAAATCACACCGTGAGGAGAGAACTAAGGTAACTCAGGTCTGTTGGTTTGTTATCTACAGTTGGAATATTATAGAATCAAAAAGGATGTTTTTAATTAGTTGTTATGCCAGCAGTCCTGAAACAGAATAGGTACCTTCATACAGCATAATATCCTGTAAAGATTTTCAGGGACGAAATGTATGATCTAGCAATAAGTTATCCTTATTAATTATTTCTGAGGTTTTTTTCTCACTTTGATACATAAGCCTGTTAATACCTCTCTATCAGTGAGTGATARAATGGATATATGCCTTGAAAACAGCCTCCTCTTACATTTGCAAGCTGTTATCACATCTTCCTTCCACCTTTTAATCCCAATTCTTCATTCTTTCTGTTGGTTATACCTTCTAGAGCTCTTATTTTCCTGGTCTCACACGGAATTCTTCATCAGTTTATTATAAATTGCAAACTCATTTTAATGGCTGTTCATCTGTAATGGGTCATGGTGACTCCAGAAATATTCCTCCACAAAACAGGACCACATTTCATTATTTTATATTGTGTATTTATATGCATGTGTGGAAGAGTGGATAAGAGGATGGTGAAACTTTTTATAAGCATTTTACAAAATGTATCTAAAAAATTTTAATTATGGAAGAGAGTTGTTTTATTTGTTTGTTTAAGAAAATCCTGGGAACTGGTTAACGCTTCGCTGATCAGAATCTGAAACAATTAGGTTTATTTCTTCAGTGTTATGAATTCTCAGTTTTTTTTTCCCCTTCCTTTTTTCACCCCTCCCTCTTTTCTGTGTAATCCACAGCTTTTGGAAATTAACTGGACTGGACTGACCAATCTTCTGGATGTTCCAGGACTGAAGTGAGTATGCGTAAAGCAGTATTTGATATATCTGCACCCCAGTAAAGCCTAGAAAATCTGATGACCATCAGTTGAATCACATTTAGGTTAGATTACTCTGAGCACTTCTCTCCTAATGCAGAATTATCTGAAACTGCTCCATTTGCAGAAGGTAGGGGTTTCTCTACAAGGCAAAATAAACCAGAAGTATATCTAGTAGTCTTGCTAAAAATACTTTCAAAATACATTTTTTAATATACTTCTTTTAGTATTTTCAGCCTTTTCTGATTTCCAGAATCTTTTGAATTTCCTATCTGCCATCTCCTAGGACAGCAGAAAGACACAGAGCCTTCCTTTCATGTCAGTGGGTTCATAACATAGTGGCTCTTGGCTTTGTATACAATCCATCCCTATTTGCTTGTGTRAAGGTAGTTAGAAATACCTTAAGACTATTCAAATTAAATAAAGTTTATARTATTTTCAAGTGCTTGCTTTTAAAGCTTTCAGTTTATTATGTGAAGATCAAGTGGAGTAGCAAAAATATTGGTTATATAGCTATAAAAATGCTTATCTTACTCAGAGCTTTTCCTAATACCACAGGATAAAATCCCAAATTAAAAAAGCATCAATAGAGATGAAAATCAAGCTGCTTTGAACCATTGCAAGCCTGATAAAGTTAAATCCATTAATATATTCATATTTATCAGGTTTTATTAGTTACCCAGGGGCTTTTTAATATGGAAACAATGGCAAAGGAGATTATGGTGGATCTGATACACACTTGGATTGTGTTCCTACCCYTTTTATTAGATCCCATACTCTCAAGAGTTGGCTGATTCCAGGACTATTTTATATTGTTTCAAAACAGGAGTTTGAATTTAAGTATTAAATTAATCCCTTAGTAATCAGTTGCATGATTGAAGTGCGTTTTGCTTTCCTTGGACACGTGAAGCCATTGCATGGAATCCCAGCTGAACAGTTTGAAATTAGAACTTGCATTAAGTAGGTTAATGGCTGCAAGAATTACTCATGTTTCAAGCCTGCTGYAGGTTGTCTCTGAGGAAAGAGGTTTTCTTGGTGAGTGAGAGAAAATGGCTTCCAAAATACAGCTCCCGAGTAATAATTTGCTCTTTTGATATAACATGACTAAATTTACATTTAGTACTTAAGTTTACTAGGCTCCTGAGATTCACATCCTGCCACATATTTGCCTGACTGCAAACACAAAACCTCAGATGTAAACAAAGTCTCGCTCAATATCTGAAGTTTATGGTTTCCAGAGCAACCAAACTTGGCCACACATGCACAGACTGGTGCCATCTAGACCTGGTATAGTTTCTATAGTAACTGTAACTGAGGTGACTCATGCTCTGCCTTGCCAAGAGGTTTCTGTAGTGCTGTATTTGTTTTCCTTATCTGTAAAGATAAGTTGTATATTTTGGTATGACAACTTGACATATTGTAGTCGGTACAGACAATGATGAGCAAGAGATTGCTGCCACCACAGGTACGTTTAGTCCTGGGGCTGTTGGCTGCACATATGAACTGCATATTTGTAATGAGTTTGCAAATACCTTCTACTAATTGAATTTCTGCATTAGCTGATGGAAGCTTCCCCTGTCAGCTGTTAACAACTTTCATTGTTCTTCCTATATGACTCCACAAGGAGAAGGACACACAAGTAGTTCATACTCCATCATTAGTGCAGCTTGCAGAGAAATGGAATWAAAATCTCTGTGTGAGGAGGAGCCAGGCTGTGAGAATGCTCTAGTGCTGTCAGGAGGGGATGGGGATGATAGGAACATGTAATGGTTGCTTGAGGTACAGTAAAATCCCTCTATGCAGCCAGAGATGTGCTGCCTGCAGTATGAATAAAGACAATGCAGGAAAAACACACAGCTGATAAAAATTTGTAAAAATTAAGTGGAGCTAAATGGAGAGCAATACAAAAGAGTAGGCAACTAACAATTACTGTTGTGCAATAAAGTTGAGCTTTTAAAGACACAGTCTAATAAACTGTATAAAACATTGCACACTGCTTTCATCTTTATGAACTGAAAAAATAATTGTACATAGAACATGACTAAAGTTTTATGATCTTAGGAAGCTGTTTTTTAATGATGGATCAATATAAGAGTTTATATTGGTGCATCTTTCTCTTTTGCTTGGTCAGTATTTTGTTTTTGTTTACCATATGTCAGACCTCTTAATAAGTGACAAAAAATTCAGGAGATTTTCATTTTTGCCTTGTATTCATGAAGAATACTTCCCATCCAAGAGCACCCCAGCAGGCTTATACTAGGTGAGATTTAAACAGCTAGAAAGCATCATGTTGTTTGAAAATTCATTTAATTCATTAGTTAGTTATAATTTTCAGTGTTCTTTGTTCAGCTCCCTATATTTAAAGTTAAGATATACTCTGCCTTCTAGGATTCTGGTTTCTCTGTGTAAAACTTGGTKAAACTTCATTAATGCTGGCTCATTTTTCTCAGATGTTTTAGTGAAATTCAAGTATTAACGTTGGGATAAAGTTACGAGAGCGACCTTTGGAATCAGAGTTGGGGTTTGGTTCTGGCAYAAAAGATTATGAGTCCTGCCAGTGATTGGGCTGTGTTTCTTTCTTTTACTTAAGGAGATTTGCTGTAACTCTGAACATTAGTCATTCTCTGCAYGTTAGGCTAGTCTAGAGTAGGTTTAGCCTCTGGCTTCTTTCATAAAGTCTGATCTTAAGGAAATTCTAGAAAAGAGCAGGACAGCCTTTCTTTCAAGGCAGCTCTGATACCACTGCTTTCCTTGCATTGCTCCTTTGCTTTCTCTGACCTAGGTCAGTTGGTTTTCTCCATCAGGCATTTGCTCTTAAGGGACTGAGCATAAAGGCAGAGCTTTCTCTTCTTGCCAGCTAAGTACACTAACAAAAGCAGGAACAAAAAAACTATACTAGAGTTCTGTCATGAGACTTGTRTTTTGAAAAGTGTGATTGTTGCTTKTATAGTWACCATCACTTCAGCTTGGGTTTTTTWATTTTTTTACCTTTKAATGTTAAGACTGGTAAAGATGTTTATCTTCAATTTTTTGTCAGCTTTAACAGCATAATCAATTCTATTTTCTTGGCTCATTTTAGAGAGTTAAGCATGCATAAATTGAAAACTAGATGTTGGGCAAAATGAAACTTAAAAGTTTGAAAAGCAGTATGTTGGCTGCTATGATGGCTCAAGAAAGCTACTCTCCAGATTCCATCATTATCTTGTAGTATTTGTCTTCAGAATTAATGAAACTCAATTTTTAGGGCTCACATAGAATGAAAATCTTTGTAGGTGTGATTGGATAAGCTCTGCAGGGATGGAAGGGGAATGAAGACTCTTCAGGACAGATGTGAATTAGCTCWCAGAGGCGGAGAGGAGACTTTTCCTCGGAGCTGTATCTTAACATTATCCACTGTTGCTTCTTTCTAACCAGWGGTTGCACAGACCTGTGCGTTGATTTTGATGCTGCCTTGAGCTCCTTCTGTTCCCGTTGTTCTGAGTACCATTAAAAAGTCAGCCATGTTCCATCATGTAGTTATCTGGGTTTAGAGTGGAAGTGGGCAGCCAAGGCGGTGGAGGCTGTGAAGGTTACAAATCTCTGGCATGAAAATCAGTGTGCATTTCTAATGGGTCAGGCAGTATTTAATGGGTTCATTCTGTTGCCCATCTCTAACATAATGTTAATTGCACACCACAACATTTTCTTTCCAAATGGAAATGTAACATCTATCACATTTCACTGCAGGTTTTTTGTTTTTGTGTGCTAGCTCCTGAACTACTCCCAGCTTCAGATTTAGTCTTAGAAAAACTTCCCAAAGTACTCGCACACAAGTGCTTCATCCAAAAAATGTTCRAAGTAATCAAACATTATCTGCATCTTGCTTTCACAAAGACTGTGAAAAGGGAATCATGGGGTGTATTTAGGAGGAGAAATTGCAGCTCCACCAGCTTTAGTGGGAATGCACCTCCACAGTGCAGAGTATTTCAAGTATTTTTGTAATTGCCTCTGAACTTTTGTACACACTCCTGAGACCTTCCTGAGTACTTGTGTTCCGTGTTCTGCCTCTTGCCTGTGTAGTCAGTGTGTGCAGCCAGTGCTGTTTGACGATGAACTGGTTTGTTGTCAGTTCAGACCTGAGCTGGGTGAACTTGTAGCTGAGGAAATGGTTCTCTTTTCTGTGTTTGTGGAAGGGTGTGGGGTTGGGTTTTATGTGATTCATTACCARTGTGGTTGCGCTGCCACTCCCTTTCCACTGAACAAAACCTGTTTTGCTTCCCTAGGCTACRTTTTACTCAGCCATGAGCTTGTGTTGTGTGTGCCTGTGGTTTACACGGTGTCCTCCCAGCTCAGGAGGACAGCTGATTTCATAACAATACAAGGAAYGGGTAGCCAAATATCCAAGCACTTMAATCATTATTGAAATATGAAAAAAAATAAACACCATCTGCTTGTTATATGCAATGCAGGCAAGAGAACTTAGGCAATAGCCTTTTACTCGGGCTGGTTTTAAAAGGCAAGGGTGAGGGGGGAATCTGSCTGTGGCAGGGAAATGGGAACTTTATATTCATCCTTGTGATTTCTGCTATTCAGTGTCAGCTGCTTCCACCTGGTGGCCGTTTGGGCAACAATTCTCTATTTTCTTTTAAAGTGTTTAAAAGCCAGATGTGTCTTCTATCCCCCCAGAAAGGCAAATATTTTCTCTGTTTAGGTTGTTAAGCAGCAAAAGATGTGATATTGGTGTGATACAACATCTTTGACTCCCTTGAAGTAACTGGGGATTCTTTTYTCCAACAGTGGCTTATCAGATACAATAATATTGGATATAATATCCAACTACTTGGTCCTTCCAAACAGAATTACAGTCCCCCTTGTCAGTGAAGTGCAGATTGCTCAGCTGCGATTTCCTATACCAAAGGTAAGTATGTTTCTGTTAGYTAACAGTAATAATTGGGCATTTARTTTTTTCTTTAGTAACTGTTCAAGRCACATCTGTGTGAATTTCTCAATACAGTTACTGCAGTCGTACAAGTTGTTGTGAATTCAGTCACTGATAATAATTGATTTAATGTGTAGACAATTTCTGTGAAATTAATGTTTCAAAGGAGCACCAGGAAATATTTATTCTCTTTTGGTGGAATCTTAAGCATATTACTTTCTATGATGTAGTTCAACTGTACAGATTAAAAATTAAGTAGCATATGTTTTATGTTATCATAGAAAATTGCTTTTAGTGTGCCTCACTAAACAGTTGTTGTATTTTTTTCTGCTCACTACCAGTACTGTGGTATTTCTTGATATAATTGGCATGTTTCTGATGGCTGATAACAATTTTTCTTCTCAGGAGTCTCCTGGGTGCTAGGTCTGTTGTGTGTGTGGATCATCACTGATTTCTTCTATTTACAGTATATCCAAAATAAGTTTCMTGTTAAGGAAAAGGCAATGGAAATTATAAACCATCCATTGTATAAATTGTGTTGACATGGAAGCTTTCAGATTACTACACAAACTCATCTTTTCCTTTTCCAGGGTGTTCTAAGGATACACTTTATTGAAGCTCAGGACCTGGAGGGGAAAGATACTTACCTAAAAGGGATTGTCAAAGGAAAGTCAGATCCTTATGGAATCATCCGTGTGGGCAACCAAATTTTCCAAAGCAAGGTCATCAAAGAAAATCTCAATCCAAAATGGAATGAAGTTTATGAGGTATAACTAATGAAAATATCCTGTTGTATATTCTGTAAAGTTGTCTTCTAAAGTTCCATTTGTTAAAGAGGATATTTTGTGGGGGTCCTCAAGGAGCTTCTTGATGTCTCCCTCTAAAAGCCCAGAGTTCTGTAGCAAAACAGAAATTCTCCATTGGTTTATATACTTCCTTTTCGTACAGACTGAGCATTACTAATTCTGAAAAGCAGCTTGTGCTCTTTCTGCCAACATTAACAAATTTCATCTGAAAAGCTCTTGAAATTGCTCTGCTCATTAAATTGCAATTTTTTTAAAGCACTTGCATACTGATGTATTTTATTGCACAAAGGTGCTTCAGCTCAGTGTTTTACTGTTGCTATGCCATTGAAACAAGCTGGKCAGTTTTACTGACCGTGCCCTCTCACTGTACTTGCAGGCCTTGGTATATGAACATCCAGGACAGGAGCTAGAGATTGAGCTCTTTGATGAAGATCCAGATAAAGATGACTTCCTGGGAAGGTAAAKGTTATGGAGAATATGTTTGTAGGTATTCGAAAGAAGTTAAATATTGCCATTTTTCTTTAATTAYAATTTTTATTTTATTGCAGTTGTTCTGCTATCTAATTGTATTTATAAATAAATTATCTTGTTTATAAGTAATTCCTTAACTACTTAATATATGTAAATATATTTATATGAAAGTGTGCTTGGGTGTCTATGTATACATCTATGTGTTTACATCTTTAAAAACCAAAGTAAGTATTGTGGGTATCCAGAATTGCACACTAGCTGCTTTTATTTTTGTAAGCTAGCACTAAGTCTTAATTTTTACTTCAGGCAAAGTTAATACAGTTTTAATACGGTGTATCTTCTTCATCTCATAGCTTCTGAATGATTGTCTCAAGTTTATTTTTCTCTTAAGAGCTGATCTTAACTATTTGATTAAAGAAAAAAATTTCCTGTAATGCTTTTGCAAACATGACTCACTCTGACTCCATAGGCCATAGGTGTTGACCCATAAACATTTCAGGGTTTTAGTGAGCTTCTTTCTCCAGTAATTTGTCCCCTTTATTTCTTGCRGTTTTGGACTTTCCCATTGTTGCTTTCCATAAGAGTAAAACTCCCTTATCTTTCCAGCTCCTTCTCTCTTTACAGGAGCAGCRGTACCTACTTCTCATTAAAATTAGAAGTAGGTAGTACAAAGGCTTCTTTTTCTTTTCACTCCCCTAATGTTACACTGAAGTGTTGTAAGAAGCGGTGGTGGGGGGAAGTGACACAATCTGTACATCAGTTCGTATAAAGTAAAAAGCCACACAATTATTCCTGCACTGGCATGCAGTTGTCTGCTCCATTTAATTTTTAGCAGATTCATTCCCTGCTACAATTTTAGCTTGTGTGAACTAGAACTCTCTCATACACTACCAAAGCAGGAATTTGGTCAGAGCAAATGTCCAGGTGTTATTTCCAGTGGGTGGTTTGGATGTGTTTTGAGAGTTGGGTCATATATGTGAATCATATTGTGTCAGTTTGCCCTCATGGGCATTGCCCAAAATGGGCTCTAAAGCAGGCATATGTTCTGTTATCCTGCACTCATCTTTGTTCATTCATTTCATTACCTACTTCTTCTTTTCTTAGGGGCTAGAAGAATAGTATTTTGCTCTTTTGATCTCAGTGGAATCCTGGATACTCRGCAAGCACAGGGTGGGGTTTGAGTTCTGTGTTAGATCTTTTGCTTCTTGGCTAAAATATTACCTTTCCCTGCTTTTTTCTAGTTTGATGATAGATTTAATTGAAGTTGAAAAGGAGCGTCTCCTAGATGAGGTAAGCAAGTTCAGTGAGCTKTGGTTTAAAAAGACCCATATGTTGAGTATATAATTGTTCTTGAATTTTTTTTTTTCTGGGGATAGTTCCTGTATGYGCAAGAATAACCTCAATGCTGTAGAAATAGATTCCCTGATGATTGTTCAGTGCTTTAGGGGACATCTGAACTGGTGAAATCTGAAAAATAATGCTATTCTTTGTCTTTCTTGGGGTTTTAAGGATCCTACTATGCCCATGCAAAAAATAGTAACTTAGATATTTGGTGAGAGGGTTTTTTTTCTAAGAGAATAGTTAATTGCTTGGTTTAAGTATTAYTAGATTTAGCAGACTAATTTTTGTCCTGTATGTAAGAGAGATTTTATAGAAACATTGTACACTATTTGTATTCCCAGAACATTTTTACAGAACTTAAAGAATTATCTTAGTATTTTAAAGATGATTTTATTATATAACAGACATTTGTCTGGCTCGTTTTGTCATTCTGTGTTGTAATATTTTGTGTGAAATGGGACATTTTAATCAATCACATTTTTTCAGGTATGTGGATTTGAGCTCTAAGAGATTCCTAGTAGATTTTAGTGTTTCCTAAATGTCGTGAAGAACCAATTGCAAACATATATTTGCCTGCCAGATTGTTTAACATTACTTTGCTTAATTTTCAGTGGTTTACTTTGGATGAAGTGTCCAAAGGAAAGTTGCATTTAAAACTGGAATGGCTCACATTGATGCCAACTGCTGACAATCTAGACAAGGTATAAAATTAGCATATTACTTCCATTCTAATCTTAATTGTCATAGGGTGATTTTGTTGTGATTTTTTAATGAAACCACTCTCTACCTGCTGTGAATTTTAAGAAACCTCTAACTTTATTCCAGAATGTCTGKCTTTAGAAATCTCAAACCAGTCATAAGTCTCAATGGTGTAAATGAGATTTTAAAATGCTTTTGTCATTCTCTTCTTTTCTCTTAATGTTACTGTTTGAGAATATCTGCTAACATTTAATTAGTCTGGGATATAAAGCTGGATATGATATTACAGTCTGTCCAATCTAAAAAAATCAAATAGGAAATGGGGTGGAAATTCCCATCAAAATGTTTTGAAATGTCTGTATGAGTCTTGAAAATTTGTTTTTTATACTCATACTGTGAATGTTTGCTTTTTAAGAGATGGTGTTTTTTTCAGAGAAATAATGATAATTGATTWCCAGAAAGGCTTACAATGTGTTTTTGGTCTAGGTGCTAACAAGCATTAGAGCTGATAAAGACCAAGCTAATGAYGGGCTTTCATCTGCACTGCTTATACTGTATTTGGACTCAGCAAGAAATCTGCCTGTAAGTTCTGTTCTCATGGATACCCTTTTGTCACRGAATCTGAGTACTCCCAGCATGTCTTGCTTGGTAGTGTGACACACTGCTTTACTAACACACATTGTGCCATCTTCTCTATAATTTCTCTCCTTTCAAGATGTGTAATGTAAGGTCCACTTTTTCAGTAGTATAGTATTATAGCTATGTATTTAATAAAACATTACTCTTTAATCAGTGTGATTTTTCTTTAAAGAATGCTCCTTTCCTGGACTTGAAAGGCTGCATGTTTTTATTACATGATGCTTTCCATAAATCGTAAGGGATTAGCATTAGGAATTTTAAGGAACTAACTGGAAAAAAAAAACACTTCCATGAGCTCAGGTAAACTTACTTCCTTTGGCTTAGGGTATTGCTGGAGATTTGAAGGTACTGAAGTCCTCATCATGAAATTAATTCTGTGCAGTTGATGTTTCAGTGCCAGAATGCTTTTATGAGATTTYTATCACGTTGTTTGCGGGATGGTTTATTTGCTTGTGCAAAATATAAAAATAAATAAATGTTCTCTCCCTCTATGGATTTATCCTATGGGACTGTGAAATAACTTGTTTTGGAGTTTTTTTCAGGTTAGTCAAGTACTGTTCCTGGTTGTAATTGATAGCAGTAATAACCTTACCATAGATACATAAAGCTTAACTGAGTTTTGCTGGTTTCCAGCATTGCTGTTAGAGGAGAGGTTCTGGAAGTGATGACTAAAATACTAATCAGAGAATAGAGTTTTCAAGCCCTGGATTTTTTCTTTTCTTTTGCATGCATTTTGCAGATTTGTCTGCTGAAATTTAAGTTAAAAGGCTGCATCAGAGTGGTAACAAATGAAACTTTAGAAGCCCAAACAATTTACATTACTGACTAGTGATTTCATGTCTGTTCCAGGGTGTATGGAGAAGAATTTGGAAGTAGTATTTCTAGGCTATTTTAAAAGTGAAAAAGACTTATTTGGAATAGATCCTCACTTGCTCTTTTCAGCCTCACTGTATACTGAATTCAGGCAAACTTTGTAACTTAGCAGGAAAAAAATAAAATTACTGCAGAACAGAGTAAGAGTAACAGAATAGAATAGGTTATGGTGTGCTTAGCATCAGTTTCAGGATACTGCAACACACAGAAAATGTCTTTTGTGTACTAGATTCAATTGAATCAATTTGTATAACTTCTCATTCAACTACTGAATTTTACTAAAACAGTTACAAATTAAATGTAAAATACACTAAAGCCTCTTACTTGAATGGTGTAAAGTTCTCTCATACACCAGTTCCAATCTTTTCCATATAACTCTGATTCTCTCTGTTACATTCTCCAGCAAATACTCTGAGGCTTTGTCATAAGTTTAATTTTTTCTCTTAAACATTCTCTAACATTGTCTCCCTCTTTTGGAAAGGTTACATTGCAAGTCTTAAGTTCTGCCTATTTTTGCAGATAGTATTTTAATTTCAGTACATTTAACCAGTAGATCTCTAAATTCTAGGTCACAGAAAGGGCAAGTTCTTTGCACAAAGCTGACCAGTTAGGAAATTTGAGAACAGGATCCCAAATTCCTTATTGCTGCATCTGATATTCTGTCTACAGTACCTGATTGCCTGGGTAGATTGAGAGTGATGGTCAAAGTGTGAGACCTGTTTAATCCTCTTATTTTTTTCTTCCTCTACCACCCTAGAGAAGCAGTTACTACAAATGACTCAGTATTTACTTCAAGTAATTTTCTTTCCAGTATTGTAAAGAATGTAATGGAAAGTAAATGGAACAATTGAAAATTCCATGTCCAAGTTTACAACAGTAAGATAATRTGATTCTGTGTTAAATTAAATTTTCCAAAACCAGATACAAAATTGCTTCACAGTTAGGTGAAATAGGGGAAAATACTGTGGGAAATACTTTTTTTATGCAGGAGAACTGAAAAGGTTCCTGTACATTCTGGAAAGACAATTATAATTATAGTAGATACAACTTTTTTATATCCGTAGGATTCTAATATGGAGCAATATTAATTAAATATGGAATTTGCAAACTTCTCATGTTTTACTCAAATTCAGTGTTAGGGTTTGTGTAGAGCAATAGCAAATTAATCTCTTGGATTGCTTGTATTTATGAAGAAGAGAAAATTCAAGGAGAATGAAGGGGTTAAAATTATACTGACTCTTCTTAATAGTTGGAAGGCTTTTGTGCAAAACTTTAATGTTATAGTGAAATGTTTTCTACATGAATAATTACTTTTTATTACCTTGAAAATTGCCTTAAATTAATGTTTATTACTGGTACCTTTTAGATCATGTGTTCAACTTTGTTTTGCTTGAGTTACAGTGTTGAGTTACTCCAACACAGGCCTTTCTTTTGCACTGTGCATCATAGTTGTGAGTTTCTGACACACTGGGATGATTTATTTGAAAAAGAAATAGAAATGGTGTAGAAGCCTGGTCTGTAAGTTAGTAATATATTAGTTGGTTCTGCTATATAAATCTGAACTGCCAAAAGTGAACTTGGAAAGTGGATTAATATATTTGAATACTTAATAAAAAAAAGTTTAAAGAGCATTCATCTTGCAGTGCTACAGAAAGTCATTTATTGGATCAAACTATGTGTAATGAYAAACACTTTTTGTTATCTGCTGTTTTCTCTGGAATCCTTTGACTGTTTTCCTTAACTTTTTTGTGTAGTAAAGCTGCTTATGCATTCATTCTGCCACAATCCCATCACTCTGCTTTCTCCTTCCATTTCCATCTTCCTAAGAGTATCTACGAGGGAAACTTTGGGTGTGGATACTTAAAAGAGAGGAGAGCATCGGGACTAGTCTTTTGTGAAAACACTACCTCACTCTATAGAGCACTATTTGTGAGTTCTCTGGTATTGTTTGTATTGTACCTTTTCTCTGCCAGAGTGTGGATTAGTGCTACTAAAGCCACTCACTCTAGTGGAATGAGAGCATGCAATTTGTTTTCCTGCATGGTTTCAACAAGTGTGCATTGTTTTTGTGCTATTTTTATTGCATTTTAAAGGCTACTTAAATTTCATTGATCAGCATATCATTGGGTAAGTAATTAACCTTTCATGATAAAAACCCAAGATAAGTTTATTGTAAAAGCTCTTACATTTAACTTAAATTGCTGATTCGTTGAGAAACAAAATGCATACCATACTAGCACAGTGTGTGCTGGTTAATTGTTGGCTTTTATTGCAAAGAAATTAAAATAATAAATATTGCAACCAGCATCCCTGTAGTTTTTTTAAAAGGTGACACACTCAGTGTGTGCATTGAGAAAAACTTGCAACCTCTCCACACTGGTTCAGGTTGCTTTAAAAATGGGTGTAGTTCTTTGTGCTTCCCAAACTATAAATTCCCTTGTAAATTCTATTTCACTCCATGATGCTCCTTGTTTTGCAAATTCCCAAGCTCCTTTTCTTTTTTTCAAATTAGTCTGTAGTTAGGAAAATCAAGGCTAGGGTGAGCCACCAAGTCATTTTTTTTCTCGAATTTATTGTTACAAAGTTAATAAAAACTGATGAGCCTCTGAGTATCTTACGCYTAAATCTGGAACTACCACCTTGGTACCTTCAAAAACACTGARAATCTGTTCAGAATAGGAATCTTTTTGCCAGAGAGGCAGGTTTGTCTCTGGAGATAGTGCAGATAAATTTGTTACTTGCAGGCTACATTATAATCTTGATTTTAAAACACCTTTCCAAAGCCCATCAAAATCCTTTTCTGTGGTMCTTTCTGTTAAGTTTCTCTGTAGAAGTTAATTTGAAGTATCCATAAAGTTACAACTATTCTAAAATCTTGTTAAAAATTAATGAATGAGAAAGGCAATTCATAACATATGGTTCCATCATGTTGCTGTTAAAACTGTGAAGTAGTTGCTGTTCTTTTAGTTTTACAAATCCCAGATAAATCTTTAAAGTAATTATTATTAAAAAAAAATCAAGAAGTTGGATTAAGGATGTAGCCTTTATGTTTTTTGTGGATCTTAGAATCTTTCCATTAGGACAGGTTGTCTATGTGGAATGACATCTGTTTAGAAATTGGACAAAACTTTCCAAATCCCTGAATCGATTTGTGAGTCAGAGTGGAACAGCAACCATTCCAAGAAATCCAGGTCTGGATTCCCTTCTGCAGCATTGTGAGCAGCCAGGGTCTGCAGTTGCCTGGGGGCTGATCTTGCTGCAGGCAAGGGGAGGGTTGTGGCTGGAGGCCGRGAGAGAGGAGAGCTCTGTAGTAGCCCAGGGATAACAACAGCTTCAGCAGTCCTAGAACTGCACTTGTTCCCAGACATCCTCAAACTTGGGGTATTACACAAACATTCACACTGCGAGTTCAGTCTCTAACATGTAACATGAGTTACTGGGGAAGAGTTAAAAAGGGAGTTCACTTTATTTGGGGAGAGGAAATTGAATGCTCTCTGTTCCTTTCTAGATAGCTTATAGACAGCTGCCAGTCTAGGTTTATGACACCAAATTTAGACATTTAACCATCTAAATATGATTTAGCTGAAGTTAAGGACTAGGAATAGTATAATTTCCAAATGTAACATCAGTTTTGATAATCATTAGTTCATAACAATTTTGCTGTCTATAGAATATATAAATTATCCMTATTTTAAATTAGCTCTTACATATAGTGACTGTTTTCTGATTATCAGGTAAGGATACACTTACAGATATCCCAAGCAACACTTAGTGAATCAAAGAAAATAATGTGTCATACTCCAAAGCATATTTTATTAGGAGCTAGCTGAATAAGAAACCAGTTTGTTAGTTGTATAATTTATGGGTTTGTTATTAGGATTTACTGCAAATGTTATTGGCTGTTAGAGAATTCCACTGTGTCATTATCAGTATATAACTTGGATAACCCATCCTCTTTTCCTGTAACTGCAGAGACACTCAGAACCATACCWAGACTATTTGTCACCCAAAGCAAGACCTTCCTTTGGCTTTTTATATTAAATACCCCCTTGTCTYCTCCGAGTCTCCTTCCTCCCAGCCTTTCAGCCATCATCCTCATGGACCTACAGCTTCTTCCCTTGAAACCTGAAGTCTGGCTTAAACATATTTGCCCCAGCTGATGYCCCTCTTGGCCTATCCTTGCTGTGATTCCAGAGGAATTGAGATGTGTTCAATATCCAGGACTCAGTGGTTGCCAGCCTTTATGTATGATCACATAGGTTTGGTTTTGACTTTTAAAAATATTTGAAATAATAATATAGGAGTGAAAAGATTGAATATTCAGGTGCAAATGGGAAGGAAAAAACGTGCAGTAAGTTGAGTGGCAGTTTAAAATTTAAAATTATCTTGGTGAGTTGCAGATGCCAGCTGAAAAAAATAAAGTACTTCTCTGTAGAGGACAGGCATTGCATCCTTACAAATACAGGATGGAAAGAKTTGTTTAAAGGATAGCCCTATAGAAAGAGATTTGTAGTCATGCTGTGTCATATTGTTATGAAAGAAAACACTGCACTCTGTGTAGAAAAGAGGAATGTAGCCTGTGAGATGTATGAACTAATCCTTTTGTTCTACTTAGCCAAGGCCCTGATTTTGGCTGTAGCAATTTAAGATCTGGARGACAGCACTGATGACCTTGAGAGAGACAGTAACCATGGCTGGCAGAGGAAGGGAGTTTAGCCTYAGGAAGCAAATCATGGAACCAGAGAAAGSCTTGGGTTGGAAGGGACATTAAAGATCARTTCATTCYACCCRCCCTGTTATGGGCAGGGACACCTTGCACTAGATGAGGTTACTCAAGGCTTTATCCAGCCAGGTCTTGAGCAATGCCAGAGATAGGGACCGCTGCAAACAAAGCAATAGTTTCATCTTTGTCAGAAAACAGGGARCAGTGCTTAAACTCCAGCAAAGAGCTGTGTAAATTATACCTGTGAGGCATTAAAAAATTTCCTCATGAAAAATAGTTAAGCATTAGTTTTAATGGGTCTAGGGATAGTGTGCTGTCTCCATCTTTGAAGATCCTTAAGTACAATACTAAGTTACTAATGTATCACATTAATAACTGCAGGTAATAATTTTATTTTTAAAAAAAAAAGTTTAAGAAAAATACCGCACAAAARTAGCCAAACCTTATTTCTGATTCTCTCAAGTTTAAGAGCTGGACTTAATGTTCCTGTGGGTCACTTCAAACTCAAAATACTCCGTGATTTTGTCCTGGGTAGTGTATGTTCATTCTAAAACAGAAATTTTCAAGCAGGATGCCAGGAATCTTTGAAATATATTGGMCATCTGGAGGATATGACATCCCAAAAGAAACTACAAAAAAAGTATTTCCRCATAAAAGTTAAATCTCTCTTCAGATTTTAAAGTCACTTTTAGAGTTTCATTTCAGAAAGGYATTGCTTTTGGCAAAGCATTAACATCAGTTCCTGTTCACAAACCARAACATTTTGAAGGGCCATTATGCAATTTTTTTATTGCCCCAATCTACAGATTCTGAAACAGAATTCTCCCTTGAAACAAAAATGTGTACCTAAAGAAAAAGCCAGCCATAAGAACACTAACTCGAAGTTTATTTTATTACAAATCTTACTTCCTGAAATTCTTTCTTATGAGTTGAATGCAAATTTTCCTTGACATTTTTGTACATGTCACTTACAGAACAATATATTATTCTTAATATAAAATTTTTAAATATCCTTATTGAATGGAAAGCAGTCGGAAGTTTTGTTCTGCTAATCTAGTTTAAATTCCTGTTGTTAGTGTATTTGCATGTCTTCATTCAACTGAGGAAAGCAGTAGACATTCATTCTAGTTAGCATGCAGTGTTTGCATCAGTTTTCTGAACAGGCTTAAAGAACTTTGACTTTTATAATGATCTAAATCCCCATCAATTAGATGTTGTAATTTCTTCTATAAAAGGTCTCCTTTGCATAATTACTTGACTTATCATCAGGGAAGCTTCTGGGTTGTGAAATTATGCTCAACCAGATTTCAAAAAGGTTAATTCAGAAGGCAGTTCACAGGGCATCAGGCATTAAATAAAAAATATTTCTTCAGTTATTTTTATTAGAATAGAAAAAAACATGATCAGAGAAATACAAGCAGACTTAAATTGGGTATATTAGTTTTAAATAAAAATATTTAGAGGAGAAGAGGAAAAAAAAAGTTTTGTCAGATTTTTTGTTGTGGTGGTGGTCTTTCATTGTTTTGTTTGAAATATGTTSGTTTTTTTTAGGTTGATTTTTTTCCCCTGCTTTGTCCTATGTTGTCATGTCATAATTAATTAACCTAGTGAAATTGCTTCATTGCATGACTTATTAACCCTTCCTATGTTCATTCTCTCCTGACTTAAAAGAATAATCCATTAGAATTTAACCCTGATGGCTTGAAGAAGGCTGCTGTTCAGAAAGCCCTAAAGGTAAAATTAAGTTGTCCATTTAAGGTCACAAAATCACAAAAAAGTAATTGGAAGTGCACGAATGCCTGCAACACTTTGTTTCCAACACTAGATGGAATTTYTGTTGCCAGATACGTATTTAGTGTAATTCTGTTTTACTTAAATTTTATTTCAAGAAACCAATGTCAAATCATATTCAAATGCTGTGGTTTGTGGTAATTTGAACTCTAGATCCATTTTGTGGAGTACAGGCTGCTSTAGAAGATTGGGGGGAAAAGCACTGAGAACTAATTTGTAATAGTAACTWAAAAATAAAGCTGACATGAAAGCTAAGACATCTTTTACATTCTGATTGATACCTTATCACTCAATTCTGAATGACTGTTTTGGAATAATCTTGTTCTTGTTGAATRTTTTTAGAAGGTTTTACATCTTTTATATAACTGCTAAAGAAATTTAGGCCTTCTTTTTGTTTGGCAAACTTGGAAGGGATAAGCCATGTGCTCAGCTGTGGGAACTTGAACAAGGGACAGACTTTAATAGAGTCAATGAGTCTGTCAGTAGCTGGTGSATTATATGTGTGTGTACATACTGCTACCTACTTAATGTGAATTAAATTTATTTATATTTGCATATCAGCATGAGTGTCAGGGTCGTTTTGTCAGCTCCTGTAGTTTCATCATTTTATGGAGAAAGTTTCAGGCACCATTTTATGGACAAAGGAAAAATGAAGATATGTCACCTACCATTTTAAAACACCATCAGCTGCAGTGTAATATGGCTTTCTTACTGTTCTGTAAACCTTTGTATTCAGTTTTATTTGAGAGCTAATTTTTTTAATAGAAATCATAAAAAAAGAAATGCAGCATTCATCCAAGAAAGGAGTGCTTTCTTTTTATTTCTAAAAGAAAGTATGTCACATGAAAGTTGAGAATTATTAGTGGAAGTATGATGCCCAAAATGGAAGTTCAGATTAAAAAAATTATCTAAATTATGCACTTTCTTAATTTAAAAACATGAAATATTTGAATCACTTGGTTTTCATTGTGACCTTACATGCATTAAGAAGATCTTAACTAACTTTCTGTTGATATATGTGGCTTTCCTACAGGGTAGAGCTCAAAGTAACCACGTATCCTACATTTCCTCAGCTTTTYAAACTGCATTAACACCCGCTTGAGATGATTAACTTTCATGTCAAAATTTTCTTTCTGTCTTGAAGTTTAGTTAGGTTAAATTGAAATTCGTGAAAGAAACATATAGTTGAAATGTTCCTTTGCATATATAATTTGTTTCTAAACTGATGTTTATTTTCACAGTTTGATGTTTTGCTATACAGCTGGTGAGCAAGGCTCAGATATGGCAGATGGTTGATTCTCTAATAAAGAGTATTTGGTAAACTGTAGAAATATCCCTCACATACATTRTAGTGCATATTCTTTCTCCCCAAACTGAAAAGTAGGGACTATCAGTGTTCTGATACTACATTCAATTTAATAGTTCTACAGCAGTGTATATAAAGTTCCTGAGTTTGTGCTTTCTTCATATCTCCCATCTGCATGCAATACTCATTTGGCAGTTTTAACTATGCTTCATTAGCTTTGGAGATTGTAATGCTCATTAAAAGATAAGAATTTGCATCTTACCAGTTTCATTTAAAGAAAATGGAAAGGAGTCTAAAACTCATGCTTATTAGCAKTATTTTGCCTCAGCATATTCAGGTAGTTGGATGCCTTTGTGTTGATGTGTTCACCAGCTACTCGACAGTCTRCCATTCCAGTGGGCTGAATAAAATACTGAGAATAATAGATGAGCATGTAGGAGAATGCATATGATTTATATTTTTAAGATGCAAACATTAAGTTTCAGAGAGGAGAGGTTTTGCTTTATTCTGAAGGCAAAGTTTTTGCTTTTTCTTTACCAGTCAGGAAAGAAAATAAACAGCAATCCCAACCCACTAGTTTTGCTGTCAGTTGGACACAAGGCGCAGGAGAGTAAGGTAAGTTGCTWCTCTTTATACTTGGTTCTGTCTTCAAATATTTGGTAGGTCTGTGAGTTTGGCATTTCAAAATGGCTGTGAAACCCTGGAGCATATACACAACAYTAAGTTGCCAGCAGAACTGGAATTGCCAACGAGCAGCCAAGGATTGAATGGGTGCTTACACAATTCAAACTGTCTGTGAGCAAAGGTGGGATWTTTAGTCATTTGTAGAAGTCCTTCCACACTGCTGCTTTTCTAGAAAACATTAAAGTAGTTGATTCTTTTAGTTAGAGCCTTGCACAGCAGACCTGAGACAGCTTTGAGTTGTCCAAAGAAGATATCATCCATGTCTCATTCCCAGTGAGATCCTGACAGTCATGAGACTGATCTTGATGATAATCCCTCTGCTTCTGGCCCAGTGTATTCAACCTACCTGTCATCCATAACTAACCTCCCTGTACTTATATAGCCCATTAAAATAAAATAATAATAGTGAAATTATTCCTAGATAGGTAGAGATATATGCAATACAGGTGTGAATATTGTTTTTTCTTGGAAGTAGAAGTGCCAGTGAGCCAAAAGTAGAGGACATCTAATTTGGTTCTTTGTAACCTGTAAAAAATTGTCAAAAGCCTAAAGCAAATTATATACAATCTTAGTTTCGATATCTACTAGAGAATGGAGATAAAAATCAAAATCCTTTGCTCTTGGTGATAGCTTTTTTAATRAGCACTGAGCACTTATTTCTCCCTCACTGCTTTCCTCTCTTCCTTCTAAGTGGATTGCTGAAAATTGTGATGTTTGGCAATCAAATCATCCACATGGCTAATTGGAAATAAGAAGGAAAATTTAGTTTCTAGGAGTTTCATTGAGCTATGAAAGCCCTTACAGAGTAGTATGAGAGGACAGAATGTGCTAGTCTGAAGATTTATCAGTTCATATCCTCTGTGTAATTTAATATGATATTATGTATGCTGTGACTAGAACCTACTTGGCCTTTGCTTAAACATKTCAAGTTTCAGACTTAACTTTTCAAAGAATCGGTTAAGTTGGAAGAGACCTTCAAGATCATCCAGTCCAAACATCAAGCCAGCACTGCCAGTGTAACCCCTAAACCACATGACCCAGTGCCAGATCCAGATGTCTCTYGAGCATGGTGACTCCACCRCCTGCCTGCGTGACCTATTCCAAAGCCTGACCACCCCAAATGTTTCTGATATCTAATCTGAATCTCCCCTGTCTCAGTTTAAGGCTGTTTGTCCTGGTCCTCTCACTGTAGTTGGGGCAGAAGAGACCATCCCATACCTCACTCCAGCTTCCTGTCAGGGAGTTGTATCATCTTTTGATACCACCTCTGTTAGACAAACTGGTTTATAATTCATGTACTTTCTTTTTTCTTAACTTTAGATTAGATACAAGACCAATGAACCAGTATGGGAGGAAAACTTTACTTTCTTTGTACACAATCCCAAAAGACAAGATCTTGAAGTTGAGGTATGTCTCTCACTCTCTTTAGATACCTTTCTTTCCTAAGGTGTTGAGGTAGTCTTATTCAGGTATGAAAGGCTGTTATGAAATGAGACTGACTATAATGTGAACACCATTAAAATTATACTTGAAGTTTMGACCAGCCAATTAAATGTTTATTTTCAGTTTCTTCTGAAAGGAAGAAAGACTATAACCAGGCTCTCACCAGAAGAACATCATTAATGAGTGTCTTTTCTAATTAAAAAACAAAAAAACCCAAAACAAAAACAAAACAAAAAAAAAAAACCAAACCACAAAAAAAGTAAATTTGGGTTACCACTTTGGAACTAGCAGTCTTTCCTATCTCATATCAAAGAAGTATTTGCTTTATCCAAATACTATATCCTTCTACACTGCTGATATTTCATTTATACAGTTCAAAGAGACTGAAGTATAAACGAGGACTGTCTTAGTTATTCTTCCTCTAACAGTTGTGGGAATTAATTTTCACACAGTTTGGAAACCATGAAGTTATTTTGACCATGGGTCAGGTAGATGCAGATGTGGTAGTTAGTTTTCTGTCTTTCGCTGTAGAAGGTAAGGTTGAAGAAACAGGGCATTAGGTGTATTTGTTTTTACTTTCTTCRGTGTAAAGTAATCTTAAAAACAGGGAAATTTGGTTTAAGAACAAAACTACATTCAATATTATTTCAATTTTTTGTTTTTAAATAAAAATGAAATTTTATTCTTTGAGCTCTTACAAAGCAGATGGTAGAAAGTGATTTAATTCTGTTTTCTTTCAGGTGAGGGATGAACAACACCAATGTTCTTTGGGGAACTTCAAGCTGCCTCTAAGCCAGTTGCTTGAGAGTGAAGATTTAACTATGCATCAGCGGTTCCATCTGAGCAACTCCGGTCCCAACAGCACTATCAACATGAAGATTGCACTCAGGGTACTCTAAAAGCTTTCCCACTGTAAATGTCTGAAAGCAGATTTAGGGCTGTTGTGACTCCTGGTGTGCCACCTTTTGAAGAAGACCATACATTCCCTTTAATATCACCTGCTAGGTGTCCTTGGTTGTGGTAATGTATCAGTACATAGAGTAGCCTCTAAATTAAATACACTCTATTTGAAAACTGTACAGTGCTCAAAAAGAACAAAATCACCTGCAATTAAAACTGGTTCCCTGTGGTTTCTAGAAATCATGTTTGGAATCTGAATTCCTTCAGATCTCTTTTGAACCCAGTGGGCAGCAGATAAGTGAAATTGTCTTTATCTAGAAATGGAACTGAGKTTTTAAAGTTTTAAAAAATAAAGTGTATAAGGAAAGGCGCTACCTCTATAGTACTCGAAAAATTCAAACCAGCTTTCAAGCGTATTGGAGTTTTGAAAACAAAACTTGCATACCTGAAAATTGATTTGTCTTTTTTTCCCCATCTAAATTATTTGGTTTAATAAGATAGTATATCTCTTTGCAAACACTGTCAAACTTCTGTTACTTTTCTTTCTAAAGCCCTTCATTGTTTTCATATCATTAATAAATCAAGGTAACCCATAAAAGAGAAAGTAAGTACAATTAATGAGAAAAAAATGTGAGGTAAAATTAAATTTCAAAAGAGTAGAAGAAAAAGATCACAGAATAGCTTTCCAGATGGCTAGAGCTGCAGAGTAGATASAACTTGCACAAGGAGTGCTTAGAATATGGGAAGTAAAAAATGAGGAGAATAATTCTTATAATGAATGGAAATTTCACATTGTTTTATAGTTACTGCAATTGTCATGAGGAAGGTGGAGAAGTGTTTTATCATGCAAAGCATTTCATATTGTAGAGTTAGTAAATGGGAATGGTTTTGGTCATTCTTTAATGTATGAACTTAACAACTTGTCACCAACCAGTATTCTTAGAAAAAACAAATTTGTTCCTKTTTCTTACACTGCAAAATAGTAATAATATGTGTATTTTTCTATATGTAGGTCCTTTCTCTTGAAAAGCAGGCAAGATCTCCAGATCATCAACACTCAGCCCAAGTRAAAAGGCCATCTGTTTCCAAAGATGCAAGAAAATCATCATTTAAACCTCAGGTTCCTGTCTCGCCAACAGCTGATCAAAACAAACCTGTTCCATCATCCCCAGTGACTGATAGTGATAAAAAGACTGATTCATCTGAAAAAAGTCAGCCTGCCAATGCCAGCCCGCAGTGGGCAGCAGATCTCAGCCGAAGCTCCTCCAGTCTCCACGCCTCCAACTTCTCATGCTCTCCCAGCCACCTGTCGGTGAAGGAGCCCACGCCCAGCATCGCCTCCGACATCTCCCTGCCCATCGCCACGCAGGAGCTGCGCCAGAGGCTCCGGCAGCTCGAGAAGTATGGCCCTCACTGCTTGGCTTTGCAGTTTTTTCATTTACTAAGATTGCACCAAAGCAGGAGTGCTTAGTTCACATTGCAGTAATATGTTTTGTTGCTCAGTCATTGGGATTTTCTGCCTCTCCCTGGTACCTCAGACAGGTGCTGTAATTAGAGTTGCCTTACCATTGTGATCATCTGCAAGATAAAGTCCCACTTCTTCTCATAGCTGCACTTTGTAGTTTCATAGCAGTAGTTGCCTGTTTCACCACTGAATCCTATTAGCATTAATTAAGCCAATTAAGCTGGAAATAGTTGGTCTTTTTAAATAACTCAGAGGGATAGTGGACTATAAAGAATGTTAAATAAGTAGTCAGTTACTATGCAGTCAGTGAGGATTGCTGCAGCCATGCTTTCTTAAATTCTGAAATTTTTTTACTTGCCTCATTGGGCAGTTATACATATAGCTGAGCAGCTGTCCTGCTCTGAATAGGGGACTGGAAACTATTCATTCCCTACTCATGGAGTTTCTCTGTGAATCTAAGTAAAAAAAATCAATTTTTTTTTTCTAAGGGATTGAACCAATTCACCTTTTTCTCTGTTAGAGCTCATAGAATCAATTGAGTAAGAGAGATTGGACAGAATCTTTGGAGGTCTGTTATCCCTCTTTTCAAAGCAAATTCTTCAAAGTAAGATCAGGTTTCTTGGGTCTTGTCCAAACAACTTTTGATTATCTCCAAGGATAGAGATGCCATAAACCTTCTCAGCAACTCTGGTTCTAAACCACTGCACTGTAAAAACATTGTTCCTTATTTCTGTTGAAATATATCTTGCTACAACTTGACCATGGCCTCWTGTTATTTTACTGTGTACAGCCATGAGCAGTCAGACTTGGTCTTCTCTATAATGTCTGTTTTAAATAGTGGAAGGGCTGCAATTGAGTTTGTTGTTGGCTGTCTCTTCAGTTTGTACAAATACACCTGTTTGTGCTCCAGACCCCTTTTATCTTTATAGGCCTATGCCAAATGTCATACTTTCTCATTTGGTAAGAGTGGTAAAGCTGCAGCTGAGGAGGTCCTTTATTGCARACCACATGTTTGGTGCTCTGATTATTATTTCTTTTTATTTTAACTAAAAAAAAAATATGAGTAAACTCTGCAAATATTKGCCATACTGTAAAACACACATTCTTAAACATGGTGCTTGCTTTTTATTAAACATGACTTGTATTTGTAAGCATAAATTAATTCTAATCTTATTTTCATTGTGATATAAGCTATAGAAAAGTAAAATGGTTGTGTTTACGCTGTGATTTGAGGTTTTAAGACAGTAAGTGGATTTAAGTTATCACTATTTTAATCCCAAGAATATCTGCATTTCTATGATATAGAAATATTTCTTTACTGATAAGAGTTTTCAAAGTACTAAGGAGCAGCTGATCTCCAGACTGACAAGAATACCTGGCTTATTTTGGAGAGCAAAGTTGYTGGACAAGGAGCTGAAGGACAAGAAACTGATGAGGATATGCTCACATGCTTACAATATGCCCTCTTCTTTCACATAGGTCTAGAGAAGTTAAATGGATAATACAGTATTTCTGTAAGACTGCTCAGTTGAGTCTTACTTTTAATGTGCTTTTTAAAATCYGAGCTAATGTTCTACTTTTTCCTTTAGTGGAACAACTCTGGGGCAGTCTCCATTAGGACAGATCCAGCTAACAATTCGTCATAGTTCACAAAGAAACAAACTGATTGTGGTAGTGCATTCCTGCAGGTGAGCATACAATACACAGTTTCACAGCTGGATATTTCTTTTATAAAGTTTGTTATATCTTGACTTACTCTTAAGATGACTGGTTAATCTTTGTTACTTTTAAAACAACATGCGTAAAAATGTACAGATCTGTACTCAGAATGAGTAAAAACTTTGTGGAAGATTTTGCTGTGATTTTATATTTTTCTRTTATGCCTCTTTCAGATTTTATATGAAAATGGCACGTAGATTTTCATCAGTAGTGTCTGAAAGCTGTCTCCGAGAGACCGAATTTTTTATGAAACGTTTTTGAAAAGCCATATCTAAAATTTGAATTGGAATTTAGGAAATACTGTATTCCCAGCTCTGCTCTCTGCTTGTCATCTGATCTTGTACAAATCACTATTTTTTGCAGGATGTTTGAGAACTGCTTCATGTACTGAATTAAGTGATAGTAGTGTAGACATGTATTCAGCAATGTCTCGTTGATTTTCTAAGTGCTTTTCCTTGGTTTTCACTTTCACAGAAATCTAATAGCGTTTTCCGAAGAAGGATCCGATCCCTATGTGCGAATGTATTTATTGCCAGATAAGAGACGATCGGGAAGAAGAAAAACACATGTATCAAAGAAGACATTAAACCCGGTGTTTGATCAAATGTAGGTTCTAAACTATGTGTAATAGTTTCATATATAATTACAAAGTTGTCAAATCAAGGTTTCTGAGCTTACCTGAATGGGTGAGCTGTTACAAGTTCCGGGTTGTCACCACTAGAGTTGATGATAACCTGCTCTTCTGCTATAGTAGCTCTTCCTATCCTTCTATTCCCTGTTATCACTACAGCTCTTCTTGCTGTTAGCAGCCACTTCTGTCTTTCCTGCCTTGTCCTACATTACATCCCCCTTGTGTTGGTAGCTCAGCTGCAGCTTGCACTCTCCTGGCAGGTGGTGAGAACACGAGTGCCTTTAGCTGGCCAGTGCTGCTGGTCTCCCTCCCTGCCAGGAGGCTTRGCTGGCTCATTTCCTGGCTGCTGCTGCCAGCCATGCCTGTGCATGGGCACATTGCTCAGTCAGTCTACTCAGTGGCACTTTGCAGCATCCTGGGAGTCAGGAAATTTCCTTGGAGATTATATCCTGGTTCTTATGTTGGAAGTTGTACAAGCTTGTGAAATAYTATATTGCATAAAAATCCTTATCCTTGCGCTTGTCCTTTTGATAGCACAAAAAGACATCTGCTCCTTACTTTCTCACCCATCACTTTTCAATAAAGATCTTTCTCTGCAGATATAAAATTMACTCAGGGAAAACAACACTTCAGTCCCTGCTGTCCAAGGCARATCTGTAAATTATTAGTTAAAGGCTCCAGCAGATTGTCTTTGTAGTGCAGCTCTCTCCTGTTTATTCCAGGTAATAGATTTACTTCACTGTGCCTTTCCAAGTAAAATGCATTGCAAAGCAATAAACCTGTTTAGGAGCTGTAGTGGCAGATAGATGTAGGTTGTGGTATAACCTTGTCTTGAYTTTCTCTTAAGTTTCTGCTCTAGCAGAAAATACATTCTTCCTTAGAAGTTGATACTTTTCCCTAGCATGCCAGGAAAGGAAAGGAGCTCTGGTTATCAAGTACCAGGGAGATCAGTAAGGCTGACCAGTCTTTCCCTTTTGGAGAATACTGATACTGAGCTGTCAATACAGCTCTTTTCCTACGGTCAGTGCTTGGCCTTTCCCTTGTTTTGTCTTGTGTGTTTGTTTTGCTTTACCAGTGGCTTCTAGAGGCCAAAGGTAACAGAAATCTCAAACATTTGATGTTGATATTGATCACAGAAAAATTTGAGGCAAAACATTGGGATCTTCATTTGTCTCAGACTTCATTTTTTGATTTGGGGAGTGAGATGGTTTGATTTTGATTTGAGTGGCTGTTTGGCAACAGGAACTGAACTTGCATCTCAGAATTCCCTCTAAGGCATCTCTTTGCTTGTCAGGTTTGATTTCAGTGTTTCCCTKCCTGAAGTACAGAGAAGAACACTAGATGTAGCAGTGAAGAACAGTGGTGGATTCCTGTCCAAAGATAAAGGGCTGCTTGGCAAAGTAAGTTGACAATAAGCAAATTCTGTTAATACAGCTTGTTACAATGTAAAACAAAAATCCTCTTGACATACAAATTAGTGTTGATTGAAGCACCTGATTGAGGTATGAAACTTCAAAAAATTATGGGTGCCTTAGATGTCAGGCTTCAGTAAAGGAGGGAACAAACTGCAGAGACAGACATAAAAAGATGAGGCAGTGATCTCTYCTAGAGAGCGATTAAGTTCACAGTAACAAAAGAAATGTGGTTGTCAAAGAAAGGAAAGAAGCAGTAGAAACCAGGCAATATTTCAGAAAATGTTCAGACAAAACTGGAAAGATAAATAAGTACTTAGGGAAACACACAAGTAATTAAATTTCCAGTTTGTAAAATCCATGAGAAAGAACTGCTACTGGAGACATTCCCAATGCCAACACCAGCTGTTGTGTTTGGAACTTCAGTGTTCTGTAAGCGTATATTAAATTACCCGATTTCCTACACACGTGATTTGGAACATGAGAAAGGAACAGTAMATTCCTACAGCCTTTCAAATTGCCATTTTTGAGCTGTGTGAAGAGGATGAGATACAGAATCGTGGTCAGTTCATAGTGAACAGTGTCCTCAGTTTTCTTGTTYATCCAGAAAGCTGTTAATAGGGACACATCTGCTGATTGCCATTGCTATGCTGTGACGTGCCCTGCGACGGTACCAATGAACGGCGTGGATTTTAAGGTCAAAAAGGAACTTGAAACTTTCCTACAAGTCAGTCAGATAGCAGAGAGCTATGATGASAAGGATGCAAAATACATCATTTACTAATGGCATTGCTTACGCTGTAGTTTACGGGATTGTCACATTTGATCTTTAATAAACACAGAATGAAAGGCACACACARTGTACACACATTGACTGGTAATTTAACTTTCCACAGTTATTAATACCTCTGGCATCTGAAGAACTTGCTAAAGGCTGGACCCAGTGGTAAGTATAACATTTTCTTTATTAATAATACTACTGTGTTAATAATAGTATTAATGATACATGCAAAAAAATAAAAAAAATGCTTTATTTTTTTTTTCTTTTTCAGGTATGATTTGACAGAAGATGGTACAAGGCCACAAGGTGCAAGTTAGGCCCATGGATACCGGGAAWTCCTCATGCATAATTTTGCCAACCTTTATATATTTTTAACGCGTTGTTTTCACAGATGTACCAATATTATTTTTATAGCTTTACTGATTTAGTTCCTAGACACATCCCCAATAATTTTATAACACTTGGTCATTTTATGTAGACATAGCCTTCCTCATTGTTAAACTTCGTATTTTATTTTGCTAAACAGTTCTATGTGTTACTGTAATGTGCAATAGTACAGTAAAGTAACTTTTTGTGTTTAAATTGACCTTTATGATGGCTGTACCTATTAGAAAGTGAAAAGAACATGTTCTGCTGTTTTCCTGCCTTGTTTTGTATCTCACTAAGGTATACTGTACCATGTAAATATATACTATTTTTTTATAATTCTTTCATGCTGGTTTGAATTCAGAAGAAAATTAGATAAAGGAGACAGATATTTTCTTCTAAATGCATGTTAATTTCTTCAGAGGAATCTCTTTTGTCTTTGCAGCACAATGGTCTTAATCATTTTGTGATACTTTGCAAAAAGAAACTGCAGGAMAACATTTTTACTTTATTGTGTTTCTGGCCCAATGGGGCTAGCTTAAAATGTACAAAATATTAACATTTTAATATTTATATATAAATGTATTATTGGGAAATCATGCTATAGAATATTATAAATAAAAAGGAGAATTCTATAAATAYTGTATAAATAGAGGAGGAGGTCCACAAATCACAGTTTCTAAATCTGAGTTTTCATTTAATGGAGTAAACATAACAGTACAGTTTAATTATACAGGTTCAGTTGGATTTTGTTATTTATTCCTGTACTCTGGAGTACTAGACGTGATCTTTTAAAGGTATGAGGACATGAATTTTTCTGTATTATAAAGAAAATTTGTAACCACTTTAGACTGTCCTTACCACCATCTTTCACTGATTTATAAGCAGACAAATCAGCTTGCAAGTTAAGTTCATATAGTAGGCATATGCACAAGACATATGTTATTTTTATWATACAATACCATGCTAAAATAGTGTGTTATGCGATACCTTCTGTAATCCTCAAATGAACACCAGTAGGTAAGAAAGTGTGAAACTGAAATGAARCTGACTGTCTTTGACAGTTGCTTCATTGCTAGTTAGTGTGTTTGGTGCATGAACAAAATTACTTCAGTGGTCCAGACAGGTTTCTTGAGAAGTGCTGTCCTTCTCCTGAAGCATTGCCATGGGCTGGGCAAAAGGCAGCAGGGACACCATTAGCACAAACTGATCCGAGCAGGCAGTATCTGACGGGAGAGTATCAGCTCCAACAGCTGAGTTCATAACTAATTTTATGAGTTTTGGGAAGATTATTTTGTATTCAGAACTGAGTTTTCTTTTTCTGGTAAGTTTTTTCAGACTGTTAGAAAAATGCGCATTAAGAATCCAAGGGAACAGTTTGGCTCTTGCAGAGCCACTGTCCTCATCCTTGGATAAGTATGCAATCAGACAAAGTATATTATTTAGCTAGCATTCTAGAAGGAAGTCTCAGCCAAGAAAGAATTTTAAAGCAGAATGATAAACTCCTGGAATTAGCTTTATTGTAAGATTACTGACAGAACCTTAACTCTAGATGTAGAATTTGCCTACATTACTAGATGTACCAAAGTGCCTACCATGGATGTAGCTTTTTGTCTTTTTCAAGTCTAAAAATTTCAGTTTGTCTAAATTCAATTTAACATGAACATTTGTTACGGATGTGTGTGACCCACACCATACACCTCTATACAGTGATGGCCTTCTCATTGCCACGTTTTATACAAGACAATTTTATTATCAAACAATCTTACATTGTAAATTGTACTGTAACTGCTGTTACTGAGCTGGAAATTCAGATTCCTTGTAAGAAAACATTTCCATTTGAAGGCTTCACTCTATATTGGAATGTGTGAGTAGCTATATATTCACTCATCTCACACAAAATACTATATATTATAAAATRCATACTTTCTTTGCTAGTTCTCCATTAAAATATTAAGAATGGAAAGACAGGGAATTGTTCTTAATGCAATGAAAATGCAGAAACCAAATGCAAATCTGAATAAATGAAGTCTAAGAGTAGCAGTTCAACATAATTGTCTTTTGCCTTGGTTCAGCCTGAGGTGGAAGGATTTTTCTCCACATTTTGGCCAGTGACTGCCRGTGGAGTTTGATCTGCAGCCAAAAATAGGGTGTTAACTGATTCAGTGTTTGAAGTCTTAAGTGAAGTCTTAAGGGGACAGAAAACTGCACTTGAACAAAAAAACATTCTGTCTTTCAAAGTTCCATGGTGGAAAATAAGCCATGTTCAGGCAAATGTGAGAGGATAGCACAAAGTGAGTAATTGAATAAATATAGGGCAGTTTTCCAAAAYAGCTCACTACCTAACATTAGGGATTGGTTCTTAGAGATCCCATTTTCCATTTAGGAATCTGAAATGAAGAGATTGAAGTGTCATTGCAATTCAGCGACAATAATTCCCATAGTCTGTAATCAGTTCTGGATGCCAGATCATCAGACACATTCTCCTGAGTGAATTTGGATCAGACTGTGAGTGCCTAGATGAGATTGATTATTGGATGCAACTTTTGTATTACCAAATTCCAGTTGTTCCATTTATATGGAAGTAGGAAGGACAGTTTTGCCTCTGGGCAAAAATTGCACCTCATTATCAAGTCATTTATTYAATATCAACTGATAGCTTTTCATGTAGTTCTTGTTTATCCTGTGCCTTAAAATATGAACATATGAAGATGTTTAAGAAATGGTTAAAAATAAGCTTTGTTACCTGTATGTACCAACACATGTTCTGTACTATTGAAACTGTTTTTAGAATTACTCTGCTTCACTGACAAGAAAACCAGCTTTCTTAACTATAGCAGTGGTATAACTCGAACTCAAATCAGCATGCATATCACTTGGAGGTGGACTTAAAAGAGTTTTAATTTACTGTCTTGAATCCTTTATCAGAGCTGCAGCAAATGGCAAGAGTTGAAATGAGAACAAAGGGTAATCAATTTTGTACAGATTGCCTTTTTTGCTCATGTAATTCTACATTATGATGCATGTATTTATTCAATAAATGGTTCGTATGGAAGTCAGTGTGTTGCTTCCCTTTGCACACACATCCCTTCTCTCTTGCATATCCTTGTTCTACCTCGTAATACAACGAAGTAAATTTTATAAATCGTCCTGTGTACAGACTCCTATAACCTAGGGAGCCTTGCTGTAAGGTCTGCAGGCAGATTTTTGGGTCTTACATGAGAGAAAGCAGAGTGAGAGGTGCAGGATACTTGATGGGGATTTCTATGCTTGTTGTTTGGGAACAGATTCACACATAAGAATTAGTAGGTCCTTTGTTCARCTTCAGTATCTATTTTTTTTTTCTCAAATGGATCAGTTGAACAAATTGTCATAATTATAGAATTTACTAATCAATTGTCATTATGCTTTCAAAAGGACCCAGACCTATATTTTATTGCTATAGTTTAGAATTGGCAGGTTTCTACCTGCGGCATTCTTTCCTATCCCTTCACTTGCTTGGTAGGGCAGATATTGATGGAAAATGTAATGATATACTGCATGAATATGAAAAYGGGTATTGTATCCTCTTATCTACTCCAGAAAAACTGCCATAGAAATTATGCTTTTTGCATTAAACATGACTTTATAGTTAGTCATAATTCTATAATTACTYGTGATACCTCTTCCCATAAGCAGCTACAACTTACCTGAATTCATTATATTCAGTCAGTTTTCATCAGCCATAAATCTGCAAAAATGCATCACCCAGTTACTATCCCATTTAGAATGGGCCCCACTGGCTAATCTTTAATGTTACTAACTACAAAATTATGTTCCATTCTGGTTTGGGTTTTTTTCCTTAGAGGAGATACATCCTGTTTTAGGCTTCTGCTAATCAATGGTAAGGCAGCTAAAGCCAAGGAAAAGCACGGTCTCTATAGCTCCCTCATGGTTCTGCGTGCCACACTCCCTGGCAGTGCCAGTGYTGATCAGGTGTCAGCATTTTCCTGACTTGGGTCAAAATCAAACATTCCATTCAGTCCTGCAAGCCAAGTGGTACCTGGATTAACACTGCTTATGTATTCACAGATCTTAGAGAACAGAAATGATGTACACTACTGACACTAGATCTTAGAGAACAGAAATAATGTACACTACTGACTACAGACACTACTGCAGATGGCTTTGGTATTAATTTGATGGACACACCCCAGCCTAGGATTCTTCTCAGTATTTGCTGTACTGTTTAAACTGGGTTTGGGCTTTTTGTTCATCCAGTCTCCATCTAGAAACAGTGTTTGCCAATAAAGTTACCAGTGTGGCTATTTTTATTATTTTCTCAGCTCAGAGCTGAATAAAAAATCTGTTTCCTATGAAGTACCTCTTTTCATCAATTTAATTATTTATATTCTCCCCCAAACAAACTCAGAATGTTGGATGGTACTTTTGGTAGAAAGAACCAAAATTGCAGGTGGTCCCAGAACCGTTTGTAGTTTTAGCTGTTTGCTGAAGCARTCAGGCTATTTAATCCCAAATGGTGGTTTTGCATATTGTAAAGTGTCCAACTTTTTCACGCTTTCCTACTGATTTTGAAGGCAATCAGGCTCTCAGCAGTATTCTCAGGCAYCTTCTGAAATATGTTTTATGAGAAATGCAAAAACCCACTTGTATTTCTTTCAGTGTTATGCAGTAAATTTCGCTGCCAGAGTAGATGGCAGCTCTGGGAGAGAAGTTCTCCAATCTGYATTCATGTGATAGAGGTGATACTCTCTGTTCTCAACTGTCTGCAGGGAATATTGCTTGCCAGTCATCTTCAGTGGAATCCAATTTGAGCAGGGTCCTGCATCTGTRTTTCCTCAGACACCACCAAAGTGAATCCAGTCTGTCTTTTATGTTAATCTTKTAGTGCTCAATAGCTGTGAACTTTATAGCAAGGGAATTAAGGCCTAATAATGATCATTCTTCCCTTTAAGATCCTTATAGAAACATGTTCAARGACAGACTGAAGCTAGGCAAGATTCCAGCCTGTGGTAGGGCTGGTTCCWGCCTGGGGTGGTTTGTGGCCTGGAGACGTGGGCTGTTCCTGCCAGGACTTGGTGACCCAACCCTCAGAGCTGGGCACAAAGCACCTCAGYCTCTGTACAAGAAGATGGAGTAAATTCTTTATGTCCCTGCCCTGCATCCTACTGTGTCCTGTGAATTCASTCATCAGCTCTGTGGTAAGGTAAGGTAACTGATGATCAATTTTATTTATTAATTACATAAGCAAAGTAGCTCCTTTTTGCAGGATGTTGCGCTAGATGACCTGGTGAGGTCCGTTCCAGCCTCAGTTCTATGTCTGTCAAGTATATGTTTTTAAACATTAAGGTAGGCTCAGTAAATGTGCTGGAGCTCTGTGCGCTCCTTGCCTGTGCTGTAGATCTGGGCATTCTGCTTCTTGATCCCAAGATCTCRGGGATGGGCAGGAACCAACCCTGGCTGGGCAGAGAAAAGGAGTCACACAGCTGGAAGCTGCAAGCTTTGCTAAGTCAGAATGCAAAGATTTGATAGGAATTAGAAGTACACTAATTTATGGATAGAACTTGAGTTGTAATGTAGATAATGCTAGCAAAATGGTAATTGTCTGTAGGTAGGTACTGAATGAAAATCAGCAGTTTTACTGAAAAATTGGGACAAGATCCCTAAAAACAAAAATGGTGCRCATTTAACAAAGGCTGTTGCCAGTATGAAATTTCCAGTAAGTTTTTATTCTTGAGTTGAATTTGCAAGCTAGTGTGTTATTGTACAAACTCTGAGAGAYTGACAACTTGAGCTTACTAAGCATGTCACAATGATTAATAATTTAATGCAGACTCTTTTGCAAGACAGTTTCATGCAAACTTCCCATGGGAGAAATACTTCGACTGATAGGCTGAAGTCCCTGACATATTTGCATGATTGTCATTGCTATCTGTGAGTTTAGCTGAAGTTACTGTGTTGCAATTTTCCACCTACAAATTATAGGMAAGTTTATCTGTTTTTGCATGAATTATGAAATTTTCTGAGCTCAAGTAACTGTGATAGCCACTGAAACAGGTGCTCTGTTGTGACTTTCAGCTCAGAGTCCCACTGTCATCCACTTTGTYTGGATGACAACAGCATCCAAACAAAGAACTTGGATTGTCTTTGGAGCTATCATTTATCCAGGTGATGACAATGAAATAAAGGGTAAAAATGGATTAATTGAAAGGGGTGTTCATGACTCATGATTTATATTGGTAGCAAAGCTGGTTCTTTGTTTTATTTGTAAATCACTAATTAATTTGTATGTCAAATAAGTTGGAATCAAAAGTTTAAAATACTAAGATGAGCTTTCTGAAAAGACGTATCAATCTTAGAGTTTTAGGCACTTTGTTYTAGGCCGTATTTTTTATTTAATATGCTTTTTTAAGTTCAGATTATTTGAGATACAAAAATTGCTTCATTTCTTTTTTTTTTTTTAAGTAAAACAGTTTTTCTTGTCTTTCACAATGTGACATTAAAGTTTTTGGATGCAGTCATACTGCTCTCTTTGCTATTTTTGAWGGTACTGTTACATTCCACTAGATGGTACTGCAGACCCTATTCTCAGAATCCTTTTCTGCTGCCTGTTTGCTTCGTTTCTTGTACCATAAGGAAGTGGCCTCGATGAGAGGCATGTTTGTGAGTGGAGCCTCAAGTCACCCTGGCTTAAAAGCAGTGAACAACGGTGTGGTCCTCATTGTGCTCTGCTCTGCCCCTTTGCCCTGGGGTACCAGAGACCCTAAAAGAATTTTCATAATGGGGAATTCTATTTTGTAGAAGTATTTAGTCATGTGGTACAGGGAAATTTAAAAAAGGGTCTATCATGTGAGGAAACATGAAACTTCTGGAAGATCAAGGTTCTTATTTCACCAGAACTTTAGAATGCCTCTGTTAGCAATTCACCATAGGTGTTTCATGCCTTAGATACCAAATTAGWTTTGATTCTAGAACTCCCTTGTGTTGCTGACACAACTTTAATAAGATTAAATGAAAAAAGTTGAAATTAATCAGAAGCAGGCAGAAGTGAAATTACAGTTTAGGACATGGAAAAGGGCATTGACCTACACATTTGAAACATCATTATGCTTTAAGTATTTACTGTTGATTCAAGAAGGTGGCTAGAAACTCAGGATATCTAACAATGAAAACCATAATGGAGCAGTACTATAAACACAAGGGTAAAGGGAAGACAGATCAAATTCTACTAGAAAAAATAACTTAAGAATCATGTCCTTAAGGACACGATCAGAAAGTTTGCCAAAATACAGGTCTTGTGATAATAAAACTGCTTGATGCCCACAACAGGAATAAATGACAAGTATTTCTAAATTTAGTGGATATGTAAACCCTAATAGATGCCTGACTCCAAATGTCCSCTCCAGTCTGATACTGCACTGAGCAAGTGCTGCACTTCTGTCAGTTTTGCATGAAGGAAGCAGCACGTGCAGTCTGTAAACACCCCCAATGGGCTTTGGTTTGGTTCCTGATCCGGATCAAGGGCATGGGGAGCACCCTTGCTGACAAAGCCAACACTGATGTGAGAGACAAGTAAATGCTGGTATGGTGTCCAAGCAATGTAAAGCAGTTTGTCATGTGTTTGTGTGTGTTTATATATGTGTAAACTAATGTGGATAAGCAAATCATATCCATTCTGATATGTATACAGTATTTTCATGTTTTGTACTAGACAGATGGAAYAGAGATGGTGTCATATCTAAATGATGCATGTCTATCACAATGAAATTTCCAAGAGAACTCATAAAATTAATAATAAAARCATTTTTGTACTTTAGAAGCAATTCTTCTCTTAAAGAGTAAAACAGAATGAGAGTTGCAAGGAGACAGGACACTTACAAGAGCAGTAAATCTCTATCAGAACATAATTTAATAGRGTTAAAGTAATACAGACATGGCATTTGTAACTGGAGTGTTTCACATCTGAAACAAATTAACTGACAAACTAGTATTATAAATTTACTCAATGACACATAATATATTGAAAGATGACARTGACTTTATATTAGAAAATGTTTGCTGTAGTTATAATGAAAAATTACACTCCATTTTTTTTCAGTGGGATGGATTCAGCTATGCAAATACTGTTATTGTAATTTCTTTTTTAGCATTTTATAACATTTCAGAAATCATTCCATTCTCATGGTACTAACAGTGAGCAGAGAAAAATTACAGTGATTTGTAACACTGCCTATAAGGAATGAGTTATAAYAGTAAGAGCATAGAAATACAGCACATAATGATTATAGGACCATAGAATGGTTTGGGTTGGAAGAGACCCTAAACATCATTCATTTCCATCACCCTTCCACTAGACYACGTTGCTCAAAGCCCCATCCAACCTGGCCCTGAACTCTGCCAGGAATGGAGCATCCATGGCTTCTCTGAACAACCTGTGCCAGTGCCTCACCACCCTCATCATAAAGAATGTATTCCCAATAGTTAATGTAAACCTGTCCTCTGTCAGTTTAAAGCCATTCCCCCCACTCCATCCTTTTACAGAAATTCCCTCTCGTCTGTAATGCCTTTAGGCCCTGAAAGGTGCTCTAAAGTTTCTCCAGAGCCTTCGGTTCTCCAGGCTGAACACGCCCAGGTCTCTCAGCCTGTCTTCACGGGAGAGGTGCTCCAGCATGTGGACTGACTTCATGATCTAATAAATATTTTCTCATAAAGCATCATAACAAAGCAAAGAAAATAAAGTTGCTCTGTTTTCATAGCTTAATCCCTACAGACCCCGGCAGTACCGGGGAGCTCCCGCGGGGCGGCAGTTCAGGACTTCAGTACCGTCGGCAGCGACTCCAGGGAGTGGCTCTCTCGAACAGCTTTTGCATTCCCTCTGCGCATTTTATTTCCTTATTTTTGTGCGAGTTAACAAGGATAAATTTTTTTCTTCTGTAGTGATTTTTTTTTTTTCTGCTTAATCTCTTAAACTCTAAAATTGATTCATGTTAATATTAATAATTTAAGGGAAATAAGCCTTTTCACGGTCTAATCACACCAGCATTGAGAAGTGACAGTTCCCTCTGAATAAAGGATGGCAAGATTGGCAGGATTACCTTCAGGCAAGGAGAGATCTGGAGAAGTGGAATAGTGTAAAACTTCATCTCTCTCCCATGCTGTTCGGATTATTTATCAAAGTATGTGAAGATCAAAAAAAAAAAAAAAAAATCAAGGGAAATGCATGCATGTAAATTATTAACAGGCTGCCTCAGAGGATGAGCAGATTTTGTTCATACTGTATTAACTATAACAAATTTTATTACATATTCAAAGAAAAAGAAATAGGAGTTACAATTCTAACATGGTAGTAGAAACTGTGTACAATAAGCTCATAAAAAACTATAATCTAGAAAATAATGTTGTAAATACAAAAAAATATTGTCAAGAAAGCATCTGATGTTCAGGGAACTGCTTGTTTACTTTTTATTTTAGTTATTGACTCTTATAGGTTAAAATGGTATGMTTGCTCTAGCCCAAATGACAATATTCTGGTGTGAGCCATTTGTAACTGCGATCTCTAATGCAGGCCACCAACAAGAATAAAGACTGGCTCATGAAGCAGTAGTAGCACAAAAGCAAATCTTTATTTGCTGTTGCTCAGCAACCATGTGCGAAAGGCCCATTTTTCATTTCTGCCTTAACTTAACTTGACAGGAAAATGATAATAAATACGAGATTATTATCACAGGGTATAGATTATTTTGAACAGATGAACAGATATGTCAAAGAGAGGCATGTAATTTGGTACTTTTGAAAGGGAGAATATTAGAGAAACTGAAAATAGAGTTGTAGGTTTATTACTGGCTTGCAGTTCATGCACARCTCTTGAAAAACCTAGAAAACATTATTCTGCCTCTCTGGTTTCTCTGTGTGGTCCTTTAAAATGAATCATTTGGTGTTATTCAGCCTGTTGTTATCTGTGTCAACTTCTAGTTCCAATACTATGAAAAAAAAATCATTCTGTGGTTGCTATGCAACAGAAATTAAAAGCTAAAATATGTTTTAGTTTGTTTGCTAAATGGATATGTGCCCGACTAAATAAACAGTAACCAGGTGACTAATGTAGCATCTAATTAAAAGRCTAATCAAGGTATTAATGAAATACTCAGTCTACATGAGTCATGATAAATAAATCCATCAGTTTGGATCAAAAACGGCAAAGATTTTTAATGTATGCAATTTTTTTTAATATAGGCAGACATTAGCAGAATGTATAAATGTCAGGTTTTATACTTTAYTATTTGCTTTTACAAGTCTACAGGTAGGCTGATTGCTCATGCAACTTATTCCAAGCAAAYTGTTTCACACACAGGTTCCTTGCACTTAGCTGAATACTTAACTTGGGAAATAAGATCAGGTCCACAGGATCTGAAACAAGCCAGATTCTTACATCAAGTAAATGTAGCAGAAAATGTGAAAAGTATTAATTTTTAATATAAATGAATACTGTGAAAGGTAGGATGATTASAGAAGCTTCTATGTCAAAAATTAAAACAGCAGAAGATGTAAGTGCTACTTTTAAAATGAGTGAATTTTGACATGAAATTCTAATTAGTATCTGAATTATGCCATTTTAAAAAAAAATCAATCCTGAAAAATCCAACCAGATGTGAGAACTTCTATAGAAATTACAGTTGGTTTTCTGTTTGTTTGCACAGTGAAGCAGTACAGCATGTACAGAAAGTAAATTACTCCAGTCATGCGCCTCTCTCTTCTGAACAGCCAAAAACACTGAGAAATATTATGCTACTGAAAATGTCAAAGATTTAAATTAAGCCCTTAACAAAGAAAACTTTGACTAGTTTTGGTTTGCAGAAGAGCTTAAACAAACGGAATGGGGAGCATTACAGAATTCAAGATCTGAGTGAAAAACATTGCAAAGAAGAAATAGAAGACATGATTTCCTGATATATTTTTAAAAATCCTTAGTTATCAAAGTCYAAATATCTTCTGGCTTACATAGTGTCCTATACATTCTGGCGTGTAGACTGTTTAACTGTTGATTGCTTTGGATGAAGAGTGCAAACTACTCATGTTGCTCACCAGGACTGTGAGTAAAGGCACAGCTGTCAGCAATAGCAACAATAACATTATTGGAGAAAAAAGTGTCATCAAATGAGTGATGTTTTTGGAAAAGCAGTATGTGCACGTTACCAGAGWTCCATGGAAGAAAGAATACTGTTTCTTTAGCATGAACATGAATTTAACTGAGCCGTTCGGAAGCACTTATACATTTGAGGTAGGTTAGGGAAAGGAAGCAGTGAGCAGGGCGGTGAGTTTGAACCCTGGCTGCTTCCTCTGGGGAACTGATTGGATGTTCTTGCGGGACAAGCCATGTCTTCCAGCCAGCCTGTGTTAGAAAGCAGCGGAGGAAGGAGCCTTTCTGCGGCGGAAAAGCACAGGCGCTGCCCGGCGCTGCTCAGGGATGGAGCTGGGGAAGAGCCTGGGGCACAAATCCTACAAGGAGCGGCTGAGGGRGCTGGGGAGGCTCAGGGGAGCCTTGTCGCTCTCTTATAGCTCCCTGAAAGGGGGTGGGGTTCCTCTCCCAGGTAGCCATCGATAGGATAACAGGACATCGCTCAAGCTGCACCWGAAGAGGTTCAGGGCGACCWTTAGAAGAAACTTCTTCACAGAAAGCTGASTGGAATGGGCTGCCCAGGGAGGTGGTGGAAACACCCTCCCTGAAGGTGTTTARRAAAGACTGGACATGGTACTCAGTGCCATACTCTAGTTGACCTGATGGTATTGGATCGTAGGTTGAACTCAGTGATCCTAGACCCCCGTCTGCAGGCTCCCTAACTCTGCAGTTCCGTGACTTTTGAACACGACCCCGTGTCCCGGGAGCCTTCCGGCCCCGCCTTTCCCCCACCCCTCCCTCAGCGGCGCCGCGCGCGGGAAGGGGCGGGGCAGCGGCCGAGCTCTCGCGACACGAGACGAGAGTTGGGCGGTGCGCGCTCCGGGCGGGCCGCGGGAGGATTTGAAAAGTGGCGGGTGAGGGAAGGACCGGGCTGTGCCCGGCTGTGCCATCCCAGCGGCTCCCGCCGCTGCTGTCTCCTCCGGCTGTGCTGCCGTACGGCGTGGGCTCCTCTACACGCCAGTCCGCCTCCGCTGAGGCTGTGTTCCGCTCCGCTGAGGCGGCGCCGCGGTGTTGGAAGCGTATCCCGCGGATCCATGAGGGTTCCGCCGCTCTGAGGGAGCCCGAGGTAAGCGGCCCGTCAGACTTCCCGCTGCCTGCTCTGCCGGGGCCTGGCAGGAGCCCCAGGTCACTCGGGCGGGGTCCAGGAGCGGTCCCCTACCTGTTCTGTGATGTGTAAGTCCTTCTCCCAACTGGAAAAGCATGTCAGGAGACACCTGGGATGGAGGGAAWGTTTACGTGCGCAAATATAACTCATGGTGGCCTTGCCTACTTCTCATAGTTTTCACTTGACAGTAGAGAAAAGGAGAGACTATTTTACTACCCTTCGGTGATTCTCATACAAGTAAGTACCGTTGTCAGGAATGATGGCCAGCTTAAATAGTRGGTGTGTGCTGGAGAATGCACTGTGCTTTTTAAAAATCAAAGTATCCGTTAAAAAATTGTTMTGTTTAATTAATTAAAATGAATGAATTAATTTAAATTAGTTTAAAATAAAGCTTGCAAGCCCTGTAGCCTAGTGATGTGAATCTAAATGCTGATTCACATAACTGTAAAATACATTGGAGAGAAAGGCTTCTATTATGTAGTACATGCATGGCTACTGTACTATATAACATATGTGAATGCTACATATATAACTGATATATGACTACAACTGAGACCAAAATGATCTTATTTTGATATACAGTATCTTCTCTAATGTTTTGTTTTGTTTACAGAGCAGGGACATACAATTTCAAGATGAAACGTGAAGCRTTTTTGCAAGTTGTGTCTAAAGAGTCAATTGAAGAATTCCTGCGTTACACTCAGAATCCTGTAAGTGAGCCAATGTAATGCATGTGTCACTTATGGAGTCWTAAGTATGTTGCAGGTGCACAAATTGTGTGACAAAGGGACAGAAACTATTTGTCTGGCACTTGCAGATGTGTGGGAGTAATTGCTGTAGAAAGTAKGTTCAAGTGGCACTTGAAGGAATATAGGCTGAAAAAGTTGCGGAATCTGAAATATTAGTATTTATAAACCAACTGGTTTTTTTACATTTGGTTGTTCCACATACCTCTTGTGTTTTTAGAAAATAAATTATTAGTACTGTGGTAATACTAAAAAAATACTAATTTGATGTTACTGAAATGTTTTTCAATTTCAACTTATAAAAAAGTTTATTAGTATGTGATGAATATGAGTTAATGTCCAAACATAGCAGAGTCGTGTTTCACTTGTATTTATTCATTCATTTGATGGTTTGCACTATCCGCTTGTTCTTTGGCCTATATTTAATTTTACTTGAATTGTTCCTTCTATCACTGAATGCTTTAGAGTAGAGGGAGATTGCTCTTTTTAAATGAAGTGTGGAGAGAAGAGGGAGGAACAATAAAACAAATCCCCTGAAATCTGCTATTAAAAGCTCATTCTCACACTATGCACATATTATCTTCTAATGACAGAATAATTTGCATTTTGGTGTTTCGCATTCAGCTTCAATCTGTCTGGTGTTAGGATATACCTGAGTTCTTGTAAGCATCTTTTGCTTCCTGCTATAAATAGTATTGTCAATTTTACTAGTTTCTTAATCTCTCTAAGGGGTATTTTCCTAATATTACCTGGATCYGGATAAAGAAAGTGGATCAGTTGACCTCTAAGTGCACAGAGGCATGAACTGATTTACTAATGTAGCAAATGTATTAAATTGACAATCACATTCTACATAAAAAGCTTATAAAAGTTTGTCTCCCAAGCATTATCGAATCTTTTCCCAAGAAATTTGCTGTTTCTTTCATATGTGTGCCTGTATGTAGTTAGGAGTGACAGCTTTATTACCAGATTGCCTCTGCTTAAASTCTTCTTCCCATTTTTCSTTACATGTAAACACTTCAGCAATAACRTATCCACTTTAGTTTTCACTTGATATTGATAAAGTGTTTCCTTTTCAATTGATTTAGTCGTGTTGATTCCTCCATCTGTATTCAAAAATTTATTTGAGCATGTTGTGGWTTATTTGGATTAAACATTGTTGGGTTTTTTCATCCTTTTATTTTTTATCACCAATTCCCAGGAATTCTCTTGCAATAGTTTTCAGCTGTTGCCAGTCTCTGTGGAAACTTTATGCCACCAGCTACAATGAACCTATCGATTAAACTTGTTTTCATGCCTTTGTAGCAGAAGGAGCGTGAATAACCAGATGACTTTTTGACTGTCCAAGAGACTTGAATTATTTTATTAATTTCATTTTGAAACCTTCAGTGATGATGTGTGACCATGTCTTGTCTTAGTCTGAGGATCCTCCTATTAGGATCTCCTGTGAAAAAGTCTTGACTGGTTTTCTGTCAAATGAATCATCATTAAAGCCTCACTGTTTTCCTTAGTTTTTGTATTATGTATGCCCTGATTTTTCTATTTATTTTGTGCTCTAGCCTTAGAATTTGCCTTTTAAACTTTCTTGAAAGTTCTGGTTTTAGCATCACTGCTTTCTTTCAGTGTCTGTTTTCTACATATGCCCCCCCCTCCCCCTTGAATTTTTCTTTTCCTTCTTCTAATGGTTAGGTTCCTCTGTGTCTTCTAAAGTTCCTGCTAATTTTCCTTCAAGGTTTCTTGTGGGCTTTTCCTTTTTTTTTTTTCTTCTTAATCTTATAAAAATGTCGTAGTGAGGTGCTGTTCATTGAGATCTTCAAGAGGTGCTTTTGATTTTTTTCCACTAAATCCCATTCCAATTCAAGAAACTACATWATTTCTTAGAAAACTAGGAATCACAGATAGAATTATTCCAAAAKCTGTGAAAGAAAAGGATGACATTGAATGATAATCCTATCTCATATTATCCCAAAGAAAGATCTAAAAACTCTAGTCTTATTATGAATTCATTCTTTTTGTTCAAAACAGTACAATGTTAATATCCTGTCTTTTGGTTTTGTTTGAAGCAGAGGGCTGCAGAGCTCCCTGTGAGGCTGTTGGTTTATTGTATTTGTTTTCAGCTGTAGAATAGAAATTCTCTTATAAATATGTAGCAGGATCTTCCTTCTCATATCCTTCTGGGAAACTTTCTAATACTTATTCTAATATGCTTCTTTCTTTCTTTTCTGTTTTTACCTTTAACTTTTTCTTTTTGATTCCTTGCAGTGTATCTGCAAACTAAAAATAGATTTATTTCAAGATCACGGACATTCTCCCTCTTACCTCTAAAGTGTTTTTGATCTAGTAAACCTTCAGTATTGCAAATTACATCTCAAATATTATCTGTGCTTCCTCTTGGCTGTGCCTGGTTTTCCTTCTCATCTTCTCTCTGCATATTCYCTTTCCTATCAGTTTGCCTACCTTTCTTTGATGCCAACAGACTTCTTGCATCTCTGAGCAAAGTTCTTCTGAGGAAATAGTTTAGATCAGTCTTGTGGTGTAGTCTCTAGAGACTGATGGTGGCTTTCCTGTCAGCAGGGCTTCAGGAGGAGGTGTGGAGTTAACATGCTCAGGAGCTGGGTTTGATGAGAGGCTTTAAAACAGTGCAATGTACAAAGCAGAACATATCCCAAATTAGTGCTGTCCCTATGTCTGTACTGACTGGTACATTTCCAGTCCTTACCTAAGGATTTTTTTTTCAACAGCCTTTATTAATCTATATTTAAGATAGCAAAGATATTGTTCGGGACTTAAATTCTGTGCRGTTTTGAGCTTAGCTAAGGGTATGAAATTGTCTCCATTGCTATCAAGGGCTAAAGGCTTCTGTCTTAAAAGCAGTATTCTAGCTTCATGTTCAAGAGTTAAGTAGCAGGAATATCTTATGCTATTTAAAAAAAATATAACTTCTAGAAGGTATTTTATCTCTATAACTGCAGAGGAATGTAAGTTAATAATTAATGTAAAAGCCCACATTAATTGTAGAAAATATGATGGTGAAATATAAGCTACTTCACTGATGTGGAATTGTGCGGTATCTTCTGACTATTTGTAGAAAAATCCATTTGATCCTTTTGACTTGAATGAGCTACTTCAGGAATTGCCAAGAAAACAAAAAGAAGTGCTATGGCAGAGGCTGACACAGCTACTGACAGCGACCTTGCTGGAGAATCCTGTGGAAACATGGCACAGGACTGGAGATGATAGAAGTGGTGATGACATGGAAGTTGATACAGTTCCAGAAATGGTAAGAATCTTGTAAAATTAAAATATGATGAGTTTTCATCATTTTTGGGAAATAAAATGGAATATTTCCATAATATATGAAAACATGCCAAGTTTATAAAATAAGATCAGTTCCAAATATCATCTTCCTGCCCATTTTTTTAAATTGCTTAGTTTATACTTGGGTTAAGCTGAGCTTATGATTGATCTATACTATAAGAGACGAGATCTACYGATCATGTTAATTATGAAAAATGGGACTTAGTTTTCTCAGTAGAGTTCAATGGGCTTTTTGTATATCTTATTTCAATAAACAAATGTTAATATYTGTTTAAATATCTGGCATATAGGATAAGAAATTCACTACCTGATTGGTGATGTTATTTTATTGAATGAAGATCATGAAACCTATATTTGAATACCCCTTCCACAAATTTAAAATATATAGAATTTTTCTGACTCAGACCTTTATATACTGCTTTCTGTGCTGCAGTCTATGTAGTCTTGAGAATATTGGGGGAAAAGGTAGTCACTTAATTTTGGAGGAAAAAAAAGCAAAGCAGTGGGGAAATCATTAGAGAGACCTAGAGGCTTGTAGAAAAATCAGTTATCTGTTCAGAGTAGAGTAGATTCACGTACTTGGTTTTTGAAAGTCACCATATGTATACATTTCTGAGTTGCACAAGGCCCTCCTAGCTAGGGGCTTTTCAGCTCTGGAATGAATGTGTGTTTAAGAGGGTTTGTTGCAGGTGAGGATTTTAGTGCAGAAGTGGATGCACCAGTACAGTCATAGTTATCTACTAGCTGAAGCTGAAAACCCTTTTCAGACTTCTTGAAAAGCTGTCCTTTAAAAATCTATTCTTTTGCTTTTTATTTTATAGGTTTTGGGTGGCATTATACTCATTCTTCAAAATGGAAGCTTAATAACAATTCAGCTTTGCTYTCTGTTGCTAAGGATTATTTCCTGCTGGAATTATCTGCTGAGTCCAAAACAAACTGTAAAAGTGTTTCCTCAACGTTGTTTTCTTTCAGAAACAAACTGTAGCAGTGATCCATGGAGTGGCAGCTGTTGTTACTGCTTCCATACCTGCAGTGGATGAAAATGTAAACTACAAAGCTCTTGTAGAATGCGTTTTTATGCTAAATCGTGAGTACTTCTCTGTACAGAATGCAGTGTTTTACAGAGGCTGTTTCTTTGATCTGACTGAAATCCAGCTGGCTTATGAAACAGAATTCAGAGGAGAAAAGTTGGTACTGATTTGAGTTCGTATTTATGAGACAGAATTAAGGGAGTATTTATTAAAAAGCAGCTACACAATTGAAGTTGGAATGTAAATAGTTTTTTTCCCAGCTGTTCACCCAGTGGATGATAACTTTGATTATCCTGTGATTTATATTACTTTTAAGGGAAACTCAATATTCCATTGTTACTGATCCAAAAGCTTGGGCAAAATGTTAAAGTTGCTTAAATACTGAAGTGAGCATAAGCCATGAAGCTGTGTAAATGTGGCAAGAGCTAGCTGACACTGTCAGGTGGACTTAGTGTATTAAAACACTACTGTTTKACAGGAATGACTTGGTTCATTGAAGTAAATAATTATTTTATTATTCTTGTAGGTATTCTTCCTGCATTACCTGCATCTGAAAAGATCCTMCAGGATGCTATCCAGCGTGTCTGTCAGATGTGGTGGGAGAAGGGACTGGAAGGGAAGGAGCAGCTGGGGAAGACTCTGTTTGTCATTCTGCTGAGAAAAAGCCTGAATAAAGCTGCTACGGTATGCTGAGGCTATGCTGACTTTCAGGTCACTACTGAATATTTCCAGAAAGATAATCCCTCCAATAAAACTCTTTTATTCTTAGCCTTCTCTAGAMCAAAATTTAAAGATTTTTTGCATCAGTTTCACAAGTGAACTAGATTTTTTTTTTGCATTCCTTTTCATCTTTTAACTCCTTTTTCTAGTCCAGTGACCAAGCTTTTTAATATCAATTAACTCTTTTTGTCAACTCAGATATTAACTACTATCTTTAGCTACGCATAGAGACAACTTTTGTGGGAAGCTTAATCTTCTCTTCCTCTTTATCTTTTTACTAATAATTTTTCTTACTTTTCTATTGGTCTGACATTCTTTTTTCAAATGTGAGAGTTGCTTGATGTATTGTGATACATCTGTTGGGTTAGTACAAAAGATGTGTATCTTTATTTCTTCCCTTTTTTCCCTGTTAACTGYGTATTGTGTGAAGTTTAAAAAGAGGAATGATACAGTTTTAACATATTTTGGTTTGGAATGGCAACTTTTTTCTGTACTTGAGCTGGCTTTATTTCTTGGAAGTCCAGAATTGCTGCAGTTAGACATATTTTTTCCCAATAATGTGATGAAATTAATGTTCATAATTTCRCAATCTAAAAATCTGTCTGTAACAATGCATTTTGCATTTCAAATCAATTATTTAAAATCCCTTAAATGCCTCTTTSCATTAAAGCCATGCCTGTTCCACTATAATGTGGGGTTCTTCTTTCCTGTCAGGGTGCAGATACAGTTCGAGTATGGAATCTACATCAGACATTGCTTTGTTTTGATTATGATTCAGAGGAAACTAATGAAGTCAAAGACTTGTTGCTTCAGTGTTTTATGAGTGTAAAACACATTAAGAAAGAAGAGGTAAGCCAGCTTTTATCTTACTGTGATTTTGTGCTAGTGAGCTTTGGTCGCTTTTAATAGTTTTGCAGTGTATCTTTTTTTACAGGACAGTAGGTAGCAACACGAGACAAATCATYTCTGACTCCAAGCTATAAATGGTCGATACTCTGTTTCCTTTGGAAAGACTTGTTTCTATTCCAGACTAAAGTGTGAAAGTGCATGTCTAAATCTTCAGTCCAGTTCTTGTATCCTGAGGCAGTAAGAATCAAGTGCTTTGCTTCCAGTGCATTTCCCTTGATCCTTAAAATCTTTCCCTGGTGTTACTCTTTTCTTTTATAGCAGGTTTTCTTTTATTGAAGACAAGTAATTGTAGCAAAATAATTTTCTTCCTAAATGACTTTATTTAGAAGAGTGCATTGGCATATTCTGTTTGAAAAGTAGCATAAAAAGAACCCAACTTTACAGAAAAATGAGAATTCTTTTATTTGATTATGTATGTTTCTCAGAGAACAGTTGCTATTTTGTAGTTTTTAGATTTTGCCTGTACACTAGGATAGTGGTRTCCAAGCCTTTTTTCTGGTTAGGTGACCAGACCACCTGACTTTGTCTCTGAAGTTCTAACTCCTCTCTGCATGTTTAAAATAGATATATTCCCTTTCCTATGGAATATGTGAACTTCTGTCATAAAACAAGCTCCGAGATTGCTGCACGGTAGGGCCAGTATGAGGATTTTGGAGAGGCAGTATGGTATTTTTAGAATGGAAATAACAAAGGAATTAGGGGAAATGTTTGATAGAGCAGGGTTTAGATAGGTGCCACGAAGTTGGTAGTATTTTTGTTACTTACATGTATTTTAAGCTATTTTAGTTTACACTAAAATTTGCATGTACTACGGCAATGTGAGAGTTGGAAATGGAAAGAGAAAATGTGGGTGGAAAGAGGAAAGACAGGTAAGACTTTATTGACAGAGTTTGCAATTAGTTTTGTGTCCTTGGTATATTTCATTTTAGGTAATTTTTTTGTCCTCTGGAAAAAGTGTGTACTTGTGTGTGTTCTTAGTCACAGTACTTAAAATGGACTAGCTGTATTTGATTCTAAATTTTTTTTTTCTTCTGTTATATTTGAAATTTTAATGTTTCATATTCTTAAATAATTGGTAATTATTTATGTAAAATACAATTGCTGTTATACTTCGGAAGAAAATTCTTGTAGTTATTTTCTTCTACTTTTATTAAATGTGTTAATTACTACACAGGTTTCCTAAATGAAATTTTTACTTTGAATCTTCGAGTGAAACACAGTCTTCAGTATAAAAGTCGTGGGTTTGTTACATTTGGTTTTTTTTTTTTTTTTTTTTAATATGGGGGGGGGAAAAAGCAGTGCTAATCAGACTTGATAATGAAGATTTTTTTTCCTGACAGATCGAAACTCATCACCTTTGCTCCACCAGAATGTGCAGATTTGGCTGTGCTTCCCACATTTACTTCTTTGCCCAAGATTTTCCTCTTTGCTCTTCTGGTGATTTGTGATTTGTACATTTTGTTACATTTGCATTTTCATAGGCTTATCTCTCTCTAGGTAGATATAGAGAGTGCCTTACTGCACTCTCTGCTTGTCATGGGATCATTTAAATCCTTAATTGTGGGTTCTTTCTTGCTGGAAGGATTGACTGGAAAAAGCAGCTCCCACGTGTTGCCTAAGGGCTCAGCCTTSGCCAGTGGTGGGTCTGCTTTGGAGTCTGCTGGYATCGGCTCTATCAGACACTGGAAAAGCTTCTGGCAGCATCTCACAGAAACCACCTCTCATGGCCTCCACTACCAAAACCTTGCTATGCCAGCCCAGTACACAAGTCACTTTTATATCCTTGAGGATAACAGTTCAAAATAAAAGGAGAGCCATAACCCATTCTGGAAAGATCTCAGGGTTGGAGTCAAATTAAGTGTCTGCTATGAATTTAGACATCTATTCAGGAACATAATTAGTACCTGGGAAGGATTTGATTGCTTGAGTGAATAACCTGTGTTACATGAAATGACCTAAGTTGCCTCAGACATSCATGTGTGGCTGGCACATTAAAACACTGTCATTGATCTCTGCCTTCTGGAAAACTATCTGAGCATGTAAAATTGCTGTGTTTAGGGTGTGCCTTACTGACCCTAGTCAACAGAGCCAACAGAACCAATTCAGCTCCATAAAACAGTAACTAAACAGTTGATCACATGAATTCAGGCAAGTAATATTTTAGAGACTTAAACATCCAAATCCACGAAATTGTGAGCAGAAATCAAATTTCAGTATATGAAATTCCAGTACATATCCAGAATGGTAACTAACTTGAGACTCTCTGCAGACATGAGATTCAAAGTGTTCAAAGTGTTTTCCTGTTGCTATGAAGCTATTGCACCTCTGTTGCAAGTCCTTTTCTTTGGGATTTGCRTGCTGTGGCAGTTGAGTTGCAGTGATAAMCCACCTCATGTGTTCTCTAGTTTCCCTGCCTGGCTCCTACAGTATCTCTACTGGACCATTTTCTTGCATCTTTTATTGCTTCTAAAATGCTTGCAGTAATACCAAATATCAACATGATGTGTGAATTGTTTTGAGATGACAGTGAGCTTCTCTATATCAGGCCTAATACTCCCTTTAGTTCCTGCAGACTTGTCCTGCAGTTCCTAAGGAAATAATTCCTAWTTTTTTTATTAGAGTACATATCCCTGAGTATAGCACCATAGCAGCTTAAGCTGATATAACTCCAGGCTGCAATGATCCTGAGTTGCCATGGGCTGGCATTCCTTTTCCTTTCCACAGTATGAATGTTCAAGCAGCAATATCATGGGTTGATTGAAGGAGGTAGCTGTTTTTCCCTAGTAGGATTATTTTTCAGACAGATTAACTGTCTGGAATGGTTCATCATATGCAAGGCGGAAGGGAAGGGTCAGGCATGCAGTATATCAGTTCTGAATCAGATTACACTGCTAGAGRATTGCACATTTATACCTCATTGCAAGATCAGGGAATTCAGTGTTTCTRCCTTCCCAGGCTGTGCTATTCAACACAGTAATATTTCTCAGAGGCTTATTATCAGGCTGCATTAGTGGAGTGATCCTCTGAATTTATCTCTGTGATTTATGAGAACATAYTTGTTCAGATGGGGCTTCCAGGCAAACAGATGCAGAGCATGCAAACATGCTACTGTGGTTTAGAGGTAGGTCTGTGGTACTCTTTCCTTGCTAACGTTCTGTGTGTGTGTGGARCAAACTCAGGTGCATTGTGTCCACAAGCACAGCARCACCAGGCACCCAACACTGATAACTGCATTAATCTCAACAATGACAATTTCACAGTCTTATTCACCTATCACCAGTTTACCTCTTGTGATAATGAAAATGTTAATACCCATAATCATTTCAGATCCATTMATCACAAGCAGCAGATTAAGTTAAAGGAACTTATATTTTTCAGGAGCGGGTTCAATCTTTTCAAACCTAAGGTTAAAAAAAATTTGTTGAAAGCTATTTTGTGTTAACTTATCATATGTCTTGCTGCTGGGTTGTAGAAGATGAGATGAGTTTGAGTTTGTCCTCATTCTTGCCTTTTTGAGGAAAGAGCTGTGGGTCAAGACTCCCTTGACCTTTTGTTTTATCAGGGTTGATGACATGTGACATGCCTGGTGGGACTCCTCTATATTTATGTTAGGCCACCAAAGTTGGGGATGGAGGCAACTCTGTTGACAACAGAAAAGATTCCATCAGACCTGTAGACAAGAATCTTGACATTGTATTTAGCCTTTAGGTCTTGATTTTTATGATCTTCTGAATTACTTCATGCAAAGGGAATTCAGCTGTCAATTGCAGAGGGCAGCTTCCGGTTATGTTCTTCYGTCTACATCCCCTACTCAGTGAGATTCCAACTCCAAGTGTGATTGGCATTCATTCTTGTCTGTTTTATCTTAGGTGTGAGCACAACTCTTGATCACAAACTCTCAATGGAAGTGCCTCTGAATATCTGCAAATTGTTCAGTGACCCTTTTGCGCTTCTTGCCAATGTACTCTTCACTGTTGCATTTCCCTTATTCATTTTTCTAATTTATTTTTGGCTAGAAAGCTGACAGATACAAAGGATCCTTACAACTGGCTGACTCACACTTATGTACAATCAAACATTTTTAAGTTTCAGAAGCTGACTGCTTTCACTTCATCTGTAAGATAACTCAGAGTTAGGCTGCCTGTACAGATACTGTATAAGGCCCCAAATCCTTGGGCAGATCTTGCTGATTCTGGAAGAGCAATGGCTTATTTCCTTCATCCAGAGCTTTCYACTGCCTTTTCTTGCAAAATTCTATCGCTCATCAGATTTGTCATCATTGTTCYTGACTTGCTAAAATGATAGAAAACTAATTTGGGAGAAATAGTGTTTCTGTTTTCATGAATGAAAGAAGCTCTGCAAGGTTTRTAATATTACCTTACATGTGGCAAGAGGAAAGGAATTGTCCTTGCTGATCAGAACATGTAATTTCCACAGTGGCCCGGCTGTTCTCTGTGGCTTTGTTAAAGAATGTTTATATGCTRGTAGAGTTGGTGGTGTTTTATTTATACCTTCAGCGTCATTCCAGTGTCATGCTGGAATGATATTGCAATAGACAGAGCTCAGTGATCCAGCCTTGATGAGGGTGCTGAGTTGCACAATCTGTTATCATTATGGAATGCTGCTTGAGGTCACACCAAAACAAAATGGACATTRAAAGAGTGGAGGCAGAGATGTGATCCACACGTTCATTTGTTCTGTATGTTTTCTATTGTAAAAATAAAAGTAATGCTTGAAATCTGTTTACTTATTAAGAATCTTAATMATTGTTTCCATTTCACCTGTGCTTTTTAAAATTAAAGATCCAATTTCCTTTGTATTTACTGATTTTTGAGGTAGCTCTTAAATTRGGTATTCTGAGATTTGACTTCTCTTATGTTTTTATCTCTTTTTCCCTCCCCACAGGGAAGAAGATTCCTGAGTTTTTTGTTCAGCTGGAATGTAAACTTCATTAAAATGATACATGGAACTGTTAAAAACCAATTACAGTTCTTTCCAAGGTATGCATCCCAGTTAGAGTACATAATTAGTAAGYGTTTGTCTAAAATCTTGTCTGTCTCACTCTCTAAAAATACCTAGTGTATTGAAAAGAAAAATCAGGATCCAGAAACCCTCAAATCTTCTGAATATTACTGCTATATTGTTTCAGCAACTTCATTTAATGGGAGYTCTGACATGCCTGAGTGTACAATTATAGGAGTAGTAAATGTTTATTTGATTTTAACTAAAGCAAATGACTTGGATAGAAATTGGACTGTGTTATTGGACYGTGTTATTTACGGTGCTTGTGTGAGTATTGAAGGTCCAATTCTTTTGTAGGATGTTGCTATTTTTTTCCTATGAGCAACCTCTAATTTGATTTGGTAAGATTCTGTATAAGGCATTCTAATAAGAAGTGACTTGCAGGATCARTCATAGCTGGAGAACTTGGCTGATGGATGAAAAAMATGGATTTTTTTTCTTGAATTTTTCAGTGAAATATTGCAGAAGTAATTCACTCTATTWAAATCAGAGGCTTTCTAATGCTTTCAGTTAGAATAATGCATACCTGTTGTCRTGGTTTGAACTTGACCGAAAGCCAAAAGCACTGCACCCACAACRTTCTCCTGAGAGGCAGSARGGAGAGCAAAAGCCCAATTAACACRAAAATTTATGGCTTTCAGATAGCATAACATAATTGAGAGGAAGATACATATATGCTCCAAAAAATGGTCAGACAGGCTGAAAAACTTCAGTTGCAAAATAGATTTATTACTAAAWACTACTAAGAATACTACCGCACCGGGGAGGGGAACAAAGATAGGGAAAAATTTACAAGGAGAAGAAAAATAAAAAAAGGACATTTTAAGACACCTGTTATCCTTTCCGGGGACCCATCTCTTTCTCAGGTCGTCCCTCTCTACCCCCCATGTCTTCCCGCACACACAGGSGACAGGAATGAAAGTCTAACATAGATCAAACTACTCATTACAGTTATCATCCAGCATCATAGGAGAAGCGTTCTTACAGCTCCAAGCTGTGGAAGTTCTTTCCCAAGAAACAGTCAGTGTATAACTGCTGATGGCAAGGGATTCTTTTCTTTATCTCGTAGGAGAAAGGAAAGAATGTTCTTCAAGGCCAAACTGCGTTGTTTCGGCGGCGTAAGACCACTATCACAAATCTCCTGGCAGAACACAATTTCTTCTTAGCATCAACTTGCTTCAGATGTTGTGGGGGGGGGCCAAGCCACTTCCCCCTTTTTTTGGCTTCTAATCAGTCCTCAAAGGCCAGGGATTTTTTTCCTCAGAGCAAGGTCGCTCTCCTTTTCTATACAGGTCTCTCATTGATAAAATAGTCCTTTCGAGAACAGCTTGTTTTCTCCATGTCCAAGCACCACAGCAACAGCACAGCAACCCATCCGATCTTCTCCTTACTGTGATCTTGGGTCTCCATTTTTCTTCTTACATCTCCTCACCCTCCTGCTCTGTTTTTCCCCRGTGCATGATACTACAACTAAATACTAACAACCTAAAACTACATGGCATTCGCCCCTATCTTGTTTTGAATTCTTCTTAAGTACAAGACAATATGTAATCACAGAGGTGTAACTATCCTGTGCAATTGGCCCAGGCCTGATGGGCAGCCTGTCCATCAACCTCAGAGCCATAATTGGCTCTAAAACACAGGGGGTAGGGCTCCTTTTGCTGGAGAAGGAGAAAGCTTCTAGAACTTCCTCACAGGAGCCATCTTTGTGGTTTCTTGGTCCCATCCCCCCACCACCAAAAATCGGGCCACGTAAAACCATGATACCTGTACATCCTCATAAAGAATTTAAGAATTTGTTGTGACATAAAYGATAAAACATCTCTGTGAATGTTTTGACTTGCCCACCTTAAGGGGTATTTCAAGTATCATGTAATAGCTTGAGTTTTAATTAAGAGTTAGCTTTGTAGTTATGGGTGTAGACTTGAAAAGGAGAATTTCTTCTAAAAATCATGATGCACAAAATTAAGAACAATATTGGTACGTAACAAATTTCATGTTTCACCTTTATGAATTGTACACAGATATGAGTTAGTATGCTTGCCTCAAAGTGTTTCCCGTATGTTAATACAGATCCTCGATGGAACACATTTCAGAAGTTTACTTCAGGGCGTGGAAGAAGGTTTCAGGAGAATTTATAGAGGTAACACTGTGCTTGAAATTTCATTTGGATMATTTTGAATTTCAAAGTGGGAAAGATACACAACTTTTCAGCCTCAGAGATGTTCCTTAAATAAGCCTTAAAGAATTATTTCCCTAAGTAAAGGGCCTCTTCAGCATTGTCAAGGAATAACAGTATGTCATGCTTTGAATGTTTTCCCACTGAGATCAAGTTGGCTGTAGTTAAACACCTTGAATTCTGCTGCTGAAAYATTGGTTCACACAACTATGCCTATACGCAATGTTGTTTATAAATACACCAGTCATCTGAATTATTGAAGCTTTTATTCATTATGTGCAAGTCTGTACAGTTGATAGCTCAAGTATTTATCTAGTTTTTGTGGATTTCCGCACAGATGATCAAAGGCATAATTATAGCATCAAAACAATGTYAGAGCAAAATTTCAGATGCGAAAAATTTATTTACCCTGCTTTTAGCCTCTGACAATTGGATTAAGTATATATTATGAAATTTTGAAAATCAGTTGAGGCAGACTGAGGGAGGCCCCCAGCATGAAAAAGATTTGGACTAAGCAGAAGCCAAGTAAGAAATAATACCAGATACTATTTTCRGTTGCTTGTTTTAGGGGAAAATGTAGTTGCTGCACAGCTACAATACTTTTTATTGTTTTGTTGTGTTAACAGGAACATGTCTGTGTTTTTACTGTAGGTGCTTGAAAGTGACTGCATTCAGGATTTCATGTATCATGGCATTCATCTTCCCAGAAGTTCTTCTGTTCATTCAAAAGTTAGAGAGGTAAGTTCCTTGAAAACATGATATGAACTAGTAGCATCAAAATGAGATCAGTTGCTATGAAGTCGAAAATTTCCATTTTATACTAAAATGCTATGCCAGGTCTGAGTGGAAGGGAAATACTTTTAACAGCCTGTATGGTACARTGTTTGGGATGTGCTGATGGTACACCAGTGTTCTGGCTGCTACTGAGCAGTGCTTGTGTGGTCTCAAGATTTTCTCCTGCCCACGTTTTTCCTAGGGAATAGGCTGAGCATGAGCAAGAAGTTGGGAGGGTCATAGTTGAGACAGGTGACCCAAACTGACCAGAAGGATATTACATGCCATATAATCATAATTTCCTCAGCAAACTGAGGGAAAGCAGATTCTGGGGAGGTGTAGCTATTGCTTGGAGACTGGCTGAGTATTGGTCTGCTTGTGGCAGGTAGTGAAAACTTGTTTGGGGTTTTTTTGGTCCTCTTTGCTTCATTTATTGAACTGTCTTTGTCTTGACCCATAACTTGCTTTTTTCTTCCAATTCTTTTCCCCCTTCCCACTGGGCAGGGAGTGTGAATAGCTGTGGGTACTTAGCTGGTTACCAGGGCCAACCCACCACAAATACTTAAAAAATAGCATATTCTGAGAAACAATGTTAGAACAAATTTTATGAGGAACCTGCTTATAGTTTTGCACTAGATTTTTCTTTGCTACTCGAAAGTAGAAATAGAAGGGGGTTTTCCAGAGTACCAGAAATAGTTTTTGCTGTCTGTTGTCTAAGTTTTCTTTACCTGCAGAATTGACCTTTCCATAGATGATCATGGGGACAAAAAGTCATAACCTTCTTGAGGCAGATTTATTAGATGGGTCTGAAATTAAACTTGGCTTTTTTCTTTTGATTATATGTAGGCAGTTTATATATGTTTATAGTGGCAAGCCTTCATTCTAGTTGTCTGTCTGTGGTTTTTAGTCACGAACARAACATTTGAAGCAGAATGAGAAATGTGCAAAGCTTTTTAAGACATTTGTATTTGCTTAATGCCCCTTCCYCTCCCATGCTTTCTCTCAAATACACAAACTCTGGAATGTATAATGTGTGCTATATATAGCTTAACATACCAGTATACAGTACTATATTGGTTGGTTTGTTTGTTTTGGTTTGGGTTTTTTGGGGTTKTTTTTTAGGGGATTTGTTCTGTTTTCTGATAGCTGTAGGATTCCCTTGTCCCGTGAGTCCTGATTGATGGAATAGGCTTKTGACAGAGCATTTCTAGATGTTTTCTAGACTCAGAGGCTTATTATCTTGAAAGAGGACAGTGAATAAATATGTCTTTGGGCTGCAAATGGAATGAGTCTTGGAATTGGAACTGACCACTAGAGGGTCAGCTTCTTTTCAAATTTTGTGTAATCTTGTATTCTGTTTTCCAAGATCTTTAGGGAATTATCAGTGCTTTATTGATCAAGGCCAGAAATGTTCAGAGGCTGATCTTGTCTCCCTTTYTGATTAATTACCAACCTTAGAACACAGCTCAAACTGACCAGTGTTTCAAGTGGAGGAATTCTTCTTATCAAGTTACATGATGTCCTTTCTCATATTCTGCTCTGGTCTTCCACTTTCTCTTTCTTTTCTGCATAATTCAGATKCAAAAAATAACAAAATTTTTAGCTAATTGAGCAGAGTTTCAAGTCCAAAGAGTGCTGATACTTGCTTTTCATCAGTGCATAAAAAATGTGTTACATTTGTAGATTTGTATTTGGATAACTTCATTTACCAAATAAAGTTCCTTTTTTTCTTAGCAGAGAAAAGGTTTATTTATCTGGAGTTGATAACTTCATGGTATCAAAGTATTTCTGCCAGTTACTTTAAAAATAGTTTTTTACTATTAGTAACAAAAAATGAGTTATTGCTGTGAAATTCTCTAGCCATGTCCTTTTCTTAGTTGTAGATCTTTATATAAACTTATTGACCTTATAAAATTATAAAATATTTTATTTATTAGACCTATTTAATCTTACTATTTTTGAGACTTTCTAATAAAATATAAAATTAATATCTTTAGTTGTATAATTTCCATAGTATGAAAACTCTGATCTTACATAATTATGAAATGACACAACCCCCTACCACTTCCTGAATGTAGAAAATACTGTTAAAATGGCTTTTGGGCCTGGTTTATTTGTTTCTTTCTTAGATACTGTGTTATTTTCATAAACAAAGTAAAGTTCGTCAAGGAGTTGAAGAAATGCTCTATAGATTGTATCGGCCTATCCTCTGGAGAGCACTGAAGGTAATTATCCTATTCAGAAAATACAACTGTCTTTCTCCAGCTATTAAATTTTGGGTCCATTCCACATCTTCTGCTTTTATCATTTGCTTTTAAAATGAAATGACTACAAAAATCAAAATTATTTCAAAATGTTCAATATCATAGATGTTGCTGAGTAGCTTTGCAAGTTGGTATTAGGCATAGTATGCACAATAATATTCTATTTTGTTAATACAATTTATGTGTATAATTCAGTTTTGTTTACAGGTACCTAGAATGCTTTCTGGGATTGCCATTGGTATTCTCATCTTCCCAATTTGGAAATCTTTAGGGAATTATCAATGTTTTATTGATCAAAGCCGGAAATGTTCAGAGGATGGTTTAGTCTCCCCTTCTGATTAATTACTGGCTTTAGAATACAACTCGATGAATTTGTTAGAGTTTTTATTTTAGAAAAACTTCTATTCTAGTTGGATTGTATGTACAGACATTCATAGTATGGATGTGCACTTGGAATGAAATTTCTTACTTTTGATTCTTTTATGGGAAGCGTGTGTATATTTTCCTGTGGATTCCATGCACGGACTAAAGGGGACCTACTGCAGTTTGCTCAGTTACACTCTGTGATTAAGATGAGCCAAGCTTCCTTATTTAGTAACAGCTTTTATTTTGTCTGAGGTTATGAAATCCCTGTTCATGAGAACATACACATGCAGCCAAATTAAGTGCTGGTAAACATTTACAGTTTCATTTACTGATTGGTCATACAGCATCTTCTTTAGCCATGAGAGAAGTATTTGAAATTCCCGAAGCTGAAAGTATTTAATATTAACTTAAAGAGTTGTTTAAAATGGATTTTATGAGTTATAGGAAGGGGTTGAGAGCTGGTTGGTTTCAATAGAACCCTGTGATAGAGGGGAAGATGAACAGTCATTGCTAGCCCATTATCTTGTTTGGCCTTACATAAGGGCTGGGTCCCATCCCTTTATAATTAATATAAACAAGGAACCTTCTGGGTGAAACATGTASTCCTAGTGCAAGAGAATAATAGCTGCAAAGCATGGCTTCCTTTAATTTCCACATTTCTGTCTCTAAAAAGAATAAGTGTTTTAACTGATTGTTGATAGGTTAGCAAAATAGTGTTTCATTCTTGAGGGAGTTGCCTTCAGTGGAGGTTGTAGTCGCTTTCCAAAGGCCAGGACTCAAATGTAAGACTAGAGTACTTTGGAAGAAGATTCTGTCAAAGCTTGTGGAATCTGCATACATTTATTTGGGGAAATGTAACAGAATTTGTTGGAAAAAAGGTTAATGATTGGCATTTTTAACTGTTGCTGTGACTCAGAATCACCTGTAGTTTAAGACACAGAACTAAGAAGGGAAGCATGTAACTGTCCTTGTTGTTAAGGATTCTACTCCAAAGCTCAAAATGTCAGTTTAATTTTAGATAACCAGCTTGATGCTCCTATTTTAGCCAAATCCCTAATTTAATATAACGAAGACCAAACCATGTTCTAGAACACTGGTTATGAAACAGAAAGGACATACAAGGCCTGTTTACTCCTCCTTCTTGAAAAAAGCAAAAATACTTCCATTATAAGAATACAGTGAACACCAGAACTGCTCCCATTGAAATTTGATTTAATCTCTGAAATCTTTTAACCCAGAATGCACATTTTTAATGCACAGTTCTCAGTTTCTTCTTAAATTGCTTGTTTTGCAAATACTTAAATTGCACAAGCTTCAGTTGGGGCTTTCGCCAACACATTTTATAAGCCTTTATGCAACTTTTATAATATAAGTCCATATGTAACTTGTTCATCTTTTCATGTCCTTATTATGAAAAATAAGTGTCATACAAACATAAAAAAGATGTGCGGTGATTAGTTGTTAGTATAAGAAGCTCTATGGATATAAAAATATGGATATTTAGTGTGAGGTAAGTAGTGATTAAGCTATTTCTTATCAAGCTGAAAAAGTCAAGAACCACTCCTTCAGGAATTCAAGCTGTTGAAGGAAGTGACTCCTCTAAAGTGRTGTGTTTGGTTGTCTTTTTAATTTTTTTTAACATCCCACACACTTAAACTAACATGTCCTGAGGAAACGCTTTTAAATAATTTGAAGTGAATTTCTGAACCTGTAAGAGCAGATAAAATTTAAAAGAAAGCTATGAAAATTAACTGAAGAAAAAATTAAAATAYTGTTTAAAAAGGTTCTGAAAGTTCTTCAGAATAGTACAAGCATCAAGGTAAAGAAATATTAGTAATTTAAATAACTGCAAGCTGTGGCATGGAAAAGTCAGTGTGGATTAAAACAGGATATGAATTTAAAGTCTTAGGTTCTACCTCTGTGAAGACATTGTATGAGTCTGAATATGCAAATACATTTGGGATAAATTCCAGTTAATTAAAGACAGGAATTTGAACTGTGGGTACTCAGTTCAGAATTAAAAGTGAGCTTAATGGAATTCAGTGTAATGCACTTAAAAGTTTATGGAAATTAACTTTCTGGAATGGCCGTGGTAGACAAGGTCTAGRTTATTGCACGAAAACACATTTGAATTAATTTTCATAGGCAGTGTTAGTGCAGAAGAGCCATTTCACTCTGAATTCACATATTATCTTGTTAAGTGTTAATTCTTAAATGTAGACAAGCTCAAAGTTAAAGGATTTTCTACACCTTTATAGGGCAGAATTAAGAATYACGATCTTTTCACCTTTAAACTGTTTGCATAATCCATGAAAAATAACAGACAGCACAAGCCCCTAACTAAAAATCATGTCTGTGCTTTATTTGCTTTTTAAGTATTCAATTCAGAAATGCTATTAATTTTGTTGACTTGAAGAATTTGGAATGTTATAGTTCTACTCCACCATATCAGGACTGGTCAAGAGGAGAAATCCAAAACAGATTATAAATGAAATAATAGTTGCCCTGTGTTTTCCTGGTTTYCTTTGTCATTGGTTTAAGTCTAAATATTACATATTTATTGCCATGTTTCTTTTCCCTGTCTTTGATCTCAATGTGCTTTATGACAGGTGAAGAAGAAAATTAGATTATTAGAATAGTCAAGGGGTTCCCTGAACTGTCTTGTGTCTTGCTGCTGAAGTTTTGCTTGTTATAAGCAAATTTGTTTGCTTGTATTTGAAAATTTGCATAAGCTTATTTGTTATAAGCCCATTTTGCTTGTTATATTGAAATATACGTATGTATATTTCTTTTCATTAACTTGGACCCAAAATCTGGACAAAATTCTCCCTACTTTCCAAGAGAAGTCAGCAAAGGCTGTTAATCTCTGTGCTGCTTTGATAAATAAAATGCAGTTTGATGGCTACATTTCAGCTTTCTACCTGAGATGCCTTGACTTTCATCATTGTTTCATTGCTTGCTCTCTTTTCTGTCCTTCAAGAGTCCACAGGGTCAATTGTCTTTCACTGAATGAGTGTCTAAATATCCACTTTTTTTGTTGGTTTTTTTTTTTTTTCCATTTGGGGCTCTACAGCAAAATACATAGTGGAGTACACTGAAAAGTGTTGAGTATGGTAAAATGTTGTGAGGCTTCCCACAGATTTTTGATGAGCTGCCTAGAGCTCAGGACATGGTTTATTACTTATTATTACTTATGTCAGAGATGCAGAACTGAGTATGTTTAAGTTCTTCTCCARGCTTTCTGGTACTTAGTTACTAAATGCTATTTTCTTGAAGAAATAGGCTTGAGCTTTTCAATCACCTGTCTCTTGACAGGCAAGTTARTTAATTCCATCTGATTGAATTCAARATTCTTCTGTCCTGAAGAGGAGCTTTAAGGCCACCAAGAGAAATCTCAATTGCTTTTAATTTATTCAGCATTACAGAAAGCAGAAGGGTTCTGACTGATTCTTCAGGGCCACTGAAGTTGATATCTTTGAAAGCTGATTGTAACAATAACTCAGGTTTAACTGAATGRGCAGAAATGTAAGGTAAAACATTAAATTTCATATTTAACTGTAAGTTCTTCCATCCATTTACAAATTTATCTTTTCCATCTACTTAATTAAAAACACTAATTTGCTAAAAATGTATAGAGAACAGTATTTGACAGGATATGCCTTTGGATATTAAGTTTGTCATGATGGAAAAAAATTTTCCCTCCATTGTTACAGGCCAGAAATTCAGAAGTTCGAGCAAATGCAGCATATCTGTTTGTTGATGCTTTTCCTGTTCGTCATCCCAGTTTAAATGCTGAAGAGATGGACAAYGAAATTCAGAAACAGTTTGAAGAACTTTTTGTAAGTTTTAATGAAATTAAAATGTTAAAAGTGAAACTTCTATCTAAACTAATTAAAAAAATAATTTGCTGATGCAATTAAAATTTATGGAACTTCTGGACAGTATTTGTAAGGAAATAGATTTCTTGGTTCAGAAAATACAAAAATAAACTAATATTTTAAATTTTTATAGTATGTTTTCTATAGATGCTACTGCAGTGCTACACCACTTTGAAAAAGGAAATATTCTGGTTTGTTATTCATGAATCTATGAATGAGAGATGCCTTTGAAAGATTAAACACATGAGTAATGGATCTTGATCCTTACATTACCCAGGATTGAGGAGAAGAGCTTCATAGTTACTATGGAAGTTTTCAATGGACTTTCAGTACTGTATTACTAAATATTTCTGAAATTAACTATAATGGAGATAACCCAAAAATCTCCTTAAGAGTCCAGATAAGTGAGGWTGGGCATAATATTTTCATTAAGAAAATGTTTGGGTAGTTGTGTGTGAATGTCAGGTAACTGAATGAATTTCAAAGATTTTATGTTGTTCCATAGGAACCGTGATCAGTGTAGACTCATATAAATAGAAGTCTGAAGATTTTTAATTAAGTCACAAATGTAAGACTTAGTTCACAAAAAAAAAAAAAATCAAAAGTCCAATTTAAATAAGTTGGSCAATAGTTATCTTAATTTTGCTTCTGATTTAAATGTCTTAGTTTTTTTTACAGTAAAATTCCTTGAGGGACTATTAATATTCAGTTCTTTTATTKTATGACAATTTGCACAATGATTAAAAGGTAATGGACTGCTTTTTGTTTGTGATAAGTTCATATCAAACAGCAGAGTCACAATAATCCAATAATCCAGTATTATTCTTCTGTTTGTTTTAGAGTCTCTTAGATGATCCTCATCCAGTTGTCCGCTCTACAGGAATACTTGGAGTTACTCAGATAGCATCCAAATACTGGGAGATGATTCCTCCAACAATTCTTGCTGATCTTTTAAAAAAGATAACTGGAGAGCTGGCATGTGATATAACATCTGCTGATGTTCGATGCTCTGTTTTTAAAGTAAATGTTTTTTCTAAATTTAAAATCATGATTGTAATTTTTATATTTTACTCTATATACAGGTTTCTAGTATAGGCCACTTTAAGTTGAGAAAATTAGTTGTTCTACAAATTATCTTAGGCAGTAGGATTCCTAATATATGGAGGTTTTGCACTTTTCATAAAAGCCACATGACTGGAATACACATATGCCTTTTCAAAAAATAACTGACTGACTTTGACTTTCAACCATTTTGCATTTCCAGTCATGCACACAGTGTTTGGAGCTGATAATTTAGTTATTTTAGCTGTTAGAAATGGTGTTTAGACTGTAGGCAGGTTCCAGGATGTTCCTATGTCACTGGCTTTAACACATTCCAAGACATACGCAGTTAGGATTTTGTACCCCACTTTGTGTGTCTAAGATTTGGATGGATATAATTCCACTCTGTCTGGTGGTGCCTCCTCCCATGCATTGCTCACTATGTTAGAATTAGTTCTGCTTCTTTCTGACATGTGAGAAAAAAACAATAGCTTGGACAGAAAAATGAACTCCCTAAGCAACATTTTCACTTGAAGATTTTGTGTCTGCGTCAGCCTTAAATTGAAGCTATCATCCTGATAATCCTCAGTTGCTCCACTGCTGCTGTATGGAGGTGCTATACTGGATAAACAGAAAGTGCTGATTTTAAAATGAATTGGAAAAAAATATATGCATTTTAAATTTGAAATCAGCATATTTTACAGAGCTGGTATTGTACAATGTGCACTCAGATAGAAGGCAAGACCATGGTCTTAGGATCGATCTGAAGTTGATTCAGCTGAAATGAGTTCACTGAACACAATTTACTGTAAATTTGAAATTAGGCAATTTCAAAAGGCAATTTTTACTAAAGAATATTACAGGAAAAACAACCATGCACAGTGTCTGTCCCTGCTTTATTTAACCTGAGAAGTGTCATGGTCCTCTTCAACGATTTTTAGCTACATGTTTTTCAACTCKCCTCATTCTGGATATGTTTGGAATATTTTAGTGCCTACCAATAATTTTGGACAACAAACTAAGTCACCCACTACTGGAACAGCTCCTGCCTGCAACCAAAGACAGTCTCCATGACAATTCAGAGAAAGTGCGAGTGGCTTTTGTGGATATGCTGCTGAAAGTGAAGGCTACCAAGGCTGCTAAGGTGGGAAAAGTGATGCTTGATAAGTAGCAAGGAGAAAAAATCAAGGCATTTATTTAAAAAACAAAAAGAAACACATTTTGAGACTACCAGAGTATTCCTAAAAGGAAAGAAACACATGCTTTGCTGGAGTAATACTCTTAATATTTGTGATATCCCAAGTGCTCTGTGGGCCCTTGTTCTCTCTAGTGGCTGTGGTGGCGAGAGCAGGGGGTTACAGCCACAATCCCTGCAGCTGCCCAGCTCAGGGCAGGATTCTCTTACCTTTTAAATCCTTAACACCTTTGCCCAAGAGCTTTTTTTGCTTTGATTATCTTTTATTTGTGATGTCTGTATTTTGTGGGCACATTCTTTGAGATTTTGTTGTCTTTTTATAGTGATTTTGAATGCATTTTGTGTTCTGTTGTGGGCTGTTATTTAGGGTGATGCTGTAACCACAGACATTATAGCATCTTTGAGCTCTTACTCCATTCTCTACTGTTAATAGTTTCTTAATTTCAATTTTATGTTTTAATTTACCCATGGTTTTGCCTCTTGCTAAGCCTAATAAAGACATAAAGCTATTAGAAAGCACCCAGAAGAGTGCTGTGAGGATATTGTAAGGTCTAAGAGGKGAAGCCATACAAGGAGTGGCTGAGGTCACTTGGTTTGTGAATTATTYTGATTTTGTTGCCATTAAGAACAGAGAAAAAAGATAATTTTCAATGATGGGTATTTTTGTCAGGAAGTAAAGATCAGGTTTACATAAAGAAAAACAAATCYTAGTAAGTGTTAGATGCTTTTCAGCAACTTCCTATTGATTTTAAAACTGTAATATGTATCTGTGGTAAGTCCTGGGATCAATTTAAACTTAMTACAAGGACTTCCTTTTTATGCCAATTCTAATAGGAATGTCCATGGTTTGAATTCCCAGGGTGATTAGCTGCTGCAAATATTTATACTCAAGAATAAAATAATATTTTTCAATGCTAAGAAATCTTTCTTTTYGTTTTTTATTTTGTTATAATCTGCAATCGTACAGCATAATTAATTCAGAATCATCTCACAGAAATTACAAATGTAGTGTTACTGCTGGCATAACAGCTGTGTAGTCTTTCTGAATTTCATAGCCTTTGATTTCTGTGTTACAAATAAACTAGAGCTCTGCAAAGAACAGGATGCATTCAGTATTTAGCTATGTAGGGTTTGGGATGATTTTGGAAAGGGTGTTCATCTGTACAGGTTTTTATGGTGTATGCAATATTTGTAAATAATTTGGTGTTACTTTGTCCTGTAAGAAGAATATGAAACATGTCACATAATGACAAATAATTGTATTTTATGGTGATATCCTTGTAAAGTAAATAATTCTTCCTGTATCTATGGAATTGCATTAGTATTGCATGTGTTTTGGACTGGAATTACTTGAACCACAATTTTACCAGTGAGTCAGAGATATCAGGAGATTTAGAGATGAATCAGAACAGCAAAATAACATGATTGCAGCAGAATTCGATCTCTAGTACATGTCAGTGTTCGGTAAAAATTTAAAAATGCTCTTTTTTTCCTAGTAAATGTTCCTTAGACTTGTTTAGACTATTGATATAGAAATCACTTAATGAAGGAGATTTTGTTTTGCTCTATTTTTTTTCAATTCATTTTAATATCTTTTTCTCTCTTTAAAAAGTTCTGGTGTATCTGTCCCGTGAATCATCTTCTGTATCGCCTTGAAGCTGATTCTCGGCCGGTGTCCCGGCGCATYGTGAATCTCCTGCTGAACTCCTTCTTCCCCATTAACCAGCCTGAGGATGTGTGGTGTGAGCGTTGTGTCACTCTGATCCAGATGAACCCAGCAGCAGCCAGAAAGTTCTATCAATATGCTTGTGAATTTACTGCCCCCACCAATATAGGTAAAGTACAAAGCCTTGTGAGTTTCTGGAATTACTTATACCACACCATGTCAATGCTTTTTTTGTAACAATGGTATACTATTGTTGCTAGATTTTTTCATTTAACGTAGTATTAGTTCACAGTTTTTGAAATTCTTGACATCAGCAATAAGCACTGGCAAAGTCATCAGCTTTTCCAACAATGAAGAGACCAAAGGTTTTAATTTCTGCTCTTAGATGCTGTACTATACACTCTAGCCTATGGTGGTACCTGGTCCCTCTGTTCCCCTTTCTCCCCACATGTACCTTAAAACTATCTCAGTTGATACCAATTTCTCCTGTAGAAATAGGAGATTTCCCTGGTGCCTTCCCTGGTGATTTGAGATCTTCATGTGAAACATCCTATGGAAGCTGAAAAAAAAAATATTCATGCCTGATAATCTGGTTATCTGGGATTTGTGGATCAGTATTTTCAAGATGCTCAGAGAGAATCTAAAAAGTCCTTCAGTAAGCTTCGGAAAGTTTCAGTGAAAGGGTCATGTACTGCTCAGAATGTCACTGCTTTTTAGATAAGTGCTTTTGAACCAAGTAAAATCAGGAAAAGTTTTTTTCAGAAGAGTTCTGAGAAAACCCAAGTAGTTAGCATGGAATGGCTTGGGTAAACTGCCCAAACCAATGCCTCTYAGCTGATTGCTTTGATAAGGTAGTTATGAAATCACATTCTGAAATCAGCTCATTGTACTTCCACCAGTGTGGGCATAACCCTTTCACCTTTTCTAGAGCCAAGCTCCTCATTCAGGAATGCAGTGGTTGGGCTATGACATCCTTTCCAAAGAATGGAAATTGATATAGGAGGGAATGTTTTTATGAACGTGGGTCATTAAGTAAACAGCTTTGCCAGATGAAACTTAGGAGTTGTGGGAGCTTCCTCTGATTCTGGTTTGATAAGGTGGTGGTTATTTTTGGGGGTGTTTTTTAGTAAACCAAAAAATTACAGAATCTGATGATAATGCTTCCATTTCTTCTTCATACTTGAAGATATAAAACATGTTCATATTTTTTCCATTTCCTTTACAAGGAATTTTTCTCCATTTTTTCCTAGTTGTTTCTGGTTCTGTTGCCTACTTTTACATACTGGCTTTCCAGCATTATAATTGGAAGCATTTATTGGCAACATTCTTAGCAAATAGTAAATGTCTATTTTATTCTTACTCTATTTAAATGCAGCTAAATTGATGCTCACTATTCGGCGCTGCTTGAATGCCTGCATCCAGAAAGAGAAACTTCATGACAGTTTGGATAAGGATGATGATGATGGTGACAATGGAAATGAAAAAGAGAACACAAGTGTAAGAAAGTTCACTTTATGCTCAATTCTGTTAAATTATTTTCAGTGGTGCTTAATTTGAGACATAGSTAGTTGATAATATGACAGAAGTCTAAAGGAAGGCCCCTGGACATTGGTTAAATTGGAAGGGGAGAACTGCCATTTTTGGGTTTTCATGTCGTGTGATAGCAGAAGTTCAAGTAGTTTGAATAAGATATAAGRAATATGAAGCATCTTTTAAATTAATAGTTGCCTAATTCCAGTACTAATTATAAATTGGTTTGGTTTTGCAGTTATATTATTTTAAAAATTACCATTGCAAGGTATGTGAAGTTACAGAGAGAGAAAGACTGAATTGTGGAGTTCATGTTCTACAGCAGCCACAATGCCTTTATAAAGTGAATAGAAGGGTTTTCAGTGTTTTTTAAAGCCTTGTATTAACTTAAATTTCTATCTGAAAATATAACATCATCTAAGCATTTGTATTTCAGGTATTGGATAATGTGTTGTCAGTRAATGATGTGGCCAGTATGGCCAGTTTGTTGGAGATAACTGTGATACTATGGAGAAGTATCTACAAAGCACTAGATCACAATGAAGATGCCAAAGATTATGCTATCAAGAAGTTTGCTTCTGTACTTCCTCAATATTTTAAAGTATTTCAGGTAAAGAAAGTCTAGATTTTCCTATATTTTCTTACTATTCTCTTCAGATGTTTTCATGTTTTATGTCTATTATCTACTATTATGGTGTTAAGTATTCTTTTTCATTGTGGCTATGAACCACAAACAACAGCAAGTTTCTTGGAATTCCACAGATAGAATTCTTAAACTGCAGTGTGTGTCTAATGAACCATTATCTAAATAGTCAGCTCAGAAAAACTTATGCAATAAATTGCTCTCCTTGTAAGGTTTTTCTAGAGCTTTATTCTTTTGAATGCTTTCAAATTTTTGGAAAACATTAAATGCAAGTGTGCCAGTGAAGAATAAATACTCTGTTACATGAGAATCCATGTTTATTTACCCATTGTGTCCCAGACTCTTCTACCACCACCACTTCTTGTCATTCAGCTGCATCTGAAGCAGCTGAGGCTTTTCACTGAATATGAGCTGGCAAGGTGCACTTGCAGCCCAGAAAGCCMAACGTGTCCTGCTGACCTGCTTGAGTCAGTCCAGGGGAGGCCACCAAGATGATCAGAGAGATGGAGCATCTCTCCTAAGGGGAAAGGCTAAAAGAATCGGGATTGTTCAGCCTGGAGAAGAGAAGGCTTAGGGGTGACCTAATTACATCCTTTCAGTGCCTGAGGGAAGCCTGCAAGAAAGACAGAGGGACATTTTGCAAGAGAGTGTAGTGACAGGAAGAGGAGGAATGGATTGAAACTGAAAGAAAGCTTTAGATTAAATATTAGGAAGAAATTCTTTATTGTGAGGGTGGTGAGACACTGGAACAAGTTGCCCAGAGRAGCTGTGGATGCCCCATCCCTGGCAGTGTTCAAGGCCCTGTTGGATGGGGCTTGGAACAACCTGATCTAGTGGGAGGTGACCCTGCCCATGGCAGGGTGGTTAGAACAAGATGATCTCTAGTGTCCCTTCCAACCCAAACCATTCAGGTTTCTGCTAATTTGAATCTACTCTCTAGTCATCTCTTGGTGCACTTATTTATTGCTTTGGTTTGATATAGACAATTAATTAAAATCAGTCATTTAAAAATTTTAAGTTTCCTTGCTTTAATTGTTTTAGTGTTTTTCTTAAGGAGGATGCTGTCATAAGAGTGGCCAATAGTGGCTGCTGCACCCGTAGTACACTTTAAAGGATTACCTGCTGGATGTGTTTTTTTCAGTTGATGGCTTTTATGCTGAAGTATCCTGAATTATGGTGGCTGTTGCACTGCAACTTTGCTTTAGATAATCAGGGAGTGAAAAGCAGTTCATTTCTGTGTAATATTCTGTAGCACCAAATGCTTTCTACCATGAAAGCATTTGGAAGTTGTCAAAGACATTCCAAATCTTTTTTGGTAGAAGCATGCCTTCTGAAAGCGTGTGGTGAACAGACAAGAGATACAGCTTTAGCAAGCAACCTKTTTGACTTTGATATTCTTACCGTGAGTAAGCAGCTTGGATCTAGGACCTGTCATCAGAGGCTTAGTTCCTAAAAGGCTACAGACTGAAGCAGCCTGTCTGTTTCCTGAAAAAGCTACAAATACATTTGAAAAGTTCTTTTAAAAATATGAGCTTTAAAAAGGGTTTTAGATCTTGGCTAAGTAGGTGACAATTTCATTTAGCTTTTTTTCATGAAGCTTGGACATAGAGATAAACCATTTTTGAAGAGTTCTTAATATAAGTTGGTTTCTCTATAACCTGGGTGAGGTTATGTTGTGGCCTGACCATGAATTATGACATGTTGTAATGAAWAATAGTGCATTAAACATTACCATTGTTATATGAGAACCCTTTTCTTTAGAGTCTTTTTACTAAGTTTGTGATGTGAATGAATATTCATTTAAAGAACTGGTCACTTGAGAGAATTCGATGGTCGTGGTTGTGCAATTAAACATTAGGCACTACTGGAAAAAAAGGTAGAGCTGCTCTTTCTTTTGCAATGATTATTAATCTAATTGAGCCATAACTATTCATGGTGATTGTTCTGGTGGTTTGTCAGAAAGCTGAACGATACAATAATCGATAATTGACCTCCAAAAATAGCAATCAGACATTTCACATTGCAGGTCACATACTGTTTTGAGCTTCTTTCAGTTCCATTTGTAGTGAAAAAAAGGAAATCCTTAATCTGAGAAAATGTAAATGTATTTTTTCAGTACTCTCTTTAGTTGTGCTTGAATGTGTGTACCTGTATGTTACTGTCATAAAGTGTAATTCTTTTATCCTAGGACGAGCGTTGCACAACTCCATTGGTTATTCTGGCATCCTTTCTTCCTCCTGCTGCTATTCCTACATTCAGGTACTGTTTTGAAATCCAAAATGAGAATGGCAAGAAATTTCTTGTTGTCTGTATTTGTTAATCTTTTACAACTTGATGTATTAGATGTCCATTTGGATAACTTAAGCTRCTATAAAACTGTGATAAGTTAGGAAAATGTGTGATGTCAGAGTCTGTCTAAGCCATTGGTGAATCTTTTGTTTGTATCATACTAATTGTTTTTCTTTGGATTTTTCTGCACTTGTGGGTGTAAAGTTAATGCATTTCTTTATCTTCTGTTTTCTTTTAAGCTGTGGTGTGATTTCCAGGCTCAGAAATATTAACAGTGGAGCTGACCAAAGCAAATATTCGACCCTGATCGACTGCCTGTGTCGCTGGGGTCAAGTGGGACACATTATGGAATTAGCCTCTGATTGGCTGTCTGACACACTCACCCCAAGAAAGGTGTGCATATGCATATGTCAGGGAATTAAGAAATTGCCAGATTGCATTAAGGCATCCTGCTTTTTTTTTTTTTTTTTTAATGCAATAAGTCTTTTTAATGCCATATTATTCTGCTTTGCAATTAGTTCTAAAGTCATTGTTGTACTGATTTTATGCTTCCTTATTTAGAGCACTAAAACACCTAGACGTCGAGTGCGTATCCACGTAACACATGAATCAAAGCCAGGCTTAGCAATTGATTACCTTGAGTATTTGTTGACTCATCCTGTCAATCGTGGTTGCCTCCTTTCTGTTCCTAAAAAGAAACTGAAGAAGCTTTTGAAAATCCTCCATGCTGCAGAGGTAGTTTTCTCCTTAYCGCGAACAGTGCTTATAAAATAAGTTCTTAACATCATATGTTGTCTGAGTCAAACTAAAGGCCTGCAAGAACCAATAAATTATATTTGTGATCCCCTCTCCCTTYGTAAAAAAGTTTTCCCTTTGATTTGTACTTCAAACAAATACTCTGAACTAGCAGTCCAGTGATTCACAATTATTTATAGATGGCAGATTTTAACCAGCTTGTCAGTTTTAGAAAAGTGTCTCAACATTTTTGTGGTCTAGTGTTGAGTGTTTTAAGGGACCTGACTTTCAGAATATATGAATAAGAAATAGTCTGAATATCAGTTATGGCGTTGCCAAATGGAAATAATTCAAGGTATCTTTGTTGCTCTTTTGGGGTTGGTGCTTTGTTGTTTTTATGATTTTTGGGTTTGTTTGGTTTTTTTAATCTTTTGTTTAAAACTGTTGGGGAAAGAAACATTTGAAAGGATTTTCTGAAAAATGTAAATGTAAACGTTGATATTTCAGAGGGTTCTTGGCTCAATTCTGAAAGGAACGGATACACATTCTGGTAGATGGACTCAAGCAACCAGCCTAAGAGCATTCAGCCTCTTTTGCAGGTTGAGTATTCATCTTCAGCACAAGGTAGGTTATAGTTTTCCAAAATAAGCTGGAGTTACAGTTTACAGTATAAGGAAATTCCAAAACAACTGGAAAGACAATTGGTAAATTTCCTTTTGGTTTCTTTTCAGTTTTCTGAAGAAGGAGAAGATTACCTCTCACTTTTGAAGGAGACAGGTGCTTGGATAGAAAGTCAAGTTTTACCTTTTGTACTAGCAAGTGATCAAGAGGATGGTATTTCAAAACACAGTGATCTTTCTGAATCAATTATCCAGGTTAGAGGATTCTTATAAATCAGCTGCTTTCCATCTGAAAAGCTGTATGTGTAGCAATTTGTGTGCAGACAAACTGCCCTGGCATTTGTGTCCTCACTTACAGTGTCCATTACCCCTGATCTTGATTTGCCCTTCAAAGAAAGTATTTRATGATATAATGTGGGTGGGGTTTTAGATAGTTCTGAATTGTTTTCTGTGGCATTCCTCTGACATATCATTTAACCCAAGGTGGATTTTAGCACTGAGCTTTCACCAGATTTTGGTGAAAGGAAAGATTTGGCTAACTTCAGTCCCAGTCAGTGTCCTTGAACAATCTAGCTCACATACAGACTGATTACAAGGTCTCTATTCTGTCTGTACCTCTGTCTCCTAATCTGTTTAGTATATAATGTCTGTGTCTCTTTARGGGAAAGCTCTTTTTGTCTGCTGGTTTTCATTTTGCTATTCAAGGCAGGTATAGATGTCATATTTTGCCTCAGTAAATGGAAAGTATCAATGCCTTTGATCTGAGCCTGAGTAAAAAAGAGAGGATTTACTGTCTTTTGAGAAACTGTTTATTGTCAGAAAGGGCAATGGAAACATTTGGAGGACTGGTTGGAATTCGTGCTTTTCAACAGTTCTGAACTGAATAACTCCAGTTAGATGCAGCTTTCAGGGCACCTTGGCTAAGATTTCATGGTTTTATTATTTTTAAGTTTTACTGAATGGTTATTTTAGGTAAAGTTTGTGTTTCATATAATTTTACATCTCTTCTAGACCTACCTGACAGTATGTAAAGATGTCATAATGGTGGGCCTGGGAAATCTCACGTTTCAAGCACGCCTTTTAGATATGGCTCTYCTGATTCTGCAAACAGGTACCCTAATTTGTACTTATAGCAACATCTTCATTTATACTTAGCTTTTGTTTCTTGTATAATCAATCTTAATCCCTAACTTTCAGAGGTTGGAGGGAACACTGGATTCATACTTTAAATAATAATTGAATGGTATGAAAATTTCAGCTAAGGGTGCTCAGAAAGTAAATAGATTTTCTACACTTGCGTATCACTATTTGATATATCTGAGTTTTATTCTAAGCTTGTACCTGATGAATATTACAACTTTTATATTGTGATATTTATCTTTTCTCTAGAGAGAGGTGGCTTTTGTGCTCCAGTGTTACTGTGTGCTCTAAAAGAAATTACTGAAGCTTCTTTAACTCAGAATACTGAGACAGATGAAGTGACAAATCTTTTCCACACTCTACAGAACGTCTTTCAGAAAATTTTAGAATGTGTGGCACATAGACTTAAGAAACAACAGGAAGAAGGGATTCAGGTATCATATTAGAGTTCAAATTGCTACCTAATGTGTAGATGAATCCATCATTTTTATGGAAATATGTTATACTTAGCCAATGTGAAGTTGTTACCTCACTATTACCTACTGTTTGAGTAGACATGGTTAAATTCTCAGTTATATTTTCTGAGTTTTCTTGTTAACAATTTTTTTTTGTCAATTTTGGTCTCATGACAGAAGAAGCAGTAAATTGCAGAACAATGCATTCTGTTGCCARTGATCCTAGACTGTGCTAGTACTTCTAGGCTGTTAATCTTATCTGCCATTAGATGAACTTTCTCAATCCAGAGCAAAAGATTTGTTTATATATATTATGATCTTGGGAGGGATCAGATTATTTATTTCTTTTAGCCTGAATGACACCAATGTCAAAATATGTATGATGTTCTAAAATTCTTGAAAATCTCACATCTTCATAGAAAAATTGACTTGTATTTTAGAGCAATACTAGATAATAGTGAAATGGGTGGATCACTGTGGGAAATTTGATGAGGCTACTTTTCAGGACTTCTGAAAAACATAGATTTCTTTTTTGTAATAGCTGTTGCTTTGTTCATTTGTCTCAAATTTATGAGTAGACTTCTGAAATGTTGCTGATTTCCTCTCTGATCCCAAGTGACCTAGCATGTCAAAAGCTTTCAAGGTGTGGTCTGCACTTTTTTACAGAGAGGCTTGCTGGTGTATTTCAGTTATACTCCAGCAATCTGAAAAAAAAGAAAAAGTGTTTTTCTTTTTGGTTTTAGTTGATTAACTCCATTCAGATGCCTCTTGGAGAATTCATCCATGCACTGCAGTCCTGGCATTCCTCAATCCCAGCAGTTCACCGGGATATACTCTCCACTCTCTTGGCTGCAATAGTTGCAGAGATAAATTGTGTGCTACAGAAGGTAAAGTTAATCCTGATCTTCTTTCTGTTTAACACTTTCTGCTTTTTAAATGTTATATTGGAATGACAGAGCTTTATTCAAAAAATTGATCTTTGTATTGCAGATGAAAATTCTGTGGTGTTGGCATGGAAAAAGCAGGAAATTTTATTTGCTATAATTTCATATTACGGTTCATCTCCCAGATTTCTGACTACAGCTGTGTAGGAACAGACTTGTCCTGATACCTTTTTCAGTATCTGCCTCTGACAGAAGAACTTAGAAATCAGGCAGTGTTAGAGTTTAACCGCATGGGTTCCGGGATATTCTCTCCATGAGCTTTTGTACTGACTCTGGCTGGGAAGGAGTCAGCTTTCCTCCTTGCAGTCCCTGTGGTTCTGTGGTTGGCATTTGTGGCTAAAACACTGTTGAGGACACACCAGCTCATTTTGGCTGTTGCTGAGCAGTGCTTGCAGAGTGTCAAGGACTTCCTGTTCCCTTTGCCCTCATTCAAAAAAAAATAAATAAAAAAAAATAAAAAAAATAAAAAAAAGAGTAAGACCATGGGTGGGTAAGAGGCTGAGAGGGGACGGAGCTGAGGCCATGGACCCAAACTGATCAAAGGCTTATTCTGCACATGTGATGTTAGGTTCAGCAAGAAGAGCTCAGGAAAAGGAGGACAAGGGCTTGTTTTAAACCTACCTCACTTCATCTCACCCGGCATTAGGGAACTTAGGAAGTGAACCACTGATGTCTGATAGATTCCCATTCCCTGTTCTTGGAGTGGTCCCAAAAGGTTCTGTAGTCCTGCTTCAAAGCAGGCTGATATCCTGCTTGGCACTGATCACTTGTGCATTCTCTGCTCCAGTTCAGAGACATTTCACATGCTGCTTTTTTTTAATTGGTTCCTTTGGTTTTTATGCTGAGGATTTCCAAATATCTGATTTGAGTTGCTTTGGAAAGTAAAGAAAGGATCTCTGATACTGAAAGGAATATACAGACACAGGCTATTTTATGTTCTGAAAGTCCAAGGAACCATTACTGTACTTGAAGGAGAAGAGTAGCATTCCCACTACATGTTTATAATGCAGGTAGTGTTAGGAGCAAATAAGATTGATAAGACTGGAAGCTTTGAAAACTTAACAAGGAAGAGCAGAGGTGCTTTAGGAGAGGCTGTACTCTTGCCGTGGGTGTTGGATGTGTGGGAAGCAGTTGCCAGAAAGTACCACAGAGCTGCTGCTGAGGTTCTGTCACAGGAGGCACTGGAACAGTCCCAGATGTTTACCTGCAGATATGAATGGATCAGCTGAGAGGCTGTGGGGTGACAGGAGCTCTTTACAGATGATGCAGAGTAAACATTTATGAGCTTGAATGTACTGCAGATTCATACTCATAGATCATGAGTGTTCATTCCAGTTACTCATCTGAGCTGGGGTTTTCCCTGCCCTTAGGTTATTGTAAAGCAAAATTCAGTTCTAACTGAATATTTGTCATGCTACTCAGAACTTTATACCAAAAAGAGCAGGTATTCAGAAAACCACTGTCACTGAAGTTATATTTAGAAATCATGTATGCACACTTCARCTTGGAGCCACAGAGGGGACTCATTTGTGTTTAATAGGCTGTGCCTTCATAAAGGGTGACCACCAGTGAAGTTAAATGAAATGTCTAGTGGGAACAACTGCAGAGAATGTTTGCCTTGGTACAAGTGCTGTTTATGAGGTTAGGTTTCAATCTTWCTAATTTAAATTAGTTTTCTTTATTTGGACACAACACAGTTGGATTAAAGCTGTTCAAAATATACTTGTAAATGTTCTAATTGTCTAAGGGATGGGTCCTGGTTAGTGTAATTATTGAAGTACATTATTCTGCATRCATATCTTTCTTGAGCTATAACGGTTGTTGACTCTTTTTCTTTTTTAGGCTTCCAGTGAAAAAGACTTGACTATACCAAAGACTGTTTCAGACCTTCCCCCTGTTTCAAGCTGTTTAATGACTGTAATTATGAAGTCAGTTAATGTTATCAGGTAAATGTTTCTATATTAATTTGTCCAAGGTTGTTACTAATATAGGACAGGTTATATGTTGTCAATAAAATTTTAATTTCTAAATTAAAATAAATTTTGAACTAGTTGCTTTCTAAATTTATCTGCACAATTTCATAATCTGYTTTTCTTGTCATACTGCCTGTAGGTATTGATTGCTGGGGTTGAGTCCATTTTTTTAACGAAGAGCGCTTCTTCTTTACAAGACTGTTAATCATGATGAGTTTTTTAATCATGCACCTGGACATGCTTCTTTCATAAGATACTTAGAAAGATGAGTCCCCTCAATACAGAGATATTAAGATGAGATAAAATATTTGCCAGAAATAGGAGGAATTCTTTAGTTGAGCATCTGCAGTGAGGTGACATTTACCTATGGCTGCATTATAGTTCCAGAATTCAAAATAGAAAGTATTTGAGTGCTAAAAGCCTCCAAAAGTGAGCTTATGTTATTTATTTTTTAAGACTTAAACCGTGGGACATTTATTTGCTGTATTTAGTGGGAGCCCAGAATATGTTCTAAAATTGTCACAACTTAATTTCATTTTGCTCACTTTGTTCATACTCAGTTTTTCTTTACATGACTGTACACACTAGACTTGTTTTAAAATTCTAAAGGGGCTTAGAAGTCTTGTCATTCTTCTGATTTACCACAACTAAYTCCTATTCTTAACTTCCTCCTCTGACAGGCTCTTAATATCCCTCTCTGCTGTGTTGAGGTGTTTTGTTCTTCTCAATACTTCTCTAATTGTAGTTGAACTTGCAAAACAAAAAAGAGCCCAGCAACAGTCTAACCCAAATCTTATTCTTCTGTGAGGCAGCAGTTCTCTGTCAAAGTGTTCTATTTTAGTGAAACAATTATTTTACATGTCTCTTTTGAAAAGAGATGCAGAAAACCAATTAATTTTTCTGAAACTTGTAGTGATCAAGGTGAATATTGTCCATTATTGATGGAGAAAACTGCAAGTTTGGACCAAATTGTTTCTGATTATTTGGGAAAAAATGTGTCTGTCTTCCAGTATTTATCTTTTTGGAGCAAAGATCTAGGAGGTAACTTCCATCTGGTTCTACTGGTGCCTCAGAATTGAGACAACTTTTCAGGCTCTTTCATAAATCTGTATTGATAGTCCATAATCAGAGTCCAGTAATAAATCATTCAGTTTCTTAGAAATCTTTGTCAAYGTCAAAGCCTTTGATGTTACAAAATCTGATGTGAGCTTCTATTCTGTGAGCTCACAGTCATGTTGCTCTGAGCTCTGCAAGATCTATTTTATTTTCAGTACTAACCAGTCACTGTCTAGCACTGAAYTTTGGTCCCCTTAGCAGTGATAATACTTGGGAGGCCTGGCAATACCTGTTCAATTGTGTGAGTATCCTTGACTTGAGTAGGGAACTATCTGTATAGGAAACAATTACTTACCTCTGAACCTTATATGTATTTTTAAATAGCTTATTGTTCTGTTTTATCTTTGCCTGCAGGCTCATGTGACCCTTTTTCAGGGGGAGGTGGGGAAAGGCATCTGCAGTGAGTCTTGTTACAGGTTAATCAAATTCCAGTGTTSCTTCATGGAGGTTAAGAGTGTGCTTAGTGACCCAAAGAATGATAACAATGAAGTCAGGACTCTGATCCGACTACTATCCAATAGCAATTTAAGAGCAATGTGAAAAGGAATCAGTGCTTGGTCACTTTAGTCCACAATGATATAATAAAACCTGTGTAATACATGAGCAACTCCATAATGCTTATTTCTGAAGCTAAAGATTTTTCATCTTTCTCCGCTCTTAGAGGCAATATTTGAATTTCTGTGCCACTGAATTGGTTCTTAACTGCGTATTTCATTTTGATATCTTAGCACAATAAAGGCTTGAAGAAAATTGAAGTCAGAACTGGCTATGTATGATGTTCAGTTTTCATAACAGATAGTAATATTGCTAAAGGTATTTTGAAATATTTTAGGGAAAGTTATTGTAACATTGCTGCTCTCAGTTTCCCCTTTAATTCTTCATCGAGCATTTAGCTTTGTGCTCTGAGGAGTATCAGGATTACGGATCTCTTCTATCTCTTTTATCTCTCTTGTTCTTTTATTTTTCTTGGATTTTGAGAATTRCTTCTGAGTTAAATTTGGGGGTTTTGCCACAAACACTAATGACCAGTTACTGTTTGCATTCTGTAATATTGACTTATTCCCTACTGCAGTTTAGTTTGTTTGCTAGACCCCATCTGTGACTCTCGTTTCATTTTTCTTAACTGGTCATACATCCCAAAACACCACTAGAGTTTTCTGGTAATATTTTCATCTCTTGCTAAAAGTGAGAAAATCTCTTAAAATACACGTTGAGTTAGTATTTTACAATTAGCTGTTGTCATGGTTCTGTTATTCTGTCCAAAGTTTCAGTAACTAAAATGTTATTTGGAAGTGTTTCAGGGTGTGTTTAGGTAAAAACGATCTTCACTGGGTTGTAATTGGAAAACCATCTATTTTAATATTTATGAGAAACACATTTAAGGTGAAAATGTTAATTAAGCATAAGTAGGTACTAGCAAACCAGTGGAGTCATAGAACATATTTTGTCAAACTTCAGTAGAAATTCAAGTTAGAAATTTCGATGCAAATTTTRTGAGTTAAATTCTAGTACAACCAGTAGTTTCTCCATGGATTGACTTTCCTAAAATATACCACAAGCTCTTTATTTCTCTTAACAGCCCCTTTTTCTGTTTGCAGGCTTTTTGTTTTCTCCCCAAGTAATTWACCATTCTGCTAACTTTGATATTCTCAGTTCTCAGAGTAGCACATMGTCTTCAGTTGCCCAGTCACCACTCCTTTGTCCTGCTACGGTGGCAGGGTAGTATAATTACAAACATGTTSCATTCTATTATGGTTTATAATATATTTTTTTCTTTTTTCCTTAGGTCAATTTTAAATGAATTAATGGAGTGCATTCTCTCTGAAGAAATTGAAGGGATTTTTAGTCTAACAGCTACTCTCTGCATTGTGATTATAATTAAAGGTCAGTCAAAACATTTTTGTCCTCTTTCCATCTTTCTTTTTATGTACTACATTGAAATACACAATATTAATCTGGGACAGTGAAAATCCAATTTAGAATCTAATCTTCCATTAAGCAATCTTTAAAGTTATTCTATTAAAATATGGAGAGAGGGATGTTTTTTTTGATAAATCATGATTGTTTGTCCAACATTTCAACTCACTTCAAATAGGTAAGCACAAAACTTCACTCCTAAAGGATATTGCACCTGCCATTCAAAGGAAACTGATAACATGCGAGTATGCTGTGACAGGAGAATCCAGCAGCACTGAAAGGTGAGTGTGCTGTGGGAAATGAGCACTAAGCTCTCCTGTCCCTKCTCTGCAATAATTGGCTCTGTTCTGTACTTACATAATACTGTTAGAGAATTCTGAGTGGTTGATTATAAGGTTTAAAATGCTGGGGGGGAAAGGGTGAGGTATTGAAYGCAGCAGAGTATTAAATTTCCTGCCCTTATATCTGCTGTGATTGCAATCTTTACATATTTAGCTTGGGTGGGGTTTTTTTCCATTTAATTTGAATGTGTTATCACTTGATCCTGTATATTGCAGGATTCAGTTCTGAAATCCAGGTCTGTTTGCAGCAGGGGTAGAACAAAGCAATAGTCTGGTTACTATTTCTAATTACTGGAAGGTTTTCTCCCACGTGTTGGCATTAGCCATATGAATCCAAACCTATGCAGACAGTAAAACTTTAACTGAATATGACAATGACTTTGAGACCTTTACACAGGTGATTTTATTTTGCTTTTTTTTGGGGGGGGGAGGGATTTCAAGTGTCATATCTGGTGTATCTTTTGTGATAAGTTTTTTGAAAGTGATTTGCTGCATTGTATTTGCAATCTCAGGCCTGTCTAAGATGGAGAATCATGATGAATGCTTTAACCTTTAGTGTATCAAACTTGCTTTAGTCTTAACATTTGTGAATGTCTGATTTCTGCCTAGTTATTGACCTGCCCATGGAATCAAAAAGTGTGCAAAGGAGATATTATAAACACAAATACAGAATGTGAAGAAAGCAGACTGTGGTTATGGACATTAATCCAAAATTAGTGATAAAGTTTGTAATACACCACAGGGGGCTGAACATGCAGAGGCCCTTGCAGTTCTTCATTCTTCAAACTGATGATCCTTACTATTCACGCAATGAATGTAGCATAGACAGATTAAAAANCCCCACAACTAAAAAGCTCCCAAAAAATCCAAAAAGCACAACTTCATTTATTCAACAGTTTCTTGCATGGCTCTCCCAGCCTGAGCACACTTGCACACTTCCCCAGGTGTGCTCTTCTGGTGGATCCCTGGCCTGAGGCACATGGTTGTCTGGCATTTTAGTGACATGACATAGACATTTGGTGACTGAGCTGTGACTCCATCAGAGGATGGAGCTCTGGGGTCCCTTCCATTACCTGAAGAAACCTGCAGAGTTCCTTGGCTGTGAACAAAATGTCCTTTAGCTGGACCCAGCATAGAGACAAAATCAAACACAAATAAACAAAACCCYGTTTTTTTCTCCATGTAAGCATTGGGTTGTCCTACTAGAATATTTTTAACAATAATAATAATTATTACCTGGGAAAAAAAAGGAGAGCGGCAGGGTATCGTGGTTCAGCTTGCACTTCTTTTAATCAAGACACTAGAAAATGCTGTGAAATTAAAGTGAATCTTAACATGATTAAATAAATAGGCACATTAAAATGAATAATTGCTGCCACTTGAGAGCACTACTGACTATAAATTTCAGTGAGAACACAGATAATTGCTTTATGAATCTATATGATTGTCTCTGCCCAGTGAACTGGGACAAATCAACCAACATGTTGGGGCAGATGAAGAGAGTAAGATGCTACACAGTGTTTTAATTTTGTGATATATGACTGGCTATCTTTGTCTAATACCAACCCAGGAGACAGCTGCAGACAAAATTCAAGAGTGAGGAATGTGAACGTGATAACGAGAAGATTTTTTGCAAGGATTAGGATTGCAATTTGATAACAAAGTTCAGAAGCTATCACACAGCTTTGCAAAATTTGGGAGAATTTGTATTTGCACAGTTATGTTGGGGATTCTTTTCCCTCAAGAAGTGCAAACTAACTGATGCTGGAAAGGCTTGGAGGAGGTTGTACAGTGATTAGGTTTTGCATGATGAATTAAGGCTGTTTGCAGCCTCACAGCTAAGACAGAATGTCAGACTAGGCTGGGTCTCTGGTGGCTTCTGACGTGCCATTTGTAGTGCTTTGCTACTTGTGTGCTAATGTACAGCTAAAATGTGATTATACATAGTCTGAAATGTGCCCTGTTATTTGTAAGCTATTTTATCATCCTACCCCACTTACCAAACACCAAATTTTAGTTATGGTATGCTGCAAGCTAGATCTCTGGTCATTAATTTGAAGACAGTCCTCTAACACACAGTGCTGTGCTGCTGCTTGCTAAAATACATTATTGGGTTTTAACTCATGCTTAATAATATTATTATTTTTTCCTTCTGAATGCATTATCTCCTAATAACTCCTCGAGGGATTATTTTATTTAATACCCAGGTATACCAGGAAATGGTGACATTCTTTAATTTCCCAAGAGACTTGGCATTCTGTGCCAGTGTCTTAACTTCAGACTTAGGAGTAATCTATTACATATTAGCAATGAAAGAAAAAAGTGAGAAAGCTGTCTGGYGTGGTAATTAAACTGATGCACTTATACAAGGAATTGTTGCACTAATTCAGAAGCAAAACTTTTCACTGTAATTTACTCTTTGCTCTTCAGCTGAGCTAGTGGTTTCAGATGGTYCTGTGGGTCTATTAATTTTAAAATGCTGTTCAGTGCATTTAAAAATTGTGGACAACATTCTGAATATTGAGAGAATTTCCTCAAGAGTAATGGCGCACATATTAGTTTAGTTTATAAAATGCAAATATTTATGCTTAACAAAAAATGCAGATAAAGCTGTCAATGCAATCATTTAGAGGCTAGAGAAAAATGTCCCATGCTGTGTAAAACCTAATGTGCTATAGGATAATAACTTTTATTTATTACTGTGTATTTACTTTAATTASCATTTTGATATATGAGTATTAGAATTTAAATTTAGCTAATGGCTGTGCTGAAAGATATTTCTTTATCATTTAGCTAGCTCCCAAATTCTTAATTGCACTCTCATTGCATCTGTAAATAATGGCTCTTGAATTGTTTTGGCATATAGGTCTGGGTATGATTTCTCTGCCACCCATCTGTAAGTTCCCTAGAAATGTACTTGATAAAACGGACTTAAACTTATCTGGGAGGTGCACAGTTATCCTGAATCGTGGCTTTTGTCCAATGTGCCAATGGTCCCACATTACAAATCTATTGTTTCATTACTGTAACAGAAGAAAATTTMTACAAAGCAGCATTGTGCCTAAACCCACAGAACTTAACTAATTTTCCTAATTCTATAGAACCTTATAGTACTATTTTACTTTGACACTGGAGCTTCATCCTGGCTCAAAGGCTGCAGCACTGGAGAGAGGAGCATGCAATTAGAGATGAGAGTCAGAATGGGACTCAGAGGAGTGTGAGGGCAGCTGAAGGAGGCAGCTGCTAATAAGGATAAGAAAAAAACTTCAGGCTTGGAAAAAAGTTGCCACAGGTGAGGATAAAAATTATCAAGGCTGAAGAGTGAAGGAGAAATGAAGAAAGTAAAAGAATAAAAARTGGTTTTAGAACGCATTATCTGTAAAGGATATCACTGTGTTTGAAAAAAGGAGTGACAATGCTGCGCAGAAAACGAGTGGGTTCTTAAACTACATGATAAAATTTTAGAAAATGTGATTGAATTGACACTGTAATTTAAACTGGCTTGTTGTTGTATTCTATAGACAGAGATGATCAACAGAAAAATGGAAAAGCTGAAAGAAAAAGAATCCAGCAATTTCAAATGTAATTTGTGAAGGCATTTTTAATACCTAAACTAATATGGACTAACTGGTCAAAGAAATCATGTGGTAGCTGTACTCTGAGAATCAAATAGTTGAGGATTGATTTGGCATTTAGCATTTCTAATTCTATTATGCATTGTTTTATACCATTTCAGATTCCTGTGTGAATCATCTCTGAAAATTTTGGATGAGTTTTTGAATTCTTGACCACGCAGAAGTTTTGTTGTGAAAATTGAAGGCAGATGTATYGCTTTTTACAGAACTTACTTTGTAAATTTGTGAATTGTTTAAGGTTTTCTGTTATTCTGTACATTTAAAGCAAGCAAAATGTATAAAAGTGTRTATAGAAATTATGTAATAGTAAAGATTTTTCAACAGCTACAAAGGGGTTATTCTGTATAACTTGGGAGGAGTGTAAAATCAGTGGTTTTGTATCTTTGTTTTTGTAAAACAAATAATAATTGTATCATAGTCTCAGAAACATCTGAGTTCACACATAACCTCAGTCCCTGGGAAGACTAAAACATATTCCTAGGGGTCATGGAATTATTTTAAGACATGTGAGGGACAAATTGGTGATTGGGAATAGGCATAGTGGTTTTACCCAGGGTAAACTCTGCCTACCCTGCCTGATTTCCCTCCGCTTTGTAGAAGAGAGAGCAGAGAATGTCCTGTTCCCTGTCATTGGCAAAGACTTTTACACAGTCTTATACAGTATCCTTTCAGCCAAATTGGAGAGAGAGATGGGCTGGATGGGTAGACTTGGAAGGTGAGTGGGAAAGTGTCTGTACCATGAGACTGGAAGAATTATCTGCTATGGGGTGAGATTGGCAGCTGTGGCTGTGCCCTGCTGCCAGCGCTGGTTGGTGACAGGGTRAGTGGCTGCCTTGGACTGATGGCAGATTACACCAGCTGGGAGCCATGGCTGACACTCAGGGGCATCTCCTGATGCTCAGCAAAGACCTGCTCCTGAAGGACAAATCCTGCACTATCCATGGAGCAACCTGCACAAGGGCAGCTTCTTGCTGCCTCCTCCTGCCTGCAGGACGGTAAAGGAAAGACTTCCCTTGGAGGGGCACATGGAGGAGAATATGAGGCAACAGAAACAACTTGCAGCAAGACAATTTCTTGTTGGACATGAAAAACAATCGTTATGAGAGTGAATTGAACCTGGAAATGGAACTGGAATAGGCTGCTCAGAGAGGCTGTGGAATACCCATCCTTGGAGATGTGCAAGACTTGGCTGACAAGGAGGGCTCTGACCATCCATCATGTCATAGCTTTGGAGTTACCCCTGCTGTGCTAGGAATCGGACCAGATTCTCCTCTGAGCTTCCTCATAACTTGGATATTCAGGTGATTCAGTATCCAGTACAGTGGGGGGAAATGGTTTAACTATTAACCATAGACTTGATTAATATCTAAATTGTTTTATATTTAGGTATTTTTAAAAATTATTGCTATTTTTGTAAGTTAATACAAATAATGCAGGTAATGCAGGCATCTAAGCCACTTATTTCATTTTCTTCATGCAACCAGATGCTCTTCCAAGACTAAAAGAATGCTGATTCCACAATATTATTTTGCCTTAATGGAGATTCCTGTAACTTACCTGTCTGAGCTCATGGTATTGTTCAGGCCCAGCCAGCAACCGGGCACCACCCAGCTGCTCCCTTACTGCCTCCACTCCTTCTGCCGCAAGGGCAGGACTGGAAGGGTAAAAGTCAAAAAGAAACTGTTTAATAATTAAGGAAAAATAATAAAACTTATTCAAATTGTAAGGAAAATAGGAAAAAGGAGAGGGAAATAAAGCCACCCAGCCAGTCCCGGAGTGGTGTCCCCCACAATCTGCCCCCCAGTTCATTGCTGAGCATGCTGTCATATGGTGTGAGGAATCCCTTTGGTCACTTGGGGTCTCCTGTCCCAGCACTGTCTCCTCTGTACTTGYGGTGCACTCCCAGCCTCCTTAGGGATGAGGTGAAAAGCAGAGAGGCCATGATGCTGTGTAAGCCCTGTTCAGTGATACCTAAAATATCCCTGTGTTATCAGCACTGTCTCCAGAACAAATCCAAAATGCAGCCCCATGCCAGCTCCTGTGGAGGAGTTTATCTCAGCCAGAAGTACAGCTCCTAATGCTTTCCTTTTGTCTGGTTTAGGAGATTTAATAGGAATCTGTAGAAAATGATTCAGCCATAGACCAAAGTCACATCCTCCAGTTTAGACCTGGAGGCCTGGACATATAGCACTTAGTTATCTGCAATTAGGTGAAAAGGTTCTTGGGGTGGGCCTGTGCAAATGGCTGTTGCATCTCCAGTGTTGCTGAGTGGCACTGACACAGAAGTTTACCAATCTGGCCAAATTAAGACAGACTCTTCATTCTTGATTAAGATTTGTGCGAAGCTGTACCTCCCATCTGTAAATCAGTATCATCTGCTGTGCTGGTTTTCCTACTGTGATAAGAGACTAAGATTTTTTTARGTATATGCTCTGTGCGATGAACTGCCTTCATCCTGCTTTATATCAGATCACTACCTGACTTTGGTACACAAAACTTCCCTACTGGATAAAGCTGCTTTAGCTGGAATGTTCATATTTAAAAGCAATGCAGTTGTTAATAAACAACTGGCAAGCTTTGCAAAAGGGTAGTCTGTATGTGCATGGGTTCATGAGTTCCAGATTTAGCTCATCCACAACAGTGGCATGACCAAAGGGAACTAATGCTGCCCAGCAGGTAGCTGCAGATCTGCCAACTGTTTATCTATCAACATCGTCATAAAARCTGTGTTCTTTGGCCTTCATTCTTCTACATCTGTTAACAGGCAGGTGTTCCRGTAATGACCTTTTAAATCTTCTGATTATACAAATTACTCAATGAGTAKGTAAATAAGTTTCTTTTTTCTGCTGCTCAGTCTCTCAGTATTTGCTCATATCATTAGATTAGAAAAGAATTCAAATTTACTGCCTTGTTTCTCCTCAGTGTATAATTTTGCTTTTTTCAGTTTTCATGGAATTCACGTACAGATGCAATACTCTTGCGCCTGAAAGAAATAAAGGTCGTTCCATTAACATGAGAAATATGCGGATTACTTTGGAAGAAGTCAGAGGTGATATTGGTAGGAAGGGTAAAAAATTTGAAGATAAACTTTTGTCTTCCTGGTGGCTGGTACTCAAGTGGTTCTCAAGAGTGTTGAAATAATTTYCTGTTTATCCTGCAGCTGGTGAACATATTTCATCTCAATTTCTAGTCCAGCTCTACTAAACTGCTCTGCCATGAAAAAACATTGGCTTTCTGCAACACAAATAATGGTGTTATTGGGATTCCTTGAGCCAAGGTCTGTCAGGGTTTTCTCCTTAGGCCTTTGTGGCAAATTTCATGAGAATACCAGAGGAGTTCTATGTTTTACTTGCTGGTCTCATTGCAAGCTTTAGTCCTGTAAAATTTTAAATATATAGTTTCCTTCTGTTTGGATGATACAAATAAATAGGACGTTTCTTAAGCTATTATCTTCTGTAAACTTGCAAAACAGATTTGTTTCATCTTATTAATCAAAAGTTCTGTTGGGGAAGAAGTGGTACTTTTTGGGTATATTTGAAAACTTTCCATAATCTTAAGATAGGCCTTTTGATATCTGTTCAACTTTTTCAAGAAGTTGACCTGATTTTGTGTAATAAAATTGCTTGAAAAATGAGTAAGAAAACACTAGAAAAATACTCCTTTGGGCAGTTGGCACTGGCAGGTGCTGGTGATGAAGAGCTCCCTGCAGAATAARTATTCTGGTCACAGTTGTAGCTGTGAGTGGCATGTCTGGAACTCTTCCCTTTGTGCATAYACATTCAGGATCAATAATACTGAAGAAAGCATTAACTATATAGTATTTTCAGTAATTATCGTTGTTTGTAAAGATTCAGGTCCTTTTTGTGATGACAATGTTCATTTGCTTTGTTGTTTGGATGGGAAACAAAGCCCAGCATCTGCCACCTATCACAGCTTCAACTTGTGAGCTGAGGAAAAGCCAGGAAAAATGCTCAAGCTTCTTAGCAAATAAATGTCTTCAGGTATGGATCCAAGCACACAAAACTCCAGATTTGCCAAGGAAATTTAAAAAATCCACCTTGTGCCTGCTGTTTACTCTCCATGAGAGCTGCAACTCACTTTACATTTAAACTCCCGTGTGCTGCTCCTTTCTAGTGCTTTGGGGTCTTCTGACTTACAGAAGGAAATGGGAGAGAGTAATTTTGACAAAATCTTTCACCTCCCTTGAGAGATGCATGGTGAAGGACACACAGCGAAGGATAATGACTGAAATGTGAAACCATGACACACAGCAGTGAACTTTCCATATTTGCTGATCTGCTCCAGTGTCTTGCAAACCAAGAGCGGTGCATTGTGTCCAGCTGTGCCTGTGCCTGGAGCCCCTGCCGTGGCAGCTGCCCATWTCTGAGAGAAGAGCTGGCTTAGTGCTGGCACCTTGACAAGCAGCTGGCCAAGCAGCTTTCAGGAACAGCTGCAGAACATTCCATGGGTAGCCAGCAGTTCTCCAGGTTCATTAAGCCCTTGCAAATAGGCACAGGTCTTGCCTAATCTGCTTCAGGTAAGAATTCTTGATCCTGGCCTCTGTGGCTGCCTGTCTGAGCATGACCTGAGGCTAAGCCCCAGGCTTCAAACAGTTGTATAATTTCAGCTTTCATTTACTCAGTAATCACTGGGTTTTTTTACTCAGGTTATTCAGCATAGATGTGTTCTTGGTCTTTTCTAATCAGAGTCCCTCATCTCTCTCCAGTTCCTCATCATGGTTCTAGCAAAATTGCAGAAATTATATGCTGTAGCACTGAGAAAACTTTAGCAGTGGAAATCCATTCTCTACCTGTCAGTATCTTTTAAAACAGTGTGGCTGTAGGAGTTCTGTTACTTTTATTTTCTTTACTGCTCATGACTCTAGGAAGTATAAACTGTTACCAGGCCTTTYCTCTCGTGTCAGTCTTTTTAACCAGAGAACCACCTTGTTCTTAATAACGTGACTTGGTTCTCAAACACGACAATTAATTCATGGCATTTACGTTACTTGACGCCACTTTACTAGATTCTTCCTATGTAAAATTCTATTTTGTTTTATACCCTATCAACTTGTCCCAGTTTCAAATATGTGTTCAAACTTCATTAGTTTATACTTACTTGTTGTGCTGTCATTAAAATATTAAGTCAGATGCTGTTCCAAAACAGCAGTTAGTAATTACTTTTCAGCCTAATCTCGTTCCCTCTTCCATTCAGTTGGTTCCTTACGCATCTTACTACACCTACAATAAATCTTGTCTTGGCTTAATACATTTTTATTATGCTGCAGTAGCAGATGTTCTGTTGTAAAGCCTTACATTTTAAACAGGTACTTTTTAGCAGTTCTTCCTGGAAAGGCACATGAATCCTGTGTGGCCACATGCCCACATCAAACACATGGAGGATAGAGCCAGCCCAGCCTCCTTTTGAGTTCTTTACAGTGTGCAGTGGTGTGTGCTTCCTGCCTTTTGGGGTAATTATTAACCACTTAGATAAACTGTGTGTGTTAGCACAACTTTCATCTGAATAAAGAATATTGATTTGGCTTTTTTTTCTTTTATTCCTACTGTAACCATCCTCACTTACCCACTGCTTAAGATGGTACCTGAGCACCAGCTTCATAGTGAGAAATTCAGGCGTCATGCACGGATCTTTCTGAAATCTTGCCATGGTCATTAAAAATAGGTGTTTGCAACTTTATTTTCTCACAACAACATCTAAAGGGAAAAAAACAGCATTGGTAAGAGCCTACAAATTCAATTAGACCAGTCTAGGACAGTACTTAGAAACAAAATAAAACCAAAACAGAACCCAAAGTAACTCTACCTCCTGCTCTAGTTCTATTTAAGGACAGTGTTAATGTCCTGTGTTGAAGGAAAAGCTCCTGTATAGGCTGATTTTACTCATCACACTGCCAAAAACTACGTCCTTTCTTACACCATCCTCAATGGTTGGACACTACATACCCAGACATAGGAGAAAGAAAAGGCTTTTACTCAGCATTTTCTCAGTTCTGCACAAAGAGAAGTTCCAAGGCTTGTCCTGCATTTAAAAGTGGTCCTTTATTAAATAGGATCATCCTTCCTGACAAAAATAGTTGCCTTTTTCTCATTTTCTGTTCCCAGGTTCCCTCTCATGGGTTGCTCTCTTGGTCTGCAGGACACTTGTTTTCATGAGGCTGTCCCCACATGTTGTGTAAAACACTTGTTTGCCAGTTCTTGAGCTGGTCACTGGACAGAGCAGATGAGTTTGCCTTGTGTACAAGAGCTCCTGGGGAATGTGCAATGACCACAATAATCTCTAATCAAACTCAAGGGCAGTAGCAAAAATGTCTGAGATGGACACTGCATGGAATGCTCTATGTCCCAAGAATCTGATTTTTAAATGTAAGAAGTTAAAGGTGGATTTACTATCGTCCAGGTCAGATTTTTTTCCTTTTGTAGGTGTCTYCTATTGTCAGAATTTTAGAAGTTAAGATTATGCTAGGGCTCAAAAAGAATGTAAAACCAGTCCATCTGCAATGAAATTGAGAACTGTTTGATTGAAGAAAGAGATCAAGGGATCTCATTACAGCCTCCTGGTTCTCTGATTTGATCTACACTGGAATTGACAGCAAACTTTGGCTCCTAAGCCATCCATCAGAGGTCAGCCAGGCTCTGAGGGATTCTTATCTTCCCGGCTGAGATCACAGAGCCTTAAACTGCCTGAGTAGCACATAAAGATCAGGGAACCTAGCCTGCAGTTTTTAATTTATCAGTGGATCATGATGCATTGATTGAATGCTTAAAAGCAAGCCTGTTTCAGTGTGATCTAATATTAGAAAGCACTCTGCTATCTGATGAGAGGCTCTCCAGGGCAATTAGCACATCTGAACAGGTGTGATGCTTTTGACTGGAAATAAATTGACTTCGTGGAAAAAAATACATATGGAACCAGCTTTTTCTGTTTGGTTGGTTGTTTTTTTTTTTGTTTTTTTTTTTTTTTTTGTTGGTTTGTTTGTTTTGTATTTTTTTTTTTATTTATAGTGAGAGGGAAGCAAAGAATTCTGTTTTCACAAACCTGCTGTGAAGACCATCTTCATCCTCTTGGCTCTCAACCTTCCTGTTGCAGTTCCAGTTTAGGACAGCTCTTCTATCTCTAATTTTATTCATCTGCTAATGAAAGAAAATGCAAGTTGCAAGTTTATTTTTTTTCCTAGCTTTTTTTTCTAATTGTATTTAATGTGATTCTTGCCAGTAGAATTTTATGTCTTTACCACTTTTTCACCATTTTATTCCTTTTTTCATTGGCAATACAGGAGATGAAATGATAAAATAATAAGTATCAACCACACACCTGAGAACAAGAACCTTGTTCATCTATATGTGTGCCTCTTCATCATATCCAGTAGAAGCTCTATTATACAGAGCAGAAAAATTATTGGGAAATGCCCAGCCTAGGAGGGAGATTCTCTTGAGAAGTAAAGTAGGTGTTTTTGTTTGGTTTTTGATGCTTCATTGGAACACTGAAGTACAACAGAGAGCAGCAGGARGGCTTCTAAAGTAGTGAATCAGAACAGAAGAAGAGCAGTCTCCTATTACTCAACTTTTAATARTTTCTCCAAAACCTATGATTGTTCTCAACACAATCTAGTACTTGCAGAGACAGATAATATAATTTCAGTGTAGTCCAAACAATGTTCCTCTCCTCAGCTGTCATTACCATGAACTTTCCCTTTTTTTTCTGATCACAGCATATCCTCATAAAGTGACCTTCCTTTAAAAGAAACACAATGCTTGGGCAATGACCCAAGCAGTCTTGTACTCTGAGATACCAGAATGTCTTCAGCAAGACTTTCTAATTTTTATACTGGAAATTATGTGCTTAATTTATTTTTTATTTATTTCTTTTTATTCAAAGTAACCCATGTCAATAAGAATTGTTATAAATTTGTTATAATTGTTATAAAGGATCTGAGCTCAGTTGCTCCATTCTTAGTTGCTATCAAACGTATTGTTCAATTCTAGATTTCCTCACAGAGTACCARGATGAAAATATCCTCAAGGATGCTCCAAGTTTATGGTCACACCACAGCTTTGGCAAATATTCTGACCTCTGGGTAACTACCAGGTTTGCTTCTGTGTTTTGCAGTTAGCACGACAACATTTCTTGGATAGTACTTAATGAACTTACCCCCAGCACAGGTTGTTTTCAGCACCAGGCAGCCAAAGTGCAAGAGAGATGCTGGAGGAAATAATGGAGAGAAGCACAGGTGACTTCTTGGCAGTTTGCTGTCCCACACTTCCTCTCACCATCACAGCAAGGGGCTGGAAAATGCAAGAATCTTTGTTCTTTGTGAAACCAGATCCTCCTTTGTATGTTTTCAGGATGAGAGGAATGGCCTCAAGCTCTGCCAGGTGAGGTTTAGATTGGATATGAAAATCAGTTTCTTCCCTGAAAAGGTGGTCAAGCATTAGAATAGGCTGTCCAGGGAAGTGATGAAATTGCCATCCCTGAAAGCACTCAAAAGATGTGTGGATATGTCACTTGGAAATATGGTTTAGTCGTGAACACAGTGGTGCTAACAGTCAAATTAATTGATCTTGGAGGTCTTTTTCAACCTTAAAGATTCCATGATTCTTTGAAATATATAAAAACATGGTTTAAGAATTAAACCACGGTTTAATAAAAACATGGTTTAAGAGCATTAGAGCTGAAAAGTCAGGCACTCAAAATCAAGTGATATCAAAATGAAGATGTGCACAGCTTTAATCTCTCATGTGATTGTGTCAAACATTGTATCTTTAATCACATTAAGAGCAGTTACTTATTGCACACAAACTATTCCTGTACCTGCTCTGTGGATCATGCAAACCCCTTGCTGGTGACAGCACAGCAAATGGTGAGTGCCTTTTCCCCCTTGTGGCTCACCACACAGCTCCACAYTGAGCGTGCTGCCTGCTGCTYATACCCTGCTCCTTCTGCAATAGCRTTACTATGGCACTACTCRCTGCAGTCCCAGAATTTCMMAGTGATTCATGTCTCTTTCCAGCTCCCTGTAGGTTTACTTATCACCATCTCACAAATGCACSTTGACACTAAGGTAAAAGATTTCCATGGATTTTGTGAACTCTGTATKTCAGATTGTAACACTTGTTGCCTTAAGGCACCCATCTCCAGCTGTGGGTGCTGAGCACTTGAACCAGGCTGCAGGTTCCCCAATCAGGCACAGCAAGTGAGGGACACGTAACCAGAACCTCCCCAGCAGATTTAATTAACTACAGGCCAATTCTTTCAGAATGACAAAGAGCAGTAATCTCATTCATCCCTTAATTGGGCACAAGAGAAGTAGGTATCCCAGGAGATTAGTTACTGGTTATAAAATCCGTTCACCAAGTATCAAGTCTTACAGATTAGCAAAGCTGGATGAAAATATAATTTTTAAACCATTTCTGAGATCCCATTAAAAGAACCTAATTAATTAAAAAAAATTGGCTCCCTATTGACATTTCAAATCAATTTTCATCAATGGTAACAAATCTAATTATTCATTGCACACCTAAGGATTTCAAAATGGTTTTGAAGACGAAGAACCTATTATCAAAAAACATTTACAGTTGTCTAATCCTTTCATCTGGACATCCCATCATGGTGTGCTCAGACAGCAAGTTTTTGAGCTGCACTGGGAACTCTAAATGCCCATGAAAATCAGCAGTAATTCAAGTGGTTTTGATTTTGAAATTGGTCTCCAGTGACTGCAAARCAGGCAAGTCACAGTTCAGCCTGGTTTGAACTGAGACGATGGTGGGTATTAGCAAGAAATACAGCCTTTCTCAGTCAAAAGGGACCAGCTCTAGAGCACATCAKTCACCTGTACTTGTTCTCACAGAGTCCATCCCTCTCCCAAGGAAACCCAAATTCCCTYTTATAGCTTGACACCAGATATAAAGATGTCAGAATTGCCTCAGAGTTGGATTCATCAGTTACTGTATCCCTGCCTTGAGACACCAGGGGTCTCTTCATCACAGGTTCTGGACATCCACACTGTTRCTTGCTTCATTCCACCTTTGCCTTCTCTTCCAACAACTTCACACCAAACACAGCTTCAGCTTCAGCTGTTTCCTGTAGGTAACAGGAATAAGTGGTATTTAAACAAGTCAGCTAGAATTTTAGATTAATATTAAACAAATTTGGGTTCAATCCAGACCTGCAAATGCCTGCATTAACAGAAGCTGCTCTCTCCAGCATCCTTAACAAACCAGCAGGAGACATTATGGAAATTTTCCTCACACATACACACCAAAGTGGCTGGTCTGGTACCAAGGCTTCCTGCATGCTTAGAAGTCAGCCCTGAGCACACATCTACAGAGATGTTTAGTTCATCAGTTAATGTAAGTCATATCTCCTGCTTTTCTCACTGGTAWTTTTTTCTAGCTGAATTTCGTCTCTTAGGCCTTGAACATTCCACTTTAGGCTCCTTTCCAGCAACACATAAAAACCATTATCATTCAGCTACAGCACAGGGAATAAAAGATTGGCTCACAGCTTAGCAGTCATAACTAAAATAAACCTAGTTATTTTTTTTTTGGGTTTTTTTTTAATCTATCAGTTGTTCTTGCAGAGTTCTCTRGGATTTTTCCTTCTGGCTCTCTATTGAACTCCTGTTCCTCAGTGATGCTGAAATATCTAGAGTAAAACTTTTAATGTGCACCAAAGACATCTAATAGAATTTTGGAAATAAGAAAAAAGGTTTTAAAATAGCTGAGAACAGCCAGACAACATCATTTTTAGATACAACTGAATTGCTATGCTAAAAATTYGATCATACCACTGTCTTCCATCCAGCAGTCTGTTATCTTCTAGACCCTGCAAATATTTATTTTCATGCTAAAATGAATTCTGAACGAGTTCCTTTAAAAATTCCAAAGGCTCTGCTAGTTTTRTAAACATTAAATGAAAAATATTAAAAACTGGTAATTTCTGTATTGAATGCTAAAATCCCTTCAAATATTTTTAGTTGYATTGCGAAATATTCAACAATTGAAAAAGAAAGACCACAACCACTGCTAATGTGACCTTGGACTATACCTTTTGACACYGCTTAAAGGTGTTTTTTGCCTTTAGAAACTTTCTACTCCTTTGTCCTAAAACTTTGTCCCTGAATTCAGAATACAACCAACAAACTGAAATTTAAGTGAGTATTTGTACTAACAAGGAGACAGTGGTATGACTTTATTTCTCAGTAATCCAGGCTTCTCCAGAGCTTCTCATCCTTTATACACTCTCGGTGTCTCAGGCACTGGATGGCTTTGCAGACATATTGCTTATCACTATTGCAAATAGTGATTCCATCTTAATAATAATAATAATAATAATAATAATAATAATAATAATAATAATAATAATAATGTAATTCCTTCTTAATTGCTTTAAAATATTAACTATTTTAGTTCTGCATTTTAAAAAGCATATGGAATAAATGATAAACTTTTTCTAATTGAAAGGCTCAAATATACAGAGCTATATAACCACACCTTTACTTTTTCAACATACTGGAGTAAATGAAGGTACTTGTTAAGGGCATAGTACAAAATTTCTATTGAACTTTCTTCATRGTTTTTAATACTAAGGGCTATTAAAGCATCTGCAATACAGTTGCAATAGCCCCCTCAGATAATTTGAATATAAATCTTGAGCCTTYAAACTTTCCATCAACAGTAGTGAACAAATGTAACTAAAATATGCCAGGATATAAATGTGTGAACACTTCTGCAGTCACTGTTCGAGTATCTCTGCAAGATCACCCTGAAGAATATCCAGTGCTTTGTCAGCTGCCAGAGCAGGGTTTGTGACTGCTTACACCAACGCCTGCAAAGTGGCAATTGGTGCTGCTCCTCTGGTAACCATGGCACTCCAAGGRGTGGCTCTAGAG